TGCAGCAGATCCTCAAGAAATGGGGGGGACTTTGCTTGTGAATGGCAAGGAATTTCCCAAGTGGGCGCGTGGTTTTTTTTTGTCTCTGTGATGGTTGAGGTCTTTTATGTGGGTGTGTGTGTGTGGGTGTTGTGTTTTCATGGCGGTTGTGGTTTTACCTTCGGCTGACCACCAGACCCTGGGTCGAGATCCACCGAACTACCGGCGCGGCGCCTCCCGCTTGATCTTTTCCCCGCGTTTTGCTGCCCCCGGCCCCTGCTCACATGCCTTGGACTGTGGCACCTCCACAGCTAGACAGCGGCAGATGCTCCAATAACGGACAGAAACAAGAAGCATCATCTTAGATGCCGCAGCCACAATGTCAACGGTCCTTGGCAGTGTTCAATATCGCGGGTATTGTAGCGGCCACCGGAATCATCAGGAGACAAGTCGGGATGCACGGCGTTCAGAAACAAAGGCATACAATCTTGCGCTGTTTCACCCAGACCAAGACGTCCTCTGGTATCAGGGAAGTGTGTGATGGCAACAAGGCTACCTGGTATTCTTCCAGCTGCACTGGAGGTTGGGTTGACAACCATCAAGGCCCCAAGAACCTGGAAGAGCATGTACCCCAGACCGATTTCTGGGGAAAACCCATGTACAAGGCCCATAACTGCCGAGCGCCTTCCGACCCCCGACGCCAACGAGAACCGGAAGGACAGGGAAACTTGGCCAAGGCGGTCTAAGACATCCAGACTTGGTAGATCCGCTTGGCACATATACTACTAACCGCATCGTTCTCCGCTCACCCAAACCTCAATTTCATTCTCCAACTCTTGCTCGGGCGATTGGGTCTCCAGAGACTACCTATACATCCACCAACTACCAACAAAAAGCCCACCAATAATCACTTCCTTTTCATCAACACCAACGTCAAAATCTTCATACCCCAGCAAAAAGGAGTCAAGGAACTTGGAGATAACAAAACATACAACATCGAGGATTCCCCAGTGGTCACCCACCTGAGTACTGATTCGACCCTCAACTGCTTGACGATGGGAGAGCGGACGGGATCCCGTATTTTCAGCTGGGTATGGTCGTATGTGAAAGACATTGATGAAAGTCAACTTGATGTACCTTGGATTGTTATTATACCTCGGTTGAGTTGTGATTGCGGTCCTCACAAGAGGCAACCCTCCCTTATGCGGGGATGGATACGGAAGGGGGGTCATCCTCGGCATCACACTGCTTGAAGATTGGTAATTCTTGTACTTTTTTCTTTTCATTACTACGTGTTTCTTTTCGCTGTTTCTTTTGCAATTCCTCTTAGCTGTCCCCTGAAGATGCACCCAAAGCCCTCGACCGTCAGTTCCCAGAAAAGAAACCACCAACAAAAACTATTGAATCCACAAATCAAGCATCCGGACAACCGTCAACCCAGGTAAGAAAAAACGAATGAAAAAAACACGCATCACGCCAGACTTCAAACGAGAGGGTATCATCTGTAAAGACAAATTCCCTCCCATCCGTCACACCTACAACCCCTAAACCCCATGGGCTATGCTTTTCCTTTTTTTTTTTGTTTCCTCCTTCAAACGCTCGCCAGGTAGCTTGTGTTTCCATAGCCAAAACCCATCACCAAACCAAAGTCGAGAAAACAAAAGACCCAGAAGACACACCCACAAGAATACCCAAATCAACACAAATCAGATCCATATCATTGTCCCCATCTCAACCCCCTTCTCAACCCACCCCCCTTTCTTCTCATTTTCCTTGTAGACCCGTCATCCACTACTCCCCCTATTTTCTCCGCCTATCTCGGATTCCTCGTCCTCTTCCTCCATTTCTTCTTCTTCCATTTCCCTGCAGGTGGTCACACCCAATCCCCCACGCATTTTCAGCACTTGGGTATGGTACATCTGCGGTGCCGCCGCCGGTCCTGGTTTTATTTTTCAACAAAATTGCGACAGAGAGCATGCCACAATAGAAAGAAAAAAAAGTTCTCCATGAATATGACAGCCTAAAACAACACACTCGGGCAAGACGACCCAACAGGAGAGCAACACTACAGGAAAACACCAGAAAGACAACACCAAAGACAACACAAAAGACAACACCAAAGACAGCACAGAGGCAGCACCATAACTAGAAAACATCAACAAAACACACCAAAGCACACGCACAAGTAAACGGTACAAACACCAAACAACAAAGCAACAAAAAAGTCACAAACAAACACTTACAAGACCGCTCCTATCGTACAAAAACACCGCTGTTCGTTTACCATAATCCCGTCCCCCAAACCCACAACCAACCCAAGCAAACAGACCCCAGGCAAATGTATACCCTTCATCGTCTTCTTCCCCGACGGGCCCTTGGACGGGCCCTCGGAGGCCGACCGGGACGCTGCCTGCTCCCATCACGAGAGGTAACTACATAAGGGGGCCCTTGTTGCATTATACGATAACCCTTCTCATCCTACCCAAAAATCCCCCCATCCTCAAGCACCGTATCGCTGATCGCCATATCCTTGAGCCGTTCGTTACCTCACTCTCCTAAACTTGATTGCCATTGACCTGATCGTGATTGCCACTGCCATTGACTCGAGGCATCTTGGCTGGAGTAAAATACCCATTTTGGCCGCCTCCCCGGGGAGGTGCACCATAACCACCACCTCCACCACGTCTGCCGCCGCCTCGGCCTCTTCCATAACCGGGCGCCAAGATCCCATTGCCCTGGTTTGCCGCAGGGCTGGGTGAACCATTGGTGTTGCCATTGAAGCCCCCGCGGCCGCCTCCCAAAGAACCCCTGGGAGGTCCCCCAAACGACCCACGAAATCCTCCCCGCCCACGAGGCCCTCTAGTGGTACCATTGACAACCGGTGCATCCGTCCGCACGTCCTGTGAGTTCCTGTAGCCGTTTCCGGAGCCGTTTCCAAAGCCGGAGCCGTTCCCATTCGCTTGAGAGGCTTTGGACGGGTTGCCGCGTGCGAGTGCTCTTCGGAAGCCACCGTTCTTGTTGGTTCTCGGCTTGCCTTCGACAACAAACTGGATCCTCTTGACCGGGTTCGCAACCATGTCATTGCCTGACAGGCCCGTCTTCTCGAGCTCCTCCTTCGAAGCAGTCCAAGGTTGAAAAGCATTTTCCAGCTTCTCCAACCCGCTCACTTCGGGGATCCATGTTCGGACATAGGACCCGGACGGGTCATACTCAAAACCCTGCTTGACCGGGTTGAAAATTCGCATGTGGCCACGGGGATCGTTGCCGACACCAGCGACGTACTGCCAATTGGCCCAATTCGACGACACGTCATAGTCAACCAGCAACATCTCGTACCACTCTGCCCCGTATCGCCAGTCAATGTCGAGGTGCTTCGCCAAAAAGCTCGCCACATTCTGTCGGGCGCGATTGGACGTGTACCCCGTGTGTAGCAACTCGCGCTGCGAAGCGTCAATCAGTCCCATGCCCGTGGTGCCGAGATTGAAGCGCTCCAAGATTTTCGCTACTTCTTCAGCGGTAGGCGACTGCCGAGGCAAAGCCTTCTCCTTGTCGGCCGACTTCCACTCTTTCGCCAGAAGACTCTCGTTGATGCCGCTGCCCTGTTGAGGCCGCGCTCTCTCCTTGTCGGGTGATTTCAACTTTTTCTCCTGAGCACTCCCGTCACCGTCGCTGGCTGCGCTGGCTGCGCCGTTGTCGCCAGTGTCGCTGTTCTCGCTGTTGTGGCCGTTTTGGGCGGTGATGCTAGCCATGCCGTCCATCATGTCGGCGGCATGGTCCAATTTATACCTCAACGTGCCCGTCAACTGGAACAACCTGTTCCCGTCTTTCTGGTGACAGAGCCTCATGTAATCGCGCCACAACAGTTCGGTCCGGATGGATTCCATTCCAGTGTTCTGTGCCTCGTCTTCAGACATACCTTCTTCCTTTGTCAACGCACCAAAGCCCTCAACGTCCTTGAAGGCGGGATCAGTACCACGTTCGAAGCTATCCATTGCGGCATGAACTTGACGGGCCGTGATGCAGCCCTGGGCTAAAAAGGCAGACAGCTTGGTGCTGAACTCGGTTCCAAGCAAGCCGTTGCGGGTCGTGTCATATGTGGTGGCGGCTCCGGAGCTGATCAAGTCCTTCAGCCGCTGGAGGGCGGCGTGCTCGCCTCCTTGGTAGGGGTGTGCAGACTCTGCACCCTTTGGATACTCGGGTTTGTTCGGGAGGAAGTCCTTCACGGGCGCAACCAGGAACTCAACCAGGCGATCGAGTGAATCAGGAATATGGAACGGGGAGGACTGCGGGGCGACCAGGGCGGCATCAAATGAGAGGCGGCAGTGAACCCTTCTCGATAGGCGGAAGAACCGGACGAGGCTTCTCGCGCAGGGGCAGCTGCTTCTTTTTGTACTCTGTGAAGACACCCGGCAACTTGTCGATGGATTCAAGACCCGTGTCACGGCTGCCAATCGCTACGTTAGCAACACGAGTAGACGGCCGTCGCCACAAAACTCAACTCACTCGTCAATGAAGTACTTTTCATCCACCCAAAGCTTCCATTTGGCCCCAACCTTTTTACACAAGGAAGCCACAGCCTTCTCGTCCGCCTTTTCCTCACTGCCCTCATGGCTGGTCATCCAGACAGCGCCGATTTTGGCATCTTTCTTGGCCAATTCACTGACCAGCGTCTCGACCACATCAGGAATTCTGCCCACACGGATGAAAAGGCCAGACTTGAGCTCCTTCAAGGTCTCTGAGAGGTCCCAGACAGCTTCGCCAAGAAACTTGGCCCGGTGAGGCCCGCAGCGGTGGTAGCCAGCTACCTGGCTACGAGGTGACCCGTACGGGTTCGTTGCACCAGCAGACTGGATGAACCCCGACACATCGATCTGCTGGGCATCAAAGACATACACAGGGAGGTAGGCATCGAACTTCTCCTCATCTGGTGCGGTAGCCGCAGCATGGAAGAGGGGATTGTCTGACGTCCGAAGGTCACGGCGGATGATGTGAATGAGGATGTTTTGGGGTGCTTTTGAGACCGTCATGATTGCTCGTGAATGACTTCTATCTGAACTTGGTTGAGTCGTAGTCCGATAAACAAGCATGCACTAGGCACGTTCGGATCTGTCTTCCTGTCAGTCAAAGAGATTCGGCGATGTCACGCTGTCCAAAACAGACGCAAGATGGGAAGTGGGAACAGTGACGGAGGGGGGATTTAAAGAGGGGGGAACACCGAGAAACTGACTTTTTCTTGAGCTAAGAGCTAGTGGTCACGTATCTGAAATGGTGGAAACTGTGGCACGGCCGGTGCAGAGGTTGTCGGACACCAGTTGGGGAGACCAGAATAGCTGTTCTGGCAGGCTAGTTCGGATGCTAAACAGCTATGCCAAATGCTATAGAGCATTCCAAGAAAGCAATGTTGATAACCAGATATAGACCAACGATGTCAATGAATAGTCTTTGACAAAGAGATGTGGGGGAGGAGGGGGGAGGGGGTGGTGAGGGTCAAATACACATCTTGACCGAAGACCAGAAACTCGTCAAGTTCTTTACCAGGCAGCCTAGCAGCGTCTGGGGGTCTTTGGAAGAAGGAACGAGGTTGTTGAGAGTGAGGTGAGGAAGGAGGTGAAGAGTAGATGAACAGGGACCCATGAGGAGGCGGGACATGGACTAAGTATCCGCAGTACCTCGAAGGGGGGCGCAATGATGATGTACGACATCCCTGGAAGTGACTGCCATGAGTGGTCAAGTGTCAAAGAAAGACGCACCCCTGAGGGTTTGCGTGGGGTTGGTGATGGGGAAGCAGCCGGGCTGCATGGCTGCATGGCAGCATGGGCGGGAAGACGAGAATGCCGGGTGGGATGGAAGGGGTGGGTGATGATCCTGACCATCGGGCCAGAACAAGACCAAGAATATACAAAACTCATGACAGAAGGTCTCACCGGCATGCCGCCAGTCGACGGCTCCGAAGCCTTGTCTCTTGCGCCCACCAGCGACTCGAATGTCTGGGGAACCCCTTAAACGTCTTGGCCCACCGGCCGAGCAAAACTGTGACATTGTAACTGTCTTGTTAATCCTCATTGTTGATGGTTTTTCTCTTTGACGTCTCGTTCTTTGGTTCCTAGGATGGGCAAAGTGAGGCTTTTGGCAAGTGCAATCGAATTGAATATGCCAAGCGATATCTTGCCTCTTTGGGCGAGATTTGAGAAACGAACGAATGAAAAGAGCCGATTACTTCGATCTCAGCGAAGGGCCCCATCGCCCGACGATCGAGCCAAACAAAAAAGGCCATTGCTTCAAAGAAGGCCAAGGCAATTCCCATCCCTGTGGACAGGTGGGAATTGGCCTATCAACAGCCGGGAATTCAAAGCCAAGGCTGCTCGTCCAGGTCCTCGGATGTGGTCCCGGCGTTGGTGTCTTGGCATCCCCGACGTCACTTCCCCATTTCCAAAATGCGCTGCTAACTGTTAAATTTTGGATGGACAAATATCTACTGACACTGGTCCGCAGGCGTCTCCGGTCTCTGTTGGTGAGGAGGTTGTGGTGTGTGGACATCCACAAGAGGCCTTCATCGGTTTGTGTTCCCTGCAAGACCCTTTTTGCATTCTTGCGCGACCCCTTGTCTGCTTTCCTCATGGCTACACAAGGAGATGTCATGACGAGGTAACTTCTTTTTCTGTTGCTTCACTTTCGCCCTGCTCTTAGCCCTTACCCGAGAACCAACTGAAGATCGCCATCATCATTCCATCCTCGAGTCCTCGCTAGCGGCAAACCCCAATATCAACCCGACCACTCCAGAAAGAACGACCTCCTTCTTTGCGGCAAAGATTGGTTCATGTTTCACGGCAGCAACTCTGGTACCTAGAAATGTTTTATGTAGGTACCGGTATGTAGGGACTCGTGTGAAGCCGGACGTGCCGGGGTCAAGGTTTTACGCCTCATCTTGTTGGAACGCTCACCGAATGTTCTTCTGGGCGTGGCGTTTCTGGTTAACACACCACCTGGTCCCTGGTACTCTCTCGGGTGCCAGCACGACAAGGTCCATGGCTTCTTCTGCCAATACCTAACTTCCAGGGCCTTGCTCTAGATGCTAGCATAGCCGGAGGGTAACTGATCATTTGACGTCAAATGCAAGACAAAAATCAAGATCTGAACTGACAGTGTCTTATGCAGTGTTCGACTCACCCGCTGTTGTGTTATCGGAAAGCTTTGAAGGCTGATATTCGAGGAACTTTAGTCCCAAAGGTTCGCGTTGCCAAGTCTGGGGAAACCCGCCAACAGCGGGAGGACCTGTTCCCTAGCCGTTCAGCCACCCTAACCGATTTCCCGGGTCCGGAAACGGGGCTGATAACTGCCACGTGTGGCTCTATCAGGTTTGCCGCAACATGAAGACGGTCGAATCTAGATTTGAGCTGACTTTCCTGGTATCCTTGCTGGGATGACAGCTCCCATATGGAAGGGTCCAGCCATGACTGAAGATATCAGCTTGACATCGAGACCCTCTTGCTCTCTAATCCAACCATGTCGACTGCCTAGCTCCCCAGGAAATCCCAGCTGAGTGATTCCAGCAAAGCTTTTGCAAAAGTCGGTGTGGTTGATCTGGATCCATGTGTGGGCGGCGTGAGGGTATACCTACAACCTCACGCGATACGATGAACCCAGGTACCCAACATCACGGTCAATGACCTTGTTCCTAAACTCAACGAAACGGCATGCCGCTCACATGTCTCTGAATGTACCAGTCGCATGGTCATCAATCACCCTTCTCATCGTCGAGACTTTTTTTTCCCGAGACAGATCACCTTCCATGCACGGCACATTCGATTCCGTCACCGTGCATTTCACTATCCACCCACCCGCTTCCTGGTCTGATCGCGAGGTTCGACGACTTGCGCATCGATCAGAGCTTCTATTCCTCGTCGGAAATACCATCATTCTGTTTCAGACCCTTCATACCTAGGGTCTTGGCTGAAATGTCTTGGATGCTGAACAATATTCTTGTCATCAAGGACATGTTCCCGGGTGGGTGCTATCAAGGTTACGGTGCAGATTTAACAGGCATCACTTGGGCGGCTACTACCACCACATGACCTTGGTTGACCACCTAGAACGTTCCGAGCCTTTTCGGGCATGGGATAGACGCCGCCGTGGGTTGATTTATATCGACGTATATTGGCTCTTGTGGGAACTTTGGCCTGGTCGATGCGGGATATCCCTCGTTCAGCGGTTGAATCGGGCGGTATATATGCATCTCGGCGACCCCGCTGTAGGACCCTGCGACGGACCCTCGGCGGCTGTGGGTGTTGTGGAAGAGGAACAACCTGCTGCCACGAGGTAGCCACATGGTTCGTGGGGTAGAGACGGATGATATGCTCCGACGGGAGATGGACCCGGCGGCCGCGATATTCTTCGCATGCGGCTGCACGGGCATTAGTGCTTGAGCTTGATGTATAGGTAGATAGGTCCTTGGCCCACGTGTGCTTGAGAGGCACATATGCGTAAGCTTTTACATGTGTATGTAGTCGTCTCTTGATCTTGCGTTCTTGGCTGCCTTTGGATTCGAGTACCACACCAGAACAAAGAGTACTAAGAGCCTGACCAAGAATCTCTTACTTGGTTTGAACATGATCCTCCACTCTATGTCTGAAAAGCCGTAAAACTGCTATGTAGGCCGCTGATATCATATCATATCCACCAACAAGCCCGTGTCCCACTATTGCTCTCGGCGCATGGTCTTCCAACATGACGATGTCTTTCCTCACCTATCATACACCTCCCCCAATTCTATTCAAAACTCGGCATGCGCATCCTGCACCTTTCCCCCCCAACTAAACATCTTCTTACCCTCCCCCTTCCCATTGCCCTTCCCCCCCACAAACAACGCCTCCGCCTTCACCGTCACATGCCCCGTAGCCGGCTCCTCAATCACTGCGTCCACCCAGCTCTTGTAATGCCTCTTCCCCCTCTCACGTTCAGGCAACTCCTCCTCCGTCCTTGGTCTTACTCTTATGATATAGAACCCATTCGCCAACGTCGCCTTTTTGTATTCGATATTCAGCTTGGCAGTCACACCCGCCAGCCCACCCCATTGCTTAAACGCTGCCCTACCGCAGCTCTCATCCAGAATGGTGGCTAAACACCCCCCGTGAACAACACCCGGCCAGCCGATGGTGGCCGGACCAAAGAAGATCACCGAGACGAGCTCGCCGATGGAGGCGTTGTGGAAGATGCGCTGGTAGCCGCCCACGCCGCGGGAGCCGCGGAGGGTGTGGGCTGTTATGTGCTGGGAGCGGTGGGAGGGGGGGAGGGTGTTGTAGGCTTCCCAGCTGGTCCAGGCTGGGTCGGAGGAGAGTTGCTGGACGATGGGGAGGCGGGAGGCTTGGGAGTGGAGGTCGGAGATGACGTATTTGTCTTGGTCGGTGTCGGGGGTCGGAGGGGTCGGGGGGGAGATGAAGAGGCGGAGGGTTGAGCCGCCGATTGTGCCGAGGAGGAGGAAGGTGCCGGCGAAGAGGAGGCGGGAGATCAGACGGCGGCGGTTGGGGCGGCGGTTGGGGATGGTTTTGGTGATGAGAGGCTGTGGGGGAGGGGGAGGGGAGGCGTCGCTGATGTGGATGGTTTCCGGGAGGGGTTCGGAGGGGGTTTGTGAGGGTGGTGGTGGTGGTGGTGGTGGTGGTGGTTGGTTCCGGGTCGACCGGGAGGTTGAGAACGCGACGGCGGCGACGAGGTTTGGTCGGGGTTGAGCGGGGATTTGCCGGTGGGCAAGCCGCAGGAGCGGACGGTAGGTGTGTATTCTCGGGACCATTTTCGGGATGTGTGGTTGCGGTTGTGATCTCGGCGATCGGCGGAGGTGACACGGAGGAAAAAGGTTGGCTTGATTAAGGGTCGGTGCTTGGTTGAATTGCGGTGCCGTGCCGGTTTCCACGTTCCGTCCGGGCCGAGGCCGAGCAAGACAAGACAAGAGGATTTGCGCCTTGGTTCTGATTGGCTGATGATAAAAGTGGGATGCCAAGCGCTTGGAAGCGGAGTCTGCTTGTTTTGCCGTGACAGCGGTGTCGATCGGGGCAGGGGTTTGTGCGATCTTTGACATCCACAACCGTTTTCAAAGATCAACGATCACAGCCTGATGCGGGCGATGAGGACATGTCATTTTTCCATTTGTTTCCGAATTCCCCAGACAACTGGATCGGAGGGAGTCACTGCCAGTCTTGGCCCTTGATTTAGCAGCAATTACTCACCAAACCCACGATCACCTTGCTGTCTTGGGCCTAGTTCGTCCTGTCGCTCTATCGCCATGTCGCAGATCGAAGCCGCTCTTGTCAGTGCCGTCCCATGCGGTCCCGTGCCAGCGGCGCTCTGGCGTACTTTTGTTTCCGGCAGTGTTACTGCCGGCGGCGCTTTTGACTTTCCAGGGCACTCCGTCCGATCCAGAACCGCATCTGGCAGGTCACCGGGCTCTTGCTCATCAGGGCTGAATATATGCGGGTCATCCGGATTGGGACCCAGCTACACTGACATCAGGATTACGCGGCAGTTCGTCCGATAGATGTGAGAGCCAGGCCAGGGTCAACCCCCATCGAAATCGATTTGTTTGGCGCTTCTATCTCGACATGTTGCAGTGGGTTTGAGTGCTTAGATATGGATCCTCCAAGAAAAAGGGCGGACACTGCCACGGGTCCCGAAGGGCTGGCCCCTTCTTTGATCGATGACGAAAGGGTTCATTTTGCTTGGGGTCCCGCCTTTCTTTCCCCTGGATGTGTAGCTTTGCTCTCTCTTTCACCGCAAACGAATCCTCACTTTCTGTCATGACGCGCTGGATTGACTTGTAAACGCCTCATTTTTTTGGTTGGGATCGACACGTGCTTTACTCTTTCACCGTTTGAGCCCTTGGGACGAGCCAAGGCTTGCAGAACCCCGGAATAACCTCATTACACGACCACTCAAACACGCTTTTCATCATGGCTTACGATTATGCCCTTGTGTAAGCTCTGCTCTCTTCCTTTGAGCCGCCCGAGACACGATCATGTAAATATACTAACTTTGGTGTCTAGACATTTAAAATACACGATACCCCTTGCTGCGTTGCTTACAGTTATCGCCTACCCAATATTCCACCGAATACACTTCCTCCAGATTGGGAGTCTAATAGTTGTCTCCTTCCTCGCGACGCTACCATGGGACTCATACTTGATCAGAAGCAACATTTGGACCTACCCGCCAGACGCCATCATTGGGCCTCGTCTCTATGGAATTCCAATTGAAGAGCTGTTCTTCTTCGTGATTCAAACATACATCACCTCGCTCTTCTACATCCTCCTCAGCAAGCCATTGTTCCACCCTCTGTACCTCAGCACCCAGAGAAACCCACCGCAACGGATCGCCAGAGGCAAGGTTATCGGACAGGGCATTCTCGTCGCATTGACGCTCTATGGTGTTCACCAGATTAGAACTGGCGGTCCTGGCACCTATCTGGGACTTATTCTGGCATGGGCCTTCCCATTCGCCTTGTTGACCTTTACTGTTGCGGGCAGATTTATTCTAACCCTGCCCTTGACCTCCACTGTGGTTCCGATCATCATTCCGACAGTCTACTTGTGGCTCGTGGACGAGCTGGCTTTGGGACGTGGAACTTGGGCCATTGAGTCCGGCACGAAGCTGGGATGGTGTCTGTTTGGTGTCCTTGACATCGAGGAGGCTACCTTCTTCCTCGCGACCAATATCCTCATTGTGTTCGGCATGGCAGTTTTTGACCAGTACTTGGCCATCATCTTTGCCTTCCCTCACCTGTTCCCCAAGGTGCCTCGGTCTCCCACGCCTTTGATGTTGGTCCAGAGCCGGTTCTCAAACACCAAGCAATACGATCTCGAAAGGATTGCGGGCCTGTCCGACGCTGTGACTCGGCTGAAGGCAAAGAGCAGAAGCTTCTACCTGGCCAACTCGCTTTTTACCGGCCGTCTTCGCATCGATTTGATTCTTCTGTAAGTCCACCCCACCTTCCCATCTTGCTCAGCATGTCACTAACAGCTCTCCAGGTACTCCTTCTGCCGCCTCGCCGATGATCTCGTCGACGACTCCACCTCCCGCACCGAAGTCAAGTCCTGGACCACCAAGCTCTACAAGTTCCTTGACCTCCACTACAAGTCCGACGTAAAAGCCAACAAAGCCCGGATCAACGACTATATCGACGAGGCTTTCCCACCCGAGGCAAAGTCAGCACTCAAGTATCTCCCAGCTACCATTCTCCCCTCTCAGCCTCTCTACCAACTCATCGAGGGCTTCGAGCTCGACTCCCAATTTTCTTTTCATGACTCCTCCGAGTCGGCCAAGTACCCCATTGTCGACGAGGACAAGCTCAACTACTACGGCCAATGCGTGGCGGGAACAGTAGGCGAACTCTGCGTTGCTCTCATCATCGAGCACTGCGAGCCAGAGATGCCTGATGAGCGCAAGAAGATGCTCATGTCGGTTTCACGAACAATGGGCGTGGCGCTGCAGTATGTCAACATTGCACGGGACATTGTTGTAGATGCCGAGATGGGAAGGGTCTACCTTCCCACTACCTGGCTCAAGGAGGAAGGTCTCACCCCAGAAGACGTCGTCGCCCATCCAAGGGGGAAACATGTGGAGAACCTGAGGAGGAGATTACTGAGCGAGGCGTTCAAGTTGTATGATGAGGCGAGGCCGAAAATGAATGGGATTCCCAAGGAGGCGAGGGGGCCGATGATTGGGGCGGTGGAGACGTATATGGAGATTGGGAGGGTGCTGAGGGAGTTGGAGGGGGGTGTGGAGTTGGAGAGGGGGAAGGCGACTGTTCCTGGGGGGAGGAGGTTGAAGACGGTGCTTAAGGCCTTGTTTTCTGCTTGATTTATCCGTTTTTAAGGTGATCAATAATAGGGATTCTAAAGAGACGGACGTGTTTGACTTTGTATATATGGGAGGCGTGCCGGTGTTGAGCAGACAAGGGGATGGGTTTCAGCATTTCACTCATAGCGAGCTGAGGAGTATGTCCTTTTTCGAAAAATTCCTTTTCCGTGTACACCTAAACCGTTGGCGAGTTCGAAATAATCCTTCTCCGCTTCTTCACACATTATTTTGTGGACTTAGTCGTGATAGCACAACCTCAACAACGGAAATAGCCGAGCTCGAGCCAAGCCGTGAGACAAACTTAAGGTTATACCATTCTGTTATAAGCCCATGGGCCGGCACAACATATCACATACGATCATAGGCAGTTGAATATACGGGATCCCGTCCGCTCTCCCCTAGTTAAGCAAGTAATTGACCGCAATGTTATTTTCTAGCCACCCTCGGACAAGCGAGAGAGACAGTGGAACTCTTCCTCTTCCGGTGCAAGAAATGGACGGCGTACCGAGCAGAGATGCTCCAGCGCACAACCACTCACAGAGGCAATATTTCCTTCTATCTAGGAGGGAAGTCGCCGTCGGATAAAGAAGACTGGACTCCGAACGTCAAGACCGTTCGGGCAACGATTCGGTTCGCAATGTCCACGGGCCGACTCGACGCGAACCAACCGCAGGCCAACTGAAATACCTAACCGACCAACCACCACTCTCCACCGACCCTACACCTATTACCTCGTGCTATAGATAGCAGGTACCGCTTCAGCCGCCGAAGATGGGACGTTGAATACTTGGAGAACCGACTTCAAGCCAACCTACTAACAATCCTATTAACCCACGAGAATACGTAGAGAAAGGGGAAAAAAGAGTGTATAAGCTAGATCGGACTTTGCATGGGCTTTAGGGAGATCAGGGCATATCTTGGGGAGTGTATGCTTCAATCGGTAATAGTTGCCCTTTCGGCTTAGCCGCCCGGGCGTTAATAAATCAATCAATCAATCAATCAATCGAACCTCTTGAACTAAAAACGCCGTAACCGCTTCAAAACACCAGATCCATCAGAAATTTCGGCCGGTTTAAGCTTCCCAGTAGTACGCCAACTGCGAGCTTCTTTGGTCGCTTCTTTCCAAGCCCTCTTACGTAAATTGAGAGCCTTTTGCCCGGCCGCTTCCACCAGCTTCTTCGCCTTGATGAGGGCCTCGTCCTCCCTCTTTCGAACCATTTGCCGCCCATCGGCCACAGTAAGCACCCCCCCTGATTTTAAGCCCCCCCTCCCTTCGATGCCCAGCGAGCTCTGGCAACAGCCTGGGCCAGTTATGTGGCGCTCAGGCCCCTCTTCGTCTGGACCAGCTCGGTAGCCGTGGTGAGGAACCCCCTGATGAACCTCCCCATGCCATCAACAAGTTCATCAGAAAGATCGTCAGGTAGCGAATTCGACAGCTTATCAGCCACTTTGTTCATCTGCTTGAGGGTAACAGGTGTGCTGACGGGGAGGGCTTGAGGTTTGGGTGTGGGAGAGGGGTGTCTCTGGCCGAACCCTCTGCCGCAGTTCAACCAGTACAACAGAGGTATCGAATGGAAAGATGACAGTTCTGGTGAAAGCCGATAGAATGGGCCTTTTGGAGGCCTGTGAGCGCACACCCTGGATCATACCCAAGAATTCGATCTTGGTGATGTTTGTAAGGCCATTATGAACCAACACATCTAGGGCCTTGCCATGGTAATGTTTGAGCGGCTGAAAGACCACAGCATCAAAAGAGGTTGAAGAACATGCGTAAGATTTAGTGGTAAGCCGAAAGAAATGGTGTTGTTTTCTTGACAGTACTTAATAAATTGGATAGTGTGATGAGATCCATGCCCATTGATGATAAGTAACCGATAAGCGCCTAGTTGAGATTTCTTCGAATGCTAGTCAAAGTGCTTCAGCCATTCCAAAGAAAGCTCCTCATTCGAATAGTAACTGAGGGAGGTCGATATCACAGTCTCTGGCTCCACTTCCTCCTGCTTGTGCCACTGGGTCATGTGAAGTTGGCCAGCCAAGACCAAGAAGGGTGGGCAAAAGCGCCCAACGGCCGAGATAGCTTCGAGCGCCATGGCCGATTCCCTATTCTCAGGAATAGCAAAGTAGTGAGCTCTCTTGCGCTTGATCACGATAAGCTGGCTCTTGCCCACCCCGATTTCGAAACCCCGTCTCGTCCATATTCCATATGTCCTCAGGCTGTAACCCATGCTCTTTGACGACGGCAGCGAGCTTGTTGAAGTAGTTTTCAACGGCCTGGGGATCCTCTGAGTGCTTCCGCTCGCTCGCCGTGGTTTTCTGGCGCTGCTTGTGATACCCGTGGCGGCGAATGAAGCGGGGTGCCCAGTTTGGTCCAACCTGAGGGGGATCAGCGAGTTCTTGGCGCGAGCACCTGGCTAGGAGGATCCGGTTTGCTGCCTCTGTGATAAACTCAGGGCGTACTGCCATATTGAGAGCATCAAGGCGATCAATATGCCGGCAAATCACAACTTCTTCTGGGTCACTCAGACGCTTGTGTGGTGGCTCACGCCCTTTGGTAGGCCCATGGCCCTCGAGGCGAGATTGAAGCTGACTGCGTTCAAGGCCATGTTCCCGGGCGACGCGTGCCACTGGAGCTCCCGGGTTTTCTTCTAGGTATTGAAGGGCCGCTTGAATTAGAGATTCTATTTTGAAATAGTAAAAAAGCGGTAGTTTTGGTTGAATTGTGAAGAAAATAAAACGAAAGGTCGAAATTTTTTGATATTAAACCGGTGTGGAGATCACAGTGGTGAGCACCACTGGGCATGCTGGGAGAAGGATATATTGTCGACATACACAGAGCCCGGCCTCAACACCATGCTGATTAGCTACAGCTCACGATGATTCTGTCACCTTGACTGCAACCGCGACTGAGCCTGACCTCGGCACCATGCCAATCTCAGCTCACGGTAACTCTTCCATCACTACCGCTCCCACCTCACACAGGGCGACCTCGAGTAGCGGGACTTCAGCCGTTGCCACGACAACCAGGAGCAGTGCTGGGCGTGTTGACTTCAGGGGCTATGAATTGATGATGCTTGGCGCAGCCATTGTCGGGTACAAGTGCCTCTTCTAGTCATCAGTATCACGGCACTGGCTGACAGGTATGGCCAACATGCAGTGCGTGAACGTATATAACGACTGGATCGATCGAGCTTGGGCAGTTTGATTGATTTGATGCTTTTATGCAACGTGGCTTCATAGTGCAGTGGTTTGTGGCTCCGCGGTCACAATCATGGACCTTCACAACACCATCCACAATCACCATCTGTCCCCTAGCAAAAGACTTATTCACCGCAATTCCAGTCAAGATACTCGTCGCTCCAGCAACATAACATCAACAGAACATCAACATGACATAAGTGAGATGTGCTCGACCCACAATTGTGTGTTCCAAGGTTGACAATTTAGCCGGTGGTTGCTAAAGTGCCTATCCATCACAACTTCATACCGAAATCACAAGGGAAAATGAGGATACAACCTCACTGTACTTGCCTACCTATGTATATTTTGTAGCATGTGTCTATCTCTGTTCATTTTAGTAAGCCCAAAGATACATTATTGGAATTAATCCATAAAAAAAACCTTTCCAGAACGCGGAGCACATAAAATATCAATTTTCCTCCTTCTGCGTCCACTGCATCGAAGTCCGATCCCATGGACCATTTAAACCACGTCCAACCGACTATCTGCCTTACTGTACCAGAGATCAGAATCCCAGGCGGGTCAACAACTCGTCCAGATGCTTCTCATTATTGTTTCTGCATTCAATGATAACCTCCTCAGTCTGGCGAGCCAAGATGTCGGCGTTGGTCACGCGCCATGGCAAAATAGCACATAGGATTGCGTCAACGTCAGCCACCCTATCGACACCTTCCATAGTCCTTGGTCGTTTGACTCCTTCAGCCTCCAATGCCTCCTCCCAGGCCTTCGCAACAACCCAATCAACTCCCGAGTCTGACTCGGTGGTGGATGGTAGGGAGACAGGAAACCCGTGGAGTTTGGCATCTCTCAACGCTGCTTCCTGGCTCTCTTCGTCGCTGGACCAGCCTCAAAATTGGCCCCCGAGACCATCGAATGAGCGCAGAAACTCGTAAGAGGGGTGAGAGATCCAGGAAAAGTCATAATCAATGAGGGCGGTTATACGCCCCGAGGCTTCGTCAAATAAGATGTTGGTTGGGCCTGGATCGGGAGGGTCAGCTATCGGCAGAGACAAAACGCAGCCTGACACAGCTGTAGTGCTGGGATTTGGAATCTTACTAAAATCACAGTGCACCACCACCTTGTCATCCTTATCGCTCAACGACTCGAACTGAGCCGGAACGCCCCGCTGGACGAAAGCATCAATGCGCTCCCGAAGCCCATTGGCTCGCCATCCCTTGATGTATGGATTTGAATCAGCCTTTTTGAGGGCCAGGTCCAGGCGGTATTGAAATGACGCTTGGTAAGACGGCCAAGGCCCAGCGCCAACCGTGGGCATAGCTGCACTGACGATCTCACCACCTTCGTTGAACGTCAGACCTCCGTAGCCAGTGATCGTAGACGGCAGGCTATAGGCCTGCAGGGCTTTGACGATTTTTGCCATCTGAGCCAACAGTGCCTTCTTCTGCTCAAGATCCTGCTGACTAAACGGCTGGTCCACGCCAATCCCCGGCATGAACTCCTGCAGTATCCAGCCCTGAGCAGCTTCAGCTGCAGCGCTTCCCCACCCATAAATCCGAGGAACAATGGATGGCTGGAAGGCATGGCTGAGAGCCGCCAAGACCAGGTTGGTTATTGCTACTCCGTTCTCAATACGGGTCGCTTGGTGAACACCCTCAATATCACGATTACCAAGTCGCACCACGAGGTCTTTTGTGCCCTTGGAAATGGCCACAGTACCTGGCTGAAAGGTGCCATTCCAGTTGTTGTCTGAGTGGTCCGCGATGAGCGGCGACGCGAGTGAGACGTGGTAAACAAAGTTGTTGTACTCAAAAATGCACTCGGGGTCATACTGAACCGGGGAGATGTCAAGTTTGTTTTGTTAGGTCGAGTTAGCTGGCGGGACTAATCATCAAATCCGCTGCGGTTCGTCAAGTATCTTACCCCGAGAAAAACGGTCATTCAAGAGATTGCGCACGAAATCAAGCCGAGCTTGGTAGTTGGCGTGATTGTGAGAGGGCATTTTGAGAGGTTCACAGTGAATATTTAGCTGTGTTTTGGGGATTGTGAATATTCACCTGCAGCAAATTCGCCAAGTGTTGGTTGATGCGGGGTCCAAGTTGTTTATCAGCACTGCATGTGTCTGTATTTGCCATCAAATGATAGGTAACCAACAAAATCTCGATTCCTCAACCGCCACCTACTTGGTTTGTTTTTTGAATGGCTGAAAGGCGGTAGGCTTGGACTCCAAATTTTGGGGGTCAAATGGCCCAGCCGCATTAAAAGTTGCTGAGAGATCAGTGTATTGGTGTGTTACTCGTTGTGTGAGATAGTAGGTACCTAAGTAGCTACCTAAATGAGGCAGGTATATTATCATTGGAGCAAAGTGAGTGTTTTTTCAGGCCCAGATGCCTTGTGCTTGGTCCTTGTAAACCATCCAGTGGCCTTCGAGGCCAAATCAACCGTTAAGACGAAAAGGTCAAGGAAGGAAAAGAAAGAACCATCCCACTTCAATCTTCTACATTTATGACTCAGATTGCCTCAATGAATAGCAGGCGGTGCACCGGCAGTACAGCACCCCGTCGAGTGGCTTCCTCCAACAAACACTGGCTGGCAGTCCCATAGCCTTAAGCGAACCTGCGCATGAAACGCTTGATGGCCGTCATCCCGGACTGAAGCCAAGAAGTCGAGTCGTGCATGATCATCAAGTGGGCATGGTAGCCAGACTCGAGTGCATCAAGGTCCAAGTAACCGGGACCGACAGGAAGCTGGTGAGGAAGGTGTTAGCGTGTATCCTGGAACCACACTGACTATAGGTATGGAGGTAGCTTCTAAGGCAACGAGCAACTTACCCAATGGTCTGAAAACGACGCTCCCTTCTTCGGGGGTTTGTTACCATAGGAGGACACACACTGTGCCCGAGTGCTTGTTGCATCCACGGTGGGGCCCTCTTGAAATTTTTTGGGGGGATTGTTGCCGTGGGAGGACACCCACTGTCCACGAGTGCTCGTACCATCCACAGTCGGCTCATTCTCCTGGGCCTTCTTTGGGGGTTTGTTTCCGTATGAAGACACCCACTGCGCACGGGTGCTCGTGGCATCAACTGTGGGAAACTCCCAAGCCCCGGCAGGGTGAACATGGCGGTTTTGTATCTCCTATGCACAGATCAACACTGCTGTGTGACTCACAGAAAGGGACAGATATACCTTGGCCTCGAGAGATGGAGCGACAGGAAGGGAGCTGGCCCCGACAAACAGGACGGCGAGAAGAATGGCTGTCTTCATTTTAGGTTGGTTCTTGGCTGTAGTCTGAACTCATACCCACCTAAGCTCTGGACTCTCCATGGGATGGAACTTGCTAGCTTTATACCTACAGCCGAGTCTCATCCACTGTCATCATCCCACCCACCCAAAGTCAATCTCCGTACCTCCCAAATCTAGGCATGCCATTTGGGAAATCCGAGATAAGAGTGGCGCGGACATCGCAACCAGCCCCAAATTTCCTTGCCTGGAGTCAGTTCACAGACCAAGGGAATGCGTGCAACAACAATCCGCATGATGCAGTTGGCTAGGCGTGCAGCTGCAAGCAGGGGCCACCAGCGGCTTTGAGGGGCAGCAATTCTATTTGAGGTGCCTGGGGCATATTACACAGTATGGAAGTTGCAAGGAGGGCCTGGGGCTCCATTGGAGAATAGGTGTTTACGTCAACTGGAAACTATCTACCTATCTCTAGAGAATTATGTGCATTCAGCTTCCTGTTAGCGGGCAATCTTCCTCTACCCTCGCTTTGAAACCAATACACGAGGATGAGGGGATAGATGCGTTGAAGTCAGTCCAATTGGTTACCTGGCTAGAGTACACAAGCAATCAAATTTGAAGGCTACCTGAGAAAAGGCCCAGCTGATAAAGACAACTGTGTACGTCTAGTTCCTACATGTATCCCGCCTTTCCAACCCCTGTATTCCAACACCTGGTCTATGTAGTTCCATCACACCCACTGTCCTTCCACCCAAGCCCAAGAATCAAACGCCGTAGCCAGGTTACCGGGGCACTCGAGCTCGGTAACGCAGTGGTATCTGGAGCGGTCCAAGTACCAGCCAAAGTTCCAGGCCTTGCCGCCCTTGTCCCTAACAGCCACCTCAGCCTTACCCCAATCCTTTTGAGACAGCGTAGTGCGCAGGTTGCCGGCGATCGAGTCCAACTTCAGCAGACCGGCACCAATGCGCCAACGCCAGCTCTGCCAGTGGTTCTCAGGAGGCTCATCACCGTTGTTCGCATAGCGGAAGGCATGGGTACCAGCACCATCTTTGTGGTAGACAATCTTGGCGTGAGTGCTTCCCTCAAAACGGATCTTGGAGTTCTTCCCAGGGAAGCGGATGTTCCACTTGCCGTGCTCGGAAGCCGAGACGAACTTGAGCTGTCCGTTCTGAATCCAGACGGCGATGTGCTCCCGGCCGCCGATGCCGAAGTCGAACTCGAAGTAGTAGTCGTACATATGGGCGCACCAGCCGTTGTTGCACTTGGACTGGACGTAGATGTTGTGCTTGGTGAGGCAGTACTTTTTGTGGCAGAAGCTGAGGATGTCGTTCTGGCTCTTGCCAGGGTCCTGGCCGCTGTTGAGCTGGCCGGTCGGGGAGATGGCCACGGTGTTGTAGCAGCTGTAGGTGTCATAGCCGAGAGCCGGGCACCATTTCTCCTGCTCGGCCGTGGCAGTTAGTCCAATGGGGTTCAGGAGATCTCTTGCTTCGAGGGTGACGGGGGTTGCGGAAGCAAGAGAGAGGAAAAGGTACACCGCCGTGATGGCGAGAGACTTGGGAGCCGTGGTGTCGACTAGCTGGGTTGATCTCTTGTCTTGATGACTGTTGATCTAGCTGATGATGGACTTCAAGACAAAAGAGGCCGTTTTCGAAGGTCTTTATTATTGAAATAGGTATGGCCATTTACAGGCCTAAGGCCCTGTAAACAGTAAACACACACAGTAATTAGTGCAACGGAAGGCTCATGCACGATACCCAAAGCTCACAGCTGTGGTACTGGACTGAAGTACCTTATAGGTACTGTAGACAGATAGTATAGTGGGTAACCTCGTATATTGTATTGCTAGCCAATTGTAATCCACCTGAATAGACTCTGTAATAGGGTTCGTACTCGACCTCTATCATATACCTACCGACCGATGCGCAGCGTCTCGCACACCAGAGCGAACAGATGAGCCAGAGTCCGATCTGACTGACCCCGATTTTGGTGCGTTCGGCGAAAAATCGACTCACGCCTATACAAATTCCATCTCGAAACGGCACCCCTCCAACCAAAGTGCGGGTCATCGTAAGATATTGGCCTGGCCAGTATTATAGGCCTATTGTGACGAACCCCTGATCAGAACCTCTGAAAGGGATACACAATTGAAGGCTTCTTCTGAGTAATGGTTCGGTGCTGCTAAACAGTGCACAGCAAGATTGACTCAATGTAAACACAAGATACCATGAATACAGGTCGTTCCCCTCGGTCTGTCGGTCCACCCCTGATTGGCTGTCTCCCACCGGTCACGTGCTTTTTGTTGGGGGTCATGCTTTCTGTTGGTCATGGTCGTGACAAAACATGATTAGCCGTGTTTTGTATAGGGCGCTAGCATGTTTTCCCTAGCCACCCTCCATTTTCTAGCAACTTCCACCAAAAGGCCCCCTGCAGCGCTAACAACAATTACCGTGGAATAGGTGTACGCTCCAGAAACAGCTCTGGCATGGTCTACCTCTAGTGTAGCCTGGTCTCAGGTGGATTCAGCCATTGCTCGCCCTGCTCAGGGCTTTGCTCATCCACTCTCAGGAGATCTCCACTTCTGCTCAGGTTAAAGCGGCGAGTGCTCAGGTCCAAGAACGGAAATGGAAATTGTCCATTTCCAGATTCCGATATTGTTGGTGCTGTTATATCAACCAGAGGGCAGGGCAGCTATATTCATTACCAAGAGACTGGATGCCAGTCAATGGGACTACAAGGTTTCGGGAGACTGGTGCAAGGTATGGTTTCTAAGTATTGAAGGAGGGGTGGAGAAAGAGGTGAAAGAAGAGGTGAAAGAAGAGGTGAAAGAAGAGGTGAAGGAAGAGGTGAAGGAAGAGGTGAAAGGAGGAGGAAAGGGAGGAGCGAAGGTAGAAGTGAAGAAGGCGTGAAGAAAGGGGTCTGGAAATCCGGTCGATATACAATCCTCCTACCAACAAGACCCTCCCGAGGAGTCTGCTCGAACAACCCAGACCAACCTACCCGGTAGTCCTTGCAGGGGACTTCAGCTTACACCACCACCCACTGTGGGATTTATACGACCGATACAAACCCGATTCGGAAGCTCTTCTACAACTGGAAACACACTGGGACCTGGATCTAGTAGCCCCCCGAGATACGATAAACCGGGAACCCCAAGGTTGTTGTAATGGTATCAAGGTAGTATATTGCAACTAGCTAGGCCACTCTACGAGTACACTGAACTTGGACAAGAAAAGAAAAAGAGAAAGAGAAGTTTTGACAACATGAGCCTCTGATATGGCTGAGCGCGTTGGCCAGTGCGTGGTGATAGAGGGTTCTGGAGTAGTGGTCTGTGTGTGTGTGTTCTAGGAATAGCTTCATCAGGGCCGAGGGTTCAGGGCTCAGCCCGTTACAGTTGTGACGAACCCCTGATCGGAACCTCTGAAAGGGATACTGGGTTGAAGGCTGCTTCTGAATAACGGTTCGGTGTAGCCAAAAGGTACACAACAAAGATCACCAATTGTCTCTCGTAAGTGCTTGGTCCTTGAGAACTCACAATGTGAATTGCATACTGCAGAACTATCTACAAGCTAGCTAGTTCCTCCGTAAATATAGACTATAGTTTTTCTGGATCATTTCCAAGCCACAATGATCCTATCTCCAGATTGCTGGATGATTGACAGAACTCATGATCCCTTCCCCATTGGTTGCCTTTTACCCATCCGGTTGCTCTGCTTGTAACCGTGTGCCTTATCACGTGACCGTCCAGACCAGGATAAGTCTGAAAACGGCAAAACATTCCCTCGACCAGAAAGAACACCAACGCAGGTCGGTAGCACATCCTTTCACCACAACACCATCCGTCCTTTTTGGGGCGCCTGCCCTCATCACCTGCTGTTTGCTTGCGGTCGTAGAGCGCATACAGTCCAGGAAGCGGTCGGCTGTCCCATCAATGGGTGACATCCTCGCTGATGTAAAATCCCCTGTTGTGTTCCCCGGTTAATTCGCCGTTGTTAGCAGCCACTCAACGATTACGGATTATTGAACATACCTGGGTCTGGCCGATGTTGTTGAAAGATTTCCCTTGTTTCTTCCTCTGTAACTCGACGTTCCAGCATGAGGGCGAGAATCCAAACTTCCTAGCCTTCATATCACAGACTTTAAACCCTTAAACTTACCAAGCATCCTAGTTACCAGAGTGCAGCATAACCGCAATCTCCCTGAGAGACTTCCAGAAAATCTCCGGTGTGCCTCTCATGATGCCCCAAAAGCGCCTGTTGTCTGGGTCTGCCAGGGATGGCACTGGATAGAACCAACCACATTGAGCCTTCCAATCATGCAAAGAAAGACTTGGCACCTCAAGAACAGTAACAAGGCCACCTACATAACCAACCCTTCGTCCTCTTCTCCTCCTTTACCCTTGGCATGCTTCTCCCAAAGAGCCAGCTCGTGCGTTAATAAGCTCTTTTTCTGTGGTTTCATCCGAATATAGGTGAATATTCTGGCTCGAAGTCATGGAATGATTTCACACCCCCAGCCCATTTACACAAGTTTGTGAGGGCCTGTTCGATGTCGATGCCTCGGGTGATAGTAGGGGCAGGGGCATCCCGTGGAGACTCGGCAGCGGCTAGCATAATTCTCTCTGGCGCGTAGGGTCGACTGACTGTTGCGGGGTGCTTTATTATGGTTCTGCAAATGGGTGATGAGGAGCTTTTGGTGATGGATGCTACGAATAGGGAGCCGGAGTGGGATAATTTTAAAAGAGGGATGAGATTAAGATAAGTATGCAAAGTGTTGACAAGAAACAAAATGACTGATTTGTATGCTTGAGCGAGGTGTTCACAAATAGGCATGCGAAAGGAATTTTGCATGTGAAGGGAACTGTGTTTTTTTATGAACCCTCTATCTTGTCCCTTCACTGAGTCTGCTCAGCTGTCGAGTAAAACTGCCTAGTGTGAGCTGCCATAACAGAAGCCCACCCACGGCATAGCCCGATGAATCTGTGTCCACCGCCATCCTCCTTTCTGGGTCCCACTGGACGAGTACTGGCGCGCTGATCAGAAGTGTCTTAAGTGTCTTGAACGCTTTTTCGCACTGAGGAATTCAACTGAAAGAAACCCCTTTTTTAGTCAAAGCCGTCAGTGGAAGAGCTCTCTCCGAGAACTTGCGTATAAATGCTTGGTAGTGGTTCGCAAAACCGACAAAGCTCCGTACTCCTTTGACTGAACAAGGGCGTTATCACTGTTTTATTTTCTTAACGAGTAGCCTAGCTACGATTCAAATATAACTTGGCCAGGACTATAAGACCCCCAGCCACTTAACTATAAGGAATCCTAACAAGAACCATTATATCCACTACCCTTAACTTCACGTATGCTCGCCAGCCCTTCTACGCTAAGGGTTACAGTATTTGAAATAACGAATAAAACTATCTTAGACAGTCTATCAATTCGAAGGTCACGGTTTACCCGCCTAACCTTTCTAACCTTTTACCTAGTTCAAGAAGGAATAACACGCTGCGGTCGAACTCAATAACTAATTCTTGCGCCTCTTCCACGTTATTAGAATACCGCATCAGAGTGCAACTGCCAGGACCAGATATGGTTTGGCCATTCCGGGGGGCATCTGGGCTTTACGTCGGCTACGAAGACAAGGTTATCCCACCCGCCTATTGCACCGAGAAGTGGAACAAACACCTCAAGCCTTGGTTATAGACCAATATCTTTGAGTTTCAAAAGAATATTATTAAGAAATCGACGAGATGGCGTTAACCCCCTGGCATGTCTATCGAGTTGCGCATATCAGGACATGCAACTAAGCTGAAGACGCACGTTCAGCTGTTTCCCCGGTAAAAAGTAATCCAGAGAGATCCAAAGATGACAGGAGCGCAGAGAATCAATCTGGAGAAGCGATCCACTGTGAAAAGCTCGCTGCTCAAGGCGGACCAGATATCCAAATTTCCATCTGTTGTGTGGGTAGCCACAACTGGCTCCACAGGAAACCTGGGCCAACCTGGGCTGGTTTGTTTGGAACTTGCAGCATTTCTCAGTGCTCTTTTCCATAGTTACTACAATCAACAGTTTATTACCAACACCATCTCTTCGGAATCAGCAAACTTACTGGAGTGATTACGCCGGAGGTGGGGACTGACGCCAAAGATATGACTGATGCCAGCTGCATCCAATCATAAACCGGCCGAGAGCTGTTGGCGCGATCTGCACATCTGGAACACATTCCACCCAGTTTAACACCGCGGTGTGGGCGTGTTTGCATTCTCTAATCTGTAACGGTTGAGACGGGCCAAGCCTGTCCGTCCACGAACCGTTTAGCGGCACGCTTTCTTCCACATTTTGAAGTAAACAATATACCCTTTTTGGAGTCGCCCATCCTCGCGGTCATGCTACATGATCGCCAGACCAGTACTCAGGTGGGTGACCACTGGGGAATACCTGGTGTTGTATGTTTTTTAGTCTTTTTTGACAATCATACATAATAAATACTCTGATTCTATCTCCAAACGTTTTCCTCCATCTTTTTTTGGATGGTTATAAGAGGCTTAAAGGGGTGTGTTGTGGTGGTTGTGGCTTGTCTGGTTGGTCAACCGGTTGCGATTCCACAGTCAAGAATTTAAGTACAATGTTATCTTCCGGGATGTTTACGGAGTAACTTCAGGGGATGTTGAAAGTGTCAACAACAAACATGCCTGAACATGACCTTCTTTTGGGCAGAAAAGAGGAGTGGAATTCACGAGGGGGGTTTATCGATTTGAGCAGGGTGCAGGGTGGAGAACTGGAATCCGTGATGAGGGGGGTTATTGATTGAACTCCTGATGATCAGGGAAGAGCCACGGCATAAGCAAGTAGCCTAAAGGATGTCGTGGAAAGTTGATGCACACGGAAGTGCCGTATATTCTTGATCTACCTGGTCATGTAAGATGTTTCAGTTGTCAAGAACGCCGCTGACAGGTCGGGTGAAGAGAAGAGGTTGATTTCATGTGCTTGTGAGAATGAGCGCTTGCTGGTTTTATGTGTGGGACCCTGTTAGTCGTGTGTGTTTTGTACGATCCTATTTATCCTACTGGCGCGCATGTTGAAAAGTACAGAAGCGCTCCAATGCGAGTACTTAGATTCTACGAGAGCGAGTGCAGCTATTAGCCGGTTGCTACCTACATTGTCGACTAACCATGCCTGATTCGACAACTTGGGAACGACAGATGTCCGTTGCTAGCGAGCTACGGAAGATTTCAGCAATGACAAAAATACTTTATAAACAAATCGCCCCCCTGGAGGATGGGCTGGCATGACGGCTGGCTACGTTGCTGGACTAGATACAAGACGTGTCCAAGGTGAAATTTGTACTCTGTGACCATGAGGTTCTTCGCTTCCACCATTGTTGCTGGCCTTGCCGCCACTGCGGCCGGTCAAAAGGTCAAAGTTAGTAAGTGGAACCTACCAACCTTATACACTGTCTGGTTGTTAGGAGCAGTAAACTGACACTTCCAAAAAGTGCTACTCGGTGACTCCATCACTGAGATCAGCTGCTGGAGACCTCTAGTATGGACTCAACTCACCTCCGCCGGGCTGGCAAACAACGTCGACTTTGTCGGGAGCATGAGCAATCTCCAGGGAAAGTGCTCAAGGCCGGCAGGCTTTGACCCCAACCACGAAGGCCACTCAGGCTGGCAAGCGTACGATATTGCGAGGAACAACATCGCCGGCTGGGTCCAGAGCACCAAGCCTGATATTGTCCAGTTCATGCTCGGCACCAACGACGTCAACATCGGCAAGCGGAACGTGCAGAGCATCTTGGATTCGTACACGACTATGCTCAATGCTATGCGGGCTGCGAATCCGAAGGTGAAGGTTATTGTAAGTCGTGACATATGCTTCCCCAGGGTCAAGAGCCGGTTGTACTTACATTATATCGTTGCAGATCGACAAGCTCATCCCAACAAGCTGGAGTGACGCAACGATCGAGGCCGTCAACAATGCCATCCCTGGCTGGGCACAGCAACACACCACATCTCAATCCCCCATCGTCGTCGCAGATTGCTCACGGGCTGCCGGGTTCACCAACAACATGCTCGAGGGTGATGGTGTCCACCCCAACAGCCAGGGTGATCAGTTCATCGCGAGACAAGTCGGTCCCAAGCTGATCCAGTTCATCAACGACGTCCAAGGCGGATCTGGCAACCCAACCCCCACCAACGCCGTGCCAACGCCGACATCGACACCTGCGACAACTTTGGTTACCAGCACGGCGAGCTCCCCTCAGCCGACAGGCGGAAACTGCGCTGCGTTATATGGGCAATGCGGAGGTCAGAGTTTCAACGGGCCGACATGCTGCTCGCAGGGTACTTGCAGGGCCTCTAACCAATGGTACTCGCAGTGCTTGTAAGGATAGCTTGTTGAGAAAAGAGGGAGGGGAGCGAGGACGCTAGTTGTATTTCACTGTCTTCAGCCTCTTCATGCTTGAGAGATAGTTAAATACGTACCTTTTCATCTTTATCTCTTCTTCATACTCTTTGTCCACCACAGTGATAAAATGAACTTGATGCTTTAGTAGAACATGACGTCCACGTCGAATACGCTGTCCCAGGGAGGGCCCACTTAGTAGCCGGACTGGGTCCTTCCGCCTCATGGCTCCTACCGGGCATGAGCCTCAATATATCAACTCCAAGGCAGGCAGGACCGAGAAGTCATCATTTTGGTGGAGCCCTGGGGGAAGGGTCATCATGTCTGATACGGATCTTCCGATCGAGGCCTGAACCTCATGCTCCCGCACGACATTGCTTTGCTGTGGTCCCCTGCCTGCAAGAATGCCTTGTGTCAGGAGAGTGAGGTGTGACACATTCAAGAAAGGTACGTCTCACGAGGTTCTAGAACTTTGCCTCCTGTGCCTTTGAGTCTGGACCTGTGTGGCCATGGCCTCTGATAAGATGGTAGGCCATCCTTTCACGACCACGAGTATGCACAATCTTTTTCGCAATGTCTAGCCTAGGTGGCACGATATGCCAAAGCCCACCCGCGGGCAGCAAGGTACGTCCTGTTTTCTGGGTAACGCGTAAACCCGACCGAGAAAAACTCTCGCAGAATAGGCTGCCTCTGACTTGTCGAGAAATGATATATGCACTAATACCTAGGAAAAAGCCACCCACCTACATCTACGATTGTCAATGTCGAAAACACAACAATGGCATCCGAATATCAATCAATCACGACCGACATCACGGAGGAAAAAGTGGAACGGGGGAAGGTTGAGAAGAGGCCTCTGAAGTTTCCGTGGGTTGGAATCGCATGGCGCTTCACGGGCTCTCTGTTCTGCTTTATTTTCATCATCGTCATGCTCTGGGGGTACGAACGCATGGGCGTCCTCAGTTCCTGGGACCGTCGAGGATTCAACACGCTGAACATTCTCTTCTCGGCCTTTGTGAGTTTGGCGCTGGGTTCGTTGCTGACGCTCCTGGGCCACACGCTCCGTTGGCATCTCCTGCAAAGAGAGGCAGCAACTCCAGGGAACGTTGATCTCATTCTGGGAATTGGCGAACCGACCGGCTCTCTCAGGCTTCTTTGGGGCCACACTTGGCGTGGCAAGGGGTGGACCAAAACAACGATTATTGTGCTGCTCTACTTCATTGCCTCGATTCTTGCTCGAATCAGCGTCGCCGGTCTGGGCTTGACATTCGAGTTGAACGAGGAGGCCGGGGTCGATTACCCGGTCATGATGACGGATTGGAGAGATCCGGGATGGATAACAGAACCCGATCCCCGAGAGACCCTGCGCAGGTTTGTGGACTTTGCTTCGGTTGGGCTGGCAACATCCCCTTTATCCCTGAACAAGTCGGATCCGGCATCATGGACCACCGAGAATGTCGACGGGCTGGGTGTGAATCGAACAGTAGACGGCCGCACGCTCACTTACACCTTCTCCCTCAATGAGTATCGCGGTCTGGAAGTCGAATCCAACAAAGACCATGTCGTCCACAGCTCGTCGAGCTGCATCGTCCGGAACTTTTATAATGGCACGGTTTACCAGGATGGGAAGAGCGTGGGAGAAGTCACGGGTAAATTTGATTCTCTTGAGCGTCGATCAATTAAAGTCTCCTTGCTAACTGGTATCATGGTCGAATTTAGCTACAAACATGGAACAAATCCCACGTGATGATCCCGAGTACTTGCAGATACTCTCTGGACTTCTTTTACATTTTCCAACGGCGTTTGTCGATTACATCTGGACTGCTGGTATCAACGAGGAGACAATCGGTCAGAATACGTCAGGGTGCATGACGACTTGTAAGTATTCACCCCCCCCCTTCTCTGAACCCTTGCACGGATCATTGACATGGGATGGGACATGTACCCAAATAGACATATACAGGGAAGATCACCTCAGCTGGAAAGACTTCAACAAACGCAACGCCAGTTATTTCGGATGCACATCCTGCCTCTCCACTTCTTCTGCGCACTCTGGATCGTCATCCGAGCCTCGGGCTGGCTTGTCTCCGACCGTCTTCTCGGAACTCATCCCATCGTCCAACTCGTCCTTTGCAACCTACATGCTTCTCGGCATGGGAACATACGAACGCATCAACCAGTACATGGACCCTGTCAACCTATTCACTCGCATTTATTCAGCCATGGACAAACAGACCCACCTTGTCAACTATGCTGGTCAAGGCTTGCCCTCAATGAAGACGATGTCTGACTGGTATCTGAGACCGGTCCCCATCGCGGAAGAGGTCTATGTCGCCCACTTGGCTGCAAGGTTACCCATCTTGGGGTTCGTCGGTGCTCAGAGACAATTACCAAAGATCACGAAGGAGAAGGGGGCGTCCGAGAAGCCGTTTATTCGGACGGTGCTGCAGGTAAAGTGGAGGAGAGCCATGGCCGTCATGATTGCTATTAATGCTTCGGCTGTGTTTGTCATTTTGGCGGTTTATTTGGCATGCAGGAAGGTGATGATTCCCAATAAGGGGCGAGATAGCCCCCTGCTGACGGCGAGGTTCTTGAATGAGTTTATTGCTGGCAGTTCGGGGAAGACTACGGGTGTGGACACCATGAGAGAGATTGCGGAGAGGACGAAGAATGTCAGGTTGAGGTATGAGACTAGGGGGGGTGAGTTGGGGATTTGGCCTGTTGGTGGTGAGGAAAGTCGTGTACTTCCTACCTCTGCTCCTTAGTCTACTTCAACTGGTGCAATTAGCTTGAAGTCTGTTAGAAGGGCGAAGTTCCGCAGGGGGTGATCAAGATTTGATCTGGACGAGAAAGAACGGAGTGGATGACAATGAAGAGTCTTGTCCCACAGGCTCGTTTTGGACATGGCAAGAATCATGGATAATTAATACGTAATAATATTTTTGGGGGGTTTTCATGCTCAATTTTGGCTTTTCACAGTGGGCAAGGCCACTGTTCAACCTGTCTTGCGTCGGCTCCCGCCTTTTTTCTGTCTTTTTTTTCCTTTTTTTAGGCGTTAGACTCATTTTTTATATATACATGAACGACAGATCTACCATCACTGTCTGTAATTGTGTCCTTTGCATCCCAACCTCCCTCTACTCTCCCACACATGGAAAATAGCCAGCAAATCAAGACTCAGAACTCGAGAATTTGCCCAACTCTCGGCGTTTATGGAGGGCTGAAAGTCGTGTCTCCAACTACAACGTCACATCATCTTTCTTTCTCTTCTTGTGTCCCACAAAAAAACAGAAAGTCTTTTGAACCTGGGAGCCTCTCAAGCTTCAGGTCGCCACAGATTGACGTCTGGTTCAAGTCTCCCCATGTTTGAACAGACAACCAGACAACCCCCCATGTTTACCCCCCAGCGTCAGCAGATTCACAATACACCTCAGGCACATGCCGAATCTTTCGACTCAAGGCTTGGCTCTTCCGGTGAAAAGTGTGAATCAAACGCCTCGCTAAGAGGTGGGGGGGTTACCTGTCCCTCCCTGCACACAACAAAAGTATGCAAGAAAGGATGTGGCCCTTCCAGCGAAAAGCTTTTTCCCAAGGACGGAGTGAAACACTTGTTGATCCAACGCTACAACACGGCTAACTGCAACCGCCTCATGGAGCGAGACCACGCCTTGGTCAAAAGACGCTATCTGCAAGCTCTTCCGGCGGGAGTCTGCAACGCGGAGCATGGCTTCCTTGCTACAACGTTGTTCTTTTCTCTCTTTTGAAAGAAGAGAAGAGGGGAAAAAAACAACAGAGCTAGGGGTGGTAAAACGCTCAACGCGGCTCTCTCACAAAGGGGGCTCAACTCACTTGCTTGCTCAACGACTCGTGTGAGAATCGGAACATGGAAAATGGGGAACACAAGCCTTGAGAGAAAGAAATTCTTGCCGGGCATCCCGTGGGGAATGGACAGCAAGAACCGCGGAACGGTGGCTCGACGCTTGGGACTCGTTCATCTCATCTCATCATCATATGATGACGGGATGGGTGATGAGCGGGTGGTGGGTGTTGACAAGGATAAATCGATTTGGCGAGTGAGGCGATGAACCGAAAAAAGATTGTTGTCCTTGGTGGCAAGCGGAGCGCGATACGGTCGAGTACCGTATAGGTACCATGTTCTATGCTATCGACACTTTGGGGTGTGGTGTATGTGTGTGGTCAATTGATGAAAAATGGTTGTGTCGACTAGTTCGGCCCGGACCGGAGTCCGGAGCTTTGGTCGAGGTTCCGGGTAGGTGACGACCGGAACGCATTCGTCGTGGGAACCCCTCAGCGGAACTGAGAATGTTGTCTTGCTCGAAGTCGTCCGATAATCAATATTTTGTCGTCGAATTGGAAAAATCATGAATGCAAAAATGCTGGGCCTGCCTGGAAAATCTGATGATGATGCGTGCAAGGTCGTCATGGCGGGTTTTGCATATGAAATGTCCGAATGAGACTGGTCGTCATTTGATGATGGTGGGAAAACAGGAAGGGAGACAATGACGATGATTGACGGGGTGTGACTGAGCGGATGAATAAGGCGTCCCTCCCCCCTCATAACTGGGAGGAGGTTGAAGGGAAAAGGGGAGAGATCATGAAAAATGAGGGTGGTGGTTGTGGTTTAAATAAATCGCCGTCGCAAGAGACGTTGTGTGTCGCAGCGAGTCAAATCCTCAGCCCATTTTCCACACTCGGAGGTTTCACTCATCCGCTCCTCCCCCAGAACTCACAACGCTCGGTGCATTTTACATGATCTGATGAGCAACATCCCGAAACATTTCACCGCCAAACTCACAATAGAATCATTCGATTTATCCTAACCCCCCCCCTTCAATCATGGCATCGCCATCAAACAAAAAAGAACCTGTCCTCGTCCAGTGGATCCTAGACACCCGCCCCTGGTACCCCGAAGCCACCCAAACCAAACAACTCGAGACTCATGTAAGTCCATTCACTCACCCCAACTGTTTCATCCCATCTTACTAACCCCCCCTCCCAGGCCTCTCGAGCATTATCCCTCCTCCCAGAGTCAGAACGCGCCTCGGTCCTCCGCTACTTCCACGTCCGCGACGCCAAAATGTCTCTCGCCTCCCACCTCCTCAAGCACTACGCCATCACCAAGCTCACCCCCACCCCCTGGTCCGCCACAACCATAACCCGCAACTCCAAAACAAAACCCGTCTACCTCGACCCCTCCACCGGCCAAGAGCCCGTCTCCTTCAACGTGACCCACCAAGCCGGCCTCGTCGCCCTCGTCGCCGTGGCCAACTATCACTCGGGACAAGCAGACACAGGCGTAGACGTAGTCTGCACCTCTGAACGCCGCGACCGCGACCACAAGCTGATCCTCACCGACCCCGCCGGCTGGCCCGGCTTCGTGGACATGCACGCCGACGTCTTCGGCCCGGGCGAGGTCACCTACCTCAAATACCGTGTCCTCTCCGCCGTGCCAGGTTTGGTATCCGGTTCCAAGCCAGAGGACCTCATCGACGGGAAGCTCCGCGCGTTTTATGCGCTCTGGGCGTTGAGGGAGGCTTACATCAAGCTCACGGGCGAGGCTCTCCTGGCCGAGTGGCTGAGGGAGCTGGAGTTTGTCTCTTTCCGCCCTCCAAGACCAACAGAGGCGTGGGGGGTCCCCGCTAGGGAGGATGATGATGATGATGTCGACACAGATACCGCGCAAGTGATCAGGAAGTTTGATATCAGGTTCCGGGGGGAAAAGGTCGAGGATGTGAAAATGTGTTTGAGGTCTATGGGGCCGGATTACATGATTGCCACTGCCGTGAGGACGCCTGATCGCAAAGAGGATGCCCTGGGGTGGGAGCTGGGCCCGTATGAGTTCCTGGAGTTGGACGAACTGCTTGATTTTGCAGAGGCGAATAGGTAGTGTCGCGTGAATGAAGGAATGAATAATGACTTGGTGAACACACTCGATGCATCGCTTCTAGGGACTAAAACTGCCATCGTACGAAACACTCGCTATGCATAACCCGCCCTAATCTGTAATAGCAATGCCCCAATAGTTCCAATTCCGAGACGGTCCCCGCTCGGGTCCCTCGTAAACCCCCTAGGTTGCTTTAATGACCTTTGACGCTATCCGCGGCGCGGAGATGGAGAAGTGAAAGACATCATAGCTCTCTGAGTCATCCTTCTTGTCACCGCTCTCCTTGCCCTCCTTCTTGTCGACCTCCCCAGCCTTCTTCTCGACCTCCCCGTCCTTCTTCTCCACCACCTTCGATTCTCCCGCAACATCGACAACCACATCCTCCGTGTCAAGGCTCCCATCCTCAGTATACCCCCACACATCCTTCAACTCACCTCTCGCCAAAGCAGTCAGCCACAACGCTCCGGTAACGCCAGGCACCAGATAGAGCAGCGCCGGCTGACCATGTCTAAAAACCAACAACATTGTCAACGTGACCAGCATACCCGCGGTGTACCCAACCATAGAGGCATAAAAGTAGGGTTTCGGAAAGGCGGTGGCAGCCCGGACCGAGGTAGCCTCCTTGACAGGAAACAAACCACCAAATTGGGTGCACCAAAGTCTGTTGCCCCACTGTCCCCTGGGATCAACAAACGGAGCCTTGACCCGAAGTTCGCAAGTCTCAGTAGTAGTAACCGATTTTGTTCCATCCTCCGCCAGGGTCTCCGAAACCAGCTCGACAGGTTCGAGCTTGATCTGCTTCTGGTAGAATTGGTAGAAGTCAAAGCGAAGTGCAAGTCCCATAAGCATGCCGGGGACGACGATGTCGCCGAGACCGAGCATGCTGACGCTCTTGTTGTTCTCGAAGACCAGCTTGATGGGGGCGTCGAGCTTTGTTGCGACTGTGATCATGTAGGGACTTCGGATGGTGTTAGCTTGTGACAGCCAAGATCTCGGAAGAAGAAAAATGACTTACGTATAGAACACCATGACAATATCATAAACAAAAAGCCCCCACAAAACCATAGTCCCGATCCCGAACGAGGTTGGCGACAAAAGCATAAACGTAGCGTAGCACATCCCCGCACTCATAATGTTGGACAAAATGTTCCAGCCAAGATAGTGGTACGCCGCAGCAAAGGGTATCGAAACCATGAACCCAAGCAAGTCGTTGAGCTTGATGTTGAACTTGACAAAGACCAAGCCATGCATCGCAAACTTGACAGTCCATTCCTCAGTGAAAAGATGCCGTACCAGCCAGAGGACATCCCCAGCTTTCTTTGACGGCGCCAGAATAGACAGGAAGCCAGGAAGGGGAGACGTCCGGTCCCGGACAACCTTGTTCTGACCAGTGGCCTTGTCGACAACATACTGATGGTGCTCGTCCGAGTCGATGTGATACACTGTCCCCTTGCCATCAACCCAGGTAGACGGGAATATCAAACTCGTCAGAACATCCAGCGAATCTCCGGTCAGCCGGCCCAAACTCGCAACGGCCATGATGGACAGGTAAGCCCTCATGAACTTGTTCAAGATGTCAGGGTCCTGAAGCCACTCGATGAGGTAATACAAGCTGATCAGAAGGATACCGGCCAATATGGGAAACATGATGGCGTCTGAAGCAGCGAGCCCTTCGGCGAATTTGTCTTCTTTAGGCTGCTTCTGGCCTTTCTTCGTCTTGATGGGTGCCGCTGAGGGCGGTCGTCGAAGTGAGCCATGAGCGCCTAGCCAAATGATGCATAGCGCGCTGATCACAACAGAGAGATATTCTGGTCTCAGTAGCAGTGTTAAAGCAAAGGCGGTTGGTTCTGGGGCCTGGGTGGTGGTTGTGTTGCTGAGGCCATCTGTCAAATCGTAAGTGGTGTTCTCTAAAGACATCTTGAGAGATGGGCAGGCCTCAGGGGCCAAGTGATGCGGGGTCCGAAAGTGACCCGATAACTCTGCGCTCGACAATTTCCCCGCGAAAACTGTTGAAAATATGGTTGTAAGTGTAGAGTGATACAAAGTTCTGGTGGTCTGAGCTATCACAAATGCGTTGTTGTTCTCTTGGAACCCTTCATCCGGCGACGGGAGGTGGACGGTACGTACCTTGCTGCCGCTGTAGTAAACGGCCGAGCAGGCAGCTGCAGCCTGCAAGTGGGGCGCCATATCCCTGGAAAAAGCCCAATTTAGCGCAGTGAAGCTCCCTGCATTCAGCGGCTCTTCGCTGGCAACTTCCGCGCTTTCGACCTGAACAACTGCGTCACACAAGCACCTTGATAACCAGGCACCGTCGCTTTACCTAATCTGCGACCTGGACAGCCTCACCTGAACATCAACAACATGGCATCCGAACCAATGTCAATAGAGAGCTCAGCCCAAGATCCCCCTCCAGTGCCCGACGTGACCTCGCAGGAGCCAAAGTACGGCGGCCACACACGTTTCGAGCTGGAATTGGAGGTCAGCAAACACATTCCCCATTCACCAGGCTTGCTTCGCGTTTGGCTGACACTCGACAGTTTGTCCAAGCCCTAGGGAACCCAGAATATGTTAACTACCTGGCCTCCCGGAAATTCCTCCAAAATCCCGCCTTCGTTGCGTACCTCGATTACTTGCAATACTGGACGCGCCCGCCATATCTCCAGTATATCACATATCCTACTTCGTGTCTGAAGATGCTAGAGCTTCTTCAAGTCGAGCGCTTCAGAAAGGATATCCTGTCGCCGAACTTGACGCATGCGCTGGTTACCGAGGGAATGAAGGCTGCGGTGGAGTGGCATCGCGAGTCGTTGAGCTGAGGGAGACCGCGGAAGCAGGAAAACGAAAGAGACGACACAACCATCGTCGCGCTGTGCCCATGAGAGCACATATAGCGGCGGAGTTGTATGTACACGTGCGCGCCGAGGAATGCCCCCTGAGATGACGGCGCACGCTGAGAAGAAGGACAACCCGGCAGCAGGGTGGTGCGACATGGATAGACACGTGGGCAAGGATGTATATTTTCCAGACGCGGTCTCCTTGATGAGAGGCAGGCACATCTCCCGTTGATATATCCAACATAAACGCCAACCACCAGATAATGAATAATCAAGATACCCCCATAACCAGAACTCCATGCAATGCTTCCTTCTCCAGTGAACCTTTTGCTCTCTCACATCCCCATCCACCATAAGAAATCAGTTTTCTCTCCAGTTCTTCCCGCAGGTCAAGCACTACCACACTGTCAGCCATGATTCTCATCTTTCACTTCAGGCGAAAACCTACCCTGTAGAATGTCGTCATGGGCTCATCAGCAGAGCGAATTTGCACCTGGAAGAAAGCTGCCTCCCCGCCCGAGCACTCAGCGGACGAGCACTGCACTTTTTGCTTTTGCGCGTTGGCCCAGGCATCAGGGCCGCCGAAGAGATCTTCCTTTTCGACCTTGGGGAAGACCTTGCGCGAGTAGTAGGGCTTCTCGATGGCGTGCTGGTAGGGGCAGGTGCGGCATTCTACGCGGTTGCCGCCTGTGTCCATCCGGGAGAGGATGAGCATGTTCGCGCAGTAGGGGCAGACTTTTGGTGGCTGGTTAGCTTATGATGTCGTTCGTATATACAGGATAAAAGTATCAAAACTTACAGAGGATTGGCATTTTGACGGGTTTGTTTGGGTTTTTTTTAATTTGCAGACTCTTGTTTGTGAAAAATTGAGATACTGAATGTGATGTGTTGCTGAAGAAATTGTTTTATGGCTTTAAGTTTTTGAGATGGTTGTGGTTGAGTTTGAGTTGTGAGTCGTCGGCAACCCAGGAGCTTGTCACGAAAAAAAATTGTCTGGGGTGAGCCACCACCCCGCTGGTAACATCAAGTTGACGGACTCAACCCATGCAACACCGACATAGTATATAGTTTGATTGTAGGAGCTACAGTTTAGATGCTCATCTCATTCTCCCCCCAAAAAACATGATCTTGAGTATTGAGCAAAACTTGAGCTTCTGCGGCATGGCATGCTAAGAGCACCCTTACGAGACGCTACTTCGAGGGCTTTGTCTTCTAAGCCCCATGTCACTTATCCAAGGCAAATCAAAGGCTGCACAGCAAACGGGTCTGGAATTGCTTCTTGACAAACACTCTCTTATTACCAGTGATATCTCTCTCATCCAAATATGTTCAAAGTGAAACCTCAACGTGAGGTCCGCTGATAACGATAAGCGCTCCAGCCCCGCCAACCCGAACCCTCGGTTCTGCAGGGATCACCCGTTATCGCCCAAACTGGCCTTATCGGAGACGGCTGGCGTCGCTGGGGACCTTGCGGGGTGCTGGGAATTAGGAGTGCGAGGTGGTGCACACTGCCACCTCCTGACCGTAATCTAATAAGGCACACAACTTCTTGACAGCCGCGCAGTTGGTTGGTTCAGCCTTCTTCCTCAAATATTTTTGGACTCGATTTCACTCTCGAAAACAGAGAGCAACCTCCTGTCTTGACGGTGTGTTGTCTTGGTCAACTCCTTCGTCCCTACCATCGGTTCCATAGCTTCCAACCCGAGCTTCCGTACACCTCTCACATACATATAAACCGTTTGGAACCATGGCACCCCCCAAAGAAGAAGAATCCCACGAGGTATCATCTCCCCCCACCCCCCGTTGTCCTGCCCCCCCTCGCTCACTAACCCCCCTCCAGGGCGCCTCAACAGCCGAACTCCTCATCGCCTCCTGCCGCTCCAACAACCCCACCCTCCTCGTGTCCGTCGCCTCCCAAGACGACGAAGACGCCGCCGCCGCCCTCCTAAACAACACGACAACCGTAATGGGCAACCACCTCTACCACGAGGCCGCCTCCCGGGGCCACTACGAAATAATCGACACCCTCCTCGACCAGCCCAGCTTCGAGTGCGACCCCGTCAACCGCCTCGAGGGTGACACCCCCCTGCACACGGCTATCCGCTGGATCAACTCGGAGCCCCCCGAGCAGCGCGAGTTCGGCAACGCCCTGGTCGAGATGATGCTCGAAGCCGGGTCGAACCCGAGGATCAAGAACAAGGGCGGGCTGACAGCGCTGCAGCTGGTAGATCCAAGAAATGAAGGACTCAGAGAGCTGATCAGAAAGCACGAGTACGCCAGCCTGAACCAGGGTGACTTTGTCGACGTCGGGGATGTCAAGGGGGGTGGTAAGCTGGTGCAGCAGCAGCAGCAGCAGGGGGAGGAGGAGAGCGATGATGACGCGGAATTCAGTGGGAGTGACGACGAGGAGAGGGCTGAGTGGGAGAGGAGGAGGAAGGAGAAGAGAAAGTAAAATGCTGGGTGGAGTCGAGGGTACAGTACAGTGTGTTGCATGGGTAATGTGTGTTGATTTTACAACAGCGAAGCATCGTTGGGGCATTTTTTTGGTTGTTGATGCTTTCTCTTGAGAGGCATAGATCTGTGGCGATAAATACAAAAAAATAAATTCAATCATGCTCCTGCCGGGGGCAAGTCTGATCACTCTTTGTTCCAGTTTGTTGATCAATACCCAGTATCCATAGTCAAAGATCATCTATTCACAACCCATCAAATCAACCAAGCTAAACATACACAGGTCTTACATACAGCAACACTCTACCAGCCAAAGCTGAATCCAAACCCGCCTACACCATCTATTCTAGCAGCATCGAGGGAAAAAAAACAGGGTATCAAACTTGTCATCAGCCATCGTAATCATCATCATCATCATCATCATCATCATCATCATCATCATCATCAAAACACCACCCCCCCAACAACCACAACCAACATCCCCCCCAAAACCAACCCCCATCCCACTCCCTTCACCTGCCTTCCCGCCCCCGCCCCCACAGGATTGACACTCTCAATATAACTCTTATTCCCAACCTTCTCCCTAACCCTCTCAACAACCCCCTGGTCAGGATGCCAACCCCCACTCGCCAAACTCCTCAGCTCCTTCCCAAAAACCTCCAGTATATTTGTGCTCCTCCCCACAGGACAAAACCTCACCTCCCACCCTCCCCCCGCCGGAACGATAAAGGTGCTCGTCCGGTCGTCGAACGCGTACGAGTACGCGTCCGGGCAGACACTCTTCGCCATCTCGCTGTACAAGCTCGGCCGGCAAACCTCGGGCCCGTTGAACTCCCCCGTGCAGCAGTCCTGCGGCGCCTGCGTCTTGGAGCACGCGCTCAGGCACGGGTCAAAAACCGGACGCTCAATCTTGTCGTCTGGGTAAGGGTAAATCCCACTGCCCGGCTTGGAGGGGGGGTACTTTTGCAGGTCCCACGGGCACCACCTAGCCACCGTGGGGTTGGTCTGTACAGTCTCTAGAGGGATCGGAAACGAGGCGTTGGTGAAGAAGGTTCCCGTACTAGCTGGTTCCGCGAGGTAGCCCGAAGAGGCGATGCAGGCCGCGTTGGTCAGGTTGGGGGGGATCCAGGACGTGTTCTTGGCGGGTATGTATATGATGGCGAGGGGGATGTTGTAGCCGTCGACGAGGGAAATGTCGTAAAAGGTTTGCTTGCCTTCCATGCCGCCTATGAGGTTGAACTCGGCTAGGGTTACCGGGACGGCGCCCTGGATTCTGTTGAGGAAAAGAGGCACAGGAAGGGGAGGAAAGAAAACTTACAGTAAACTGACAGTCCAACTGAGCAAAGCAATCACCTGTCAGACACGCCGCCCCGGCACCATTGACGCCATTGAGGTTGCTCGGCCCCGTACCATCGGCATTGAACGAGCAATTCGTCCTCCCCCACACTCTCCCCTGCCAGTCAGGACTGACATACATTTGCCTCGAGGCTCCCGGTCCGAGTTCAAACCCGCCTGTTCCCGGTCCGATGCCGTTCTGGGTTGCAATGCCGGGCCAGATAGTCTCGGCACAGTTGTTGGTGACAAGCAATGGGATGGGGGTTAGGTTGTTGTGGTCAAGCTCTGTGACTTGGGCGGATGATGATGTGATGGATGCGCTGCCAGTGGTGAGTGTTTTATTGATTGCTGTTGGACCTGGTCCAGAAAGGTTTGCAGGACCGCCGTAGACTGTTACTGTGACGGTCTCAGCGGAGGCATTCCCGCCCAAGAGAGCCAGGGGTGCCAGAACGAGTCTCTTTAGGCGTTGACCGCGGTGCCTTTTCTTGTGTGGGGGCGGTGGTGCTGGGTCAATAACACTTGTGGCTCCGTTCGTCTTGACTGGTCCAGTAGCTGCCATCGTGACGCCGCCTTGTTTCTGCCGACAGCATGCCTTTCCTCCAGCAACCGTTTGAGCCATCTTGATTTAGTGTTTCTCTCCCTAGGACAGCCTTCTTGATAATGGAGCAATAGGGAGTAAGGACAGCCGGTATGGATTGATGCGTCTAGAAGATCTCTAGACAGAAGGGAGGCCGAATAGGAAGTACACTAGGTTAAGAAAAACAACAGGAAGCCAGCACGCTTTTCGGTCGAGGAAAGAGATAGAAAGAGAGAGAGAGAGAGAGACAGAGGTTTGAGTAAAGGAGATTCAGGTTGTTCGCAAATTCCAAGAAAAAAACAAGAGAGTGTCGTGGGCCGATCGACTGTCAAGCCAGATGCAAAAAGGAGGGAGAGGAGACGACAAGCGAGGTCATCTTGGCTCGCCGCGCTGGCTGCCACGACCAAGATGCCATCCTGCCATTGGGAAGCAGGACCTGACTGGTCTTGCCATCAAAATCTCGCCAGAACTTGTGATATCAGGGGCAACATGGAAGGAATGGGTGTGGTCCAAAGTTAAGGGTGGGAGGTCCCGCAGGAACGATTGGTCGTCGGGCGCAGGTCGTCTAAGTGAGATGTCGTGGTGTTGCACGGATGACCCCTGTGGGTAGCGGCAACCGCTTGCCTTGGTTCAAGCAACTCTCCAGCCCTATGCGTGCCCCCAGAATGCTTGCTTGCATGTCTCCACCTGTAGTAGCCGACGTCATCGCTCACTCGAGGGCAATGTGAGGCCTCGCAGGAAACATCGTCAAATCCAAGCTGGTGGGAACAAAAAGGGTCATTACTAAAGTTGATCGTGTTATCTATCATAACCCAGGACAAAACAGCAGACACAACTGCCATGCTCCATTCTTCTGAATCCCGCTATGAAGCCCGAAGCCTCTTACCTGCGTCGTGCCCATGTTGAGTGTTATCTGCCTGAATCGAACGACCCGGTGTTTGCAGGACTTCCCCATCTCATGTTTCAAGTCGTTCCTACTATTTCAACTCCAATCCAAATTATCTGACAACCACTTCTTCCTCTTCATTCCAACATGTTTCCTGTCCTAAATCTACCCTCTACCACTTCAACTCGCAAATTCCGTTGCCAACTATGCGAAAAAAAGCACGCCCATTTTACTTCAGAGAGGTATCATTGTTAAGATCCGATGCAATGTGAAAACTAAAAAGCAGCAACTCCGTCCAGACTTCCAACATTTACCTGAACCTAGCGCGGCACCGGCCCATGACTTCGCCCTGGCACACAAGCTCGGCACTGAATTCTGAACCGTCCAGGGTGAGGTAAATGTCAAAGTAGACACGGTAGAATGTGCCTTGTGGCGTGTCCATTCTTTCGAAATCCTTCTCCAAGTTCTTGCGTGACAAGTCCGAGGTGAGCGTGACAACCTCCTTGATTCCTGTCGAAGTGGTTAATATGATATCATCTCATCAGTCAGGCTGGCAGTCAACTTACTAGGATCCTTGGTATACTCTGGGCAGACATCGTCGTCGCAGGCATACAGGATATCTTCGTACATGAGAGTGGCGCCTGGGGCGACCTGTCGGAAAAAGGACACCTTGACGGGCTCGCCAATCTTGACCTTTTGGCCCTTTTGCACAAAGATCTGTCTGGTAAACTTGCAGCGGTCCTTGCCATCGAGCGAGGGAACACGGTACGCCTCGGGATGGTATCCCTCCTTGAATGGCTGCAAAGTGGCCATCAAGTAGTGACGGCGGGCAACACGGTGTGTGATGACTCTCTCGGTGATACCAGCTGTGACGGCACCCTTGACGATAGCGGCGACGGAATCCATGGGCCGGACAACCTTGGACTGGAACTGAGGTGGAACATGCAGCTTGATCTGTTGGAAGAGGTACTCGGAAGCACCGAAGCCACCGACAACCAAGATGTTTTGGAGGGTGCGGTTTTGCGCCTGAATGGCAATGATCTGGTTGCGGACGAGTTCCAGAATGCGGTTAACAACGGGCTCGAAGCATTGCAGGATCTCCTCGTTAGTGAAAGTCATGTAACCCTCTTCGATGCCGGCCTCTGGGAACTCGGCCTCGATACCAACATCAACAGCCCACTTCTGGCCGTTATTCCGGAAATCAGCCTTGATGCGGTTCTCAAAGTCCATGATGCACTTGGCATAGACACGGCCAGCCGTCTTGGAGCCGTCAGGTAGCTTCATCTTCCGGATCTTGGTGCGGAGGATGTTGCTGAAGTTGCGGTTGAGGGCAGTCGAACCGCAAGAGTCACCGGAACCAGCCGTGCATTCGGCTACTGTGAAGGGGTTCTCATCTTCGACTTCGTAGGCGATCAAATCGACGGTACCACCACCGCAATCGACAATCAGGACGGCGTCGTGCACCTTGAGGTTCAGGAGACCAGTCTTGGAACAGAACAGAGCAGCAGCTTCGGGCTCGCTGACCAGGGTAAGGCGGTTGTCGTTCTCGTCCCGAAGGAAGCCGGCCTGGATAGCAGCCGCTCTCGTGGCAGCCTTGCCTGCGTCGTTCCAAATGGCAGGCACTGTCAGGTAGTAACGGATATTCCTCTCCTCACGGTTGAACACCTCACCCAGAGTCTTCTGGAGGGCCGCTCTCATGGCCTGGCGGAGCTTGAAAAGATAATCGGCGGCCACATCAATCTCCGACTTTCCCGGCGGGAGGGGAGGGAGGTTGATGGGGTCGATATACGTGTTGCCCGAGAGCATCAGCTGCAACTTGAACCATTCTACCTTCTGAACACCCGGCTTGGGGTATCCTGTTGGAGCGAGGGCATCGGCAATATCGGGACCCCAGCCCACAACCTTTTGGTACTGATCATAGTACAGCACTGTGGGAATCTGGGATGGAGTTAGTGCCTGAACCGTATGCACGCAGGGTCGCCGCCATCAGGGTTCTGGGATGCAAAGCCCACAGACCTTTTGCTTGGTGTACGAGCCAGCACCAGGCCACTCTGTAATGATGTCTTCCTTCGCCTCATTGTTGGTGGCGAACGCAAAGGCCACGCCAGAGAACGTGGTGCCCTGATCATTGCCAGCCTCGTCAGTACAGTTATTCAATGGATCTCGTTCACAGTGTCATCGGTTCAACCTACAAAGTCGATGCCAACAATCAGCTGAGCCTTACTCCGGCTGTTTCCTTCCACTTCGGCAGCCACGTTGCGCTGGTAAGGGGCGACAGGGCCGGTAGGCTGCGGCGGCGGGGGAGGGTAGCCGGTTGGGTTGCCATATCCCGGCGGCGGAGGAGGGCCACCCATCACGGGGGGTGGGTACCCAGCGACCGGAGGAGCGCCGGTGTTGATGGGCGGAGGACCACCGACCATTTGCGAGGGCGGGGTGCGAGCCGGGCCTTGGTTGGCGAGGGGGCTGGTGCGACCGACGGGACCGGGAGGGCCGGGAGGATAGTTCTGCGGAGTGTAGCTGGGTGGTCGTGGACCAGGACCTGGATGATTCATTGGGAGACTCTGCTGAGAAAAGTTGGAGGCAATCGACGGGGCACCCGGGCGCGACGGAAACAGCGTCGGTATTTGAGGGGCTCCCAGAGGCGGGGTCTGGGTCTGGGGTACGTGTGGGCTGGCTCTCCCGTTCTGCCCGTTCTGCTGTGGAGGGCCGCTCGATTTTCGCTTACCGAAGCCTGGAAAGCCTTTGAAGCGGGAGTTCGTAGAACTCATAAGGGGAAGGTCGGGGAAATTTAGTATTAAAAGAAATGGGAGAGGAGCAAGGGCAAAGGAGGGGGTGAGAGTGAGCGAGGGTGGGCTGTGTTGCGCGCGGCGGGTTGCGGGTTACGGGCTGCTGGAGGGCTGGACAAGAGAGACCTGGCCGCGAGCTGAATCGGGGAAAACGGCGGATGGGTAGGAGCGGGAAAATTAGGTGCCTCGCAACCGGGGGGGGGGGGCAAGGACACAGTCCGGTTGCAGCGGGTGGGTTCGTTAGTTTTGCAGGTGAGTGAGTGAAGAGATGGAGATGGCCGCTGGTTTGAGCCTCGCGCAGCTAGCTTGCTTGAGAGACTTGAGAGACGGAGAGACTATGATCGTGTGGAATCAAGTTGCTTGGTGAGCCAGGGGCAACTGTTGAGAGGCCGAAGGAACGAGATGTGCTGGTTTGGGTAGTCTGTGGCTGATGACCGCCGGTTCTCTCTCTCTTGCATGGATGCCCAGCACAGCTCACCGCACTAGACAATGGGGGAGCTAGTGTAGGGGTGTGTAAGGCTGAGCAACGGTACTGTACGGTGCTTGAGCGACAAAGCGACGGGAGCACTCTCGTGCCTTTCGTGTCTTTGCTGTCGGGTGGTGCTTCGGGAAACTTGAGTAAGCAAACGGTGGTTTACAAGAAGAGTATAACCCCGGCGACGGCGATGAGAGCTTTTACGGAATGCTTGTGGTGAAGCCCACTTCTCTACGCATGTATGTCAGAAACGGTCGAGTCGAGCTTTTGGCAAGCACATCATTTATTAAAATGCTGCCACTCCCGCCTCGTGCTTCCTTCTCCCAGGCGTCCAATTACGTGCTCCCATCTGCCACTAGGACTCGCCAAGAGCGGAAGGAACTCGATAAGCCCCACCACCTCTTCAAGGACGACAAGGAGTTTATCTTTAAACTCAGCATCGAAGAGACGAAACTCCCATGGTGATGTTCTAGAGCGTGTTAATTATCCGCCCAGTCTGGCGTTTTCGCCAAAAAATGAGAGTCTTGGTGGCCGTACCCGGGCAGCACTATTCAGAAGACCCGATAGCTCTGCTGACCTGCAGAAGGCTCGCCGCAATTGAGGATGGATGGATGTGTCAAAATGGTCGACAGGGGTGACATGGGTTGGGCTTGAGGAACGAGGGGTCAAACATGGCGGCAGAACAGCGGGGTCAGCACCAGCAACTTGGATGAGACCGTGGATCTCTTACGAATGCCGATCTCTTCATGTTGAGCCAACAGACAGACTACGGCAGGCTTCACGGTGAATAGGGTCGGTAGCTTGCATCTCTGCTGCAGAGAGGCTATGCTCTCCGGCCAAGCAATCTGGAAATATTCGCATCTCTTGCCAGGTCTTCGTGGAGAGCGCACCACAAGTGATGCTGTGCTTGGTGGGGTGTTCCGCAACGAGACGGCACGCCCAACACCACCCCAAGCTTATATCTCTCTCGCTGCTCTATTCCGTATCTCCTTCCTTGTGCCCGATGGAACGTTTCAGTCGTCGAGGCCGACCAGAGATATGCTGAGTCTACTTGGCAGTTCTGAGGCAGTTCCTCAGGTCGCTGCCGTTGAACTGCATCGTCGTGGTTCGGATGGCTGGTGGGGGCCGTCCCCCAAAGTGCTGGTGAGGGGAAGTTGCTGCAAGCAGTGCCAGCCGCAGAACTGGGAATCAGCAACTGGTGGTTCTCGATGCCCAATGTCTTTCCAGTGTCTCTGCCCTGCACGGCATCCATTTACAGGTGCCTGATCTAAGCCTGTTCTGGAACCAGGTACGGGATGTGTGGTAGGACCTCCGTAGGACTTTTGGGCGGCTCTTCAGTAAGCACAGGCCAAATCCCACGTGTGGCTGTGTGCTGAGGCGCTGTGCCTCGCTCACCTCGCTGGTTTTTGAGCAACACCCGCGCTTGGGCCAATGATCGGGCTACGAAGATAGCATTCTGATTGGTGGACATCTTTCATGATGCGGAGTCAGTTCACACTGTCTCAGCCGCAGCTACGGAACTTGGTTATTGTTCAGATCTCTCCCATCTCAACGGTGGGTGTCTGAGAATTCACCGTTGGCAATCCCGTCTCTCTCATCAGTAATACTCAGTATTCAACTGTAATCACAAATCTAGCAGAAGATCAAAGAACTCGACCGCTCCTAGCACTCGACTATCTGCCTCACAATCTCGCCAGCTGACGGCGAACAAAGGGAGGCCCTTTATCTCCGCTACGCCGTATCAGGAGTTCTTGTTCCTGGCCCACGTAGGACAATAGCACCACAAGCGCCAAACACCGAGCGGCACATGCCATTGACTTCGTCCCAACTCCAGAATACACATACACTATGCGTTGTTTTTTGGTTGGTAACGGCGTCGATGCCACCTCGTCAACGGATCGTTCTGTGAAGTTGGTCTTCACAATTCAATTCGCAAGTGCGAGTTTATGTCTTGATATGACTCGGTACCGGTGTTTTGTCTATGGTCTTCTCCTATCAGAAACCTGAAAACTCTTCGGCCAGTTCCGTTGATGACTGCTTTTGAGCCGGAGATGACGGTTCCTCTGGCAGAATCACGCCTCTCGGAGGGCCCAGTGGCACAGCTCTAATCAACCGGTCAAACAACAAGTCTTCTATCAACCTTCTACGGGTCTTGGCACCGGCAGCAACTCCTCCCCCACAACGTGGATGAGGTTGCAATAAAGTGTTCGTTGCGACCCAGTGGTGCATTACCACCTTTGACAAGCAGCGGGATGAAAGCCTGCCGGCTGGGGAGGGGTGCCCTCTCATGTGTTGCTACTGGACTTCACCTCATCTCGGATTTACAGAGCTTCGCGTTATACTGCTGACAGCATGGAAGTGCTTGATGAAGATATTCAGATCTCCATGTGTAGGAGTTGGCGGAAATGACCTGTGCAAGGCGAGACTCGAGCGGCACTGTGGAAAAACTTCCCTTTGCAGCTAACCCCATGGTCACAGCACGTTGGTGGCGTTCCGTCATTGGTGTAAACACCAGGTTCATCACGATAGAAGGGCCCCTTGCTTGCATAACAAACAGCGCTAGGATTCAATGAACCAGCGCCGCTACGGCGATGTTTAATTACAGGTAGTTGGGCCAGCACACAGCTAGCTATTGCCCCTGACCGTCTAGTCACAGTAGAGACGTACATAGAGATGATATGCCCATATACTGCCAGGCTTCATGTCGGCAGTCTGTTAATCCATGCCTGATCACCGTTGCACTCTTCCAAAGGAACTTTCACAAGGGTGAAGTCTATATATTGCAATCGTGATCATGATGGACATCTACCGCCCCTCAACCCGAGACAGTCAACGCGCGTTTCTACAATCCCAACAGCAACAGCCGCGTTATTCGCACGATCGAAGGGTTTCGCAGGCTACCTCAGGGGCCACCACTGCGGTACAAAGTCAGCTATCGCTAACATCGCCGCTTTACTCGGATGAGAAGTCGGTAGTCGAACCACCGCTCCCAGATCCGCTTCGTGTACAGGGTTCCGTCAATGTTCCTGGAACATATCCCTTGGCTACAGTGAACGCGGCTCAGAGAAATGGAGCACAACCGGGAGGGTTCAACTGGCCGTCTGATGGAGATCTTGATCCTCTCCCCCGATATCCAGGTACACCAGCTGCCACTCCTTCAACACTAGCTGTTCCGCCTATCGAACGAGAAAAGAAACCTCGAGCGCCTGGGACGATCTGTGGGGTGAGAAAAGGACCGTTTCTGTTGTTATCAGCAGTAGCAGGCCTGGTTCTGCTGGCCATAGCTGTCGGCGTAGGAGTTGGGGTGGGACTGTCGAAGAAACCAAGCGATGATGAAATCGCAGCTAGGTAAGGCTATCGCCTCTACGCTCTCCCAGTTGACCACTAGACTAACTCAATCTCCCAGTTTATCCTCCCCCAAATCAAGCACAACCGACCACCCCCTGCCCAACAACCTCCAAACAACAATCTTCCTGACCGCCACCTACACACCAACTCCCACATCCACTGCCACCTCTGGTACCCCCTCGGCAACACCGACCGGCCTAGGCTGCCCCCAAAGTCAAGGACAGCATTACACCTCGAACAACAACAAGAAGTTTATTACGCTTTGCGGGGTGGATTACTCTGACGATGGGGAAGCAAAGAATATTTCTAATGCAAAGGTGAAGAGCTTGAGGGATTGCTTGGAGTTGTGCTCGAAAAAGAAGGAGTGTACGGGGGTGGGGTGGGGGGTTATGGAAGGGGATAAGGTCGGGGAACATACTTGCTGGATGAAGAACGGGTTGAATAGCAGCCATGAGGCGAGGGGGGATTGGGCGTTTGGGGTATTATTGGGGGAGTAGAGATGGGGTTGGTGGCAGGAAGGGGAGGAGGGATGGTACAAGGGGGGTGTATGATACGTGAGATGAGATACCCTTTTCTTTGTTATTGTATTGATTGCTTAAGGGAGGGTGTTGCATTGCTATATCAAAGAGGCTGATATGACTTAAGGATTCTGTGTCTCTTGCTTGTTGTCCATTAGGTAACAATAGGGACGTATGTATCCACCCTGTGGTTCGAGTCCAGCGGCCGCTATCTAAGCCGGCTTGGTGTGTGTTCTGTCCTTCATTGTTGAGAAGAGATTGGGCCCAGTGCTTTTCGGAGTCATTGTTGATCTACATGACATACACCTTACTGATATTGGTGTGCTGGTCTCACCGTAACTCCGTACACTTAAATGACGAAACAGTGTGGTAGTTGAATGGCCATCCCAAAACAGGGAGCTCCCTAGGCAGGGTTGAGGTCATGAGGCTGATGGTTTTCTATCAAGAAGAGCTGCTCTGGCTACAAGTATAGCTTGAACAGCCACTTGCGTAAATGAGCCGCAATTGATCCATAGTAGACCTTGTCACTTAACATTAAATTACCACTGACATCATCCCAGAGTATAACGTTGTTAACAAAGCCATTTCATAACCACAGAAAACCATTGTCGGGAATGTTGTATTCCAAGAGAGAGGGCGGTGTTCAAGGTAGAAATTTCAGCCGTGTTCCTCTTATCCGAGGAAAGTGCACATGGTCAACAAGAATATTGAGGCTCGTGTGAAAGGCCCGCACAGGGATTGGTTTCCTGGACGTTGGGCGTTGATGGAAACCTCTTGGGTTCTTAAATGCGGTCCAAGTGGAGGTGGTCAGTCTGCTGGTCGCATAGCCTTGAATGTGAGCCAATCATCGGTCCCGAAAGCCGTGTAAGTCGGCTGGGGAGGATGCCTCGATCATCGTGGAGAAACGTGGGGTGTAACCGGGTTTTTCCCATCTTGTATTCCCGGTTCAACACGGCATTCGATATTGGCTGCCCAATCGAGGTGTCTGTTTTGGTGACCTTCATCGAACTACCGAGATGTGGAATGTGGTTGTGGGAGGTTGATGGCCAAGATTCCGGGGTTAAAGGTCGCGCAATTCCTTCAGTTTCCACGGGTCTCTATCGCTAGTTGAGACCACGATAGCTTCATTTTCTTGCTGAGTATAAACAATACTTTCTGCTATCAGATCTTTGCTGTCTGCCCCCTCCTGACCTTGCATTTCTTGGCGCTGTACTTGGGCCGTGATTGTGTGTTTCTTGTTTGCAGGACCTGCAGCTATTTCAGCGCGCATGTGCCAGCTCGATCAGACCGCCGAAACATTCAAAACCCACATATACGTACTGTTTCCCTAGAGTTGCCCCCTCCCTCTTTTTCTTTTCAGTTTCCCAACCCAAAGGACGAGATGTCGCCTTTGGTGAGCTATTTCTAGCCGTCCTGTCTCGATACCTCAATACGACTCTGCCGCCGTACCCGACTGGCACTCACTACGGAACAAGCGACCCCTATCGAACGCCGAGAGCCCGGCCGAGAATCAGGAGGATCTGATGCCTATCGTGCCTTCTGTTTCACGAATGCGGCGTGCTTGAAGATTCCGAGTGGCTGGTTTGAATTGGCCAATTGGCACAGCAGCAAATAATATCGGACGTACCCTCGGGAGCAAGAACGAACGACACTCGGACTTAACCGACTTGAGGAAGGAGTGCTAAACGACTAGTACCTGTCTATTAACACGGATACCCTAGAATTGGGGAGCCGAATTAGCACCGTCTATTTGGCCGATTCCAGGAAGACCCAAGGGACCTCGCTTCCGCATCACGTCCGGAGTCGCTGCGCAATTTCTAGAGCTGCAGCACCCAGCGGAAACCACAACCTCAAAGTCCGCCCATGACTTCATCGGGTGATTCTGTCGCCCAGATACGGCCCGTTTCCTAGCCAAGACCCCCCGCGAGGTCTCCGCCTCGAGCCCCGGCTGGCCTATCAGGACCCAACCCAACAGAAGCAGCCCACCCGGCTGCCCCTCAGACGTCCGTCGAAGAATTTCTTGGCACTGAACGTCGAGCCGCCAAAACGTCGTCCCCAAAGTCACAAGGCGCCTTTTGGCGCGCCTTTAACAGGAGACCACCAGCTGCTACCAAACATAAATCTAATTCGCGCAGGTCCAGGTCGTCATCATTGTCTGCTTCGTCTGGTCTGCTCCATCTGTGCTCCGTGGTCTTTCTGGTGCTGGTCTTTGTAAGTCGGTCCCATATAGGCTCAAAGAGAGCTCTTTTATGTCACGCAGCACCTACCCCGCCGTGTCCGCCCCCAGTGCCCCGCATCAGCATCCATCATCACTCTCCATCATACCCCCCAGCTTCCATGTGCCAACAGCCCCTACAGCCCCCTTCGATTCCTCCAACGCGCACCACCTATTCTTATACCTAACCCCAACCTCCAACTAACCATTGGCGCAGGCCCTCCAGTTCTTTCTCCGTGACGCAAAGCTATTTTATTCTGATATCTTCAACAACGCCCGCCCCCTTTTCCAGAGCTGCGCACTCGCCCCCCGCCGGGAACCACCACCAGACCCTTCCAACGTGCGGCAACCCCATCTCCGTCCCCTTTCCAACTCAAGCTCCAGTTTCAAGTCCTCTCAAGATGACCCTCGAAGCCCAAAGCGCGGCCATTGCCGCCCAGTTCGACTACACAGATGATCAGGTGAATAGCGCAGTCAATGAGTTCCGCCGCCAAATGAGTGAGTTGACTAGGTAGCTCGATCCCCTGATAGCTTTGTCCTAACCCACTATGTCGCACAGCGGAGGGTCTGGAGAAGGACGGAACCAGTCTGAGTCAAATTCCCACATACGTGACGGGCGTGCCCAATGGCACTGAGAAGGTTAGTGCACAGTTTGGTGAACATGGGCCGCACCTTGTGCTTGTTGCTGATACCTGCTCCAGGGTTTGTACATGGCTGTCGACCTTGGCGGAACCAACTTTCGTGTTTGCTCCATCCAGCTCAACGGCGACACCACATTCAACCTGACCTTCACCAAGGTCGCCATCCCCAGAAAGCTCATGGTTGCCAAGACGGCGCAAGAGTTGTTCGCTTTCCTCGCCAAGCAGATCGAACTGTTCCTCCAGAAGCACCACGAGGACCACTTCGAGCAGCATGTTCGCCGACGGATGACCATGAGCTCCCCAGACGGCTACAAGGACGAGCACGTTTTTCGGTTGGGCTTCACTTTCAGCTTCCCAGTACAGCAAGTAGGAATCAACAAGGGCACTCTCATAAGATGGACGAAGGGCTTTGACATTCCTGATGCTGTTGGCAAGGACGTGTGCGCGCTCCTCCAGGACGAGATCGACAAGCTCCACCTCCCCGTCAAGGTGGCTGCTCTTGTCAACGACACAGTCGGTACCCTCATGGCCCGCTCTTACTCTTCTCCAGGCAAGACCGGCACCGTGCTGGGTGCCATCTTCGGCACCGGCACCAACGGCGCGTACGTTGAGAAGCTTTCCAACCTGAAGAAGCCCCTCTCCGGCGAGTATGACAAGACCACCGGAGAAATGGTTATCAACACCGAGTGGGGTTCGTTCGACAACCAGCTCAGTGTTCTTCCCAACACCGCGTGGGACGTTGCCCTTGATAAGGCGAGCCCCAACCCCGGTATCCAGATGTACGAGAAGCGTGTGTCGGGCATGTTCTTGGGTGAGATTCTGCGTCTGGTTATTATCGATCTCCTGAAGGACCCCAAGGTCTCTTTCTTCAAGGACGAGAACTCTAGCTCCAACGACTGGAAGTCAACCACCAATATTGTCTCGGAGTCGAGCATCTACACCCAGTGGGGTCTCGACACGGCCATCATGTCGGTCGCCGCGGCTGACAACACCCCCGAGCTCTCGACTCTCCGCGGCGAGCTCGAAAAGCAGTTGGGCATCTATTCTGCTGGCCTGGATGATGCCCAGGCTTTCAAGGCTATTGCCAACGCCATTGGCCGCCGCTCCGCGCGCCTTTCCGCTGTCGCCATTGCCGCCATTGTCCTGCAGACAGGCAAGCTCACGGATCCCGCCAACGCCGACGAGCCCATCGACATCGGTGTTGACGGCAGCTTGGTCGAGCACTACCCCTACTTCAGGGATATGATCTACGAGGCTCTGCGCGCTATTGACGGCATTGGTGAGGAGGGCGCCAAGCGCATCCGCATTGGCATCGCGAAGGATGGGTCCGGTGTCGGTGCTGCCTTGATCGCCCTTGTCGCTGCCGGGATGGAGAAGAGGTTGACCACGGCCGATTACCTCGGCGAGCTGCGCTCCAACGCCAAAAGTAATAACCTTACTGTTGTGCCAGAGGATGACGCTGCTCAGGACTAGAGGTCGAAAAAGCAGTCAGACTTCTCACAAACCACGAGCTCGCCCGAGAAACGCTCGAAACGGTCAAGTCGATCGGGTTGGCGGTCGGGCTCAGTATCTCGCTCCTCGAAAAAGGAGGGAGAGCAATGCTGTATTGTCATGTAAGAGTGATATGGCGCAGGTTAGGATACCACGGCCAGGAGGGACAGGGCCATTGCTAGTTGGGGGATTGGGGTCATTCGAACGGGCTGGCTGGGCTGGCGTCTGTCAACACGACACACAAAAGGGATGATGACGAACGAATATATGAACATTCGAAGCTGCAACAACGTTGTTTCCTGCTAGCCCAAAGTGTATAGTTGTGTCTGGGGTTTCATGTAACTTTTTTTCTCTTGTTCTTCTTCTCAGGCCTTTGAAAACGGGTTTGGTTGAGGGTTTGACACGTTACAAACAATGGTAGTATGGTTAGTATGGATGGTAGGGTGGGAAAGGGAAGGGATGGGTTTGGTTTGACAACAAGCACACACAACACACATACATACGCACGCCCCTCAAAAAGTAAGGCTTTCTTGTTTTTCACTTTTTGGTTTTTGTTAAATAGTAGTTTTTTTTATCGTGGCTTGCTTTGCTTGGGGGGTCTATCGAAGTTCGTTAGCGTCGTCATTGTGAGGAACCTGGTGACGAATCCAAAGTTCCTCTATTCATAATTGATTATTGACCGAAGCTATGCGGTGTCTCTCCAGTTTTTCCTTTGGAATCCACTTGTGAAAGCGAGAAAAATACGGCCCTCGCATGTCCTCTTGCTGCTTCAGAGAGCCGTCTGCGTTTTTTTTCACATGGCTGAGAGGTGAAGAGAAAACATTACATTTTTCTATCTTTCGTTTTAAACACCATATTTAAAAAACCGATTGTTGGCCCCCGCCGCCCAATCTCCCGCTCTATCTAAGAAACAAAGCAAAAAAAAAAAAAAAAAAAAAAAAAAAAAAAAAAAAACAAGCTTGCTGTATAAAGTCCACGTGTCTTTTCATGTGTTGCTGTCTCCCTGCTCTATATCATCTTGTGTCTCGTGTATGCACCCACACCCGTATATATAATTAAACCAACATCTATCCCTTAATCCAACCCAATCACCAGGAAACTTCTATAAAAAACCTGCTCTGACGAACAAAGCAACCCCCATATTTCACTGCCCAAACGCCGCCGAAGGGTAAGCCCTCTCCTTCTTCTTTCCAATCCTAGAGCTGCTCCTCGAACTAGTCGTCGAAGACCCAGCGCCGCCGCTCCCACTTCTCGGAGGGGGGACAAGCCCGCCGCCGGCCACCATTTCCGCGGGAAGGTCGTTCCATTCCGTTTCTGGCCTTCTATTCTGAAACGACAAGGACGTGGTAGACGAAGCAGGCGAGACAATGGGCGATTTCTTCGGGGGCCCAGGGGCGGCGCTGCTCGTGGAGAGTAAAGACCCCGTTGGTGGTGGCAAGTTGACTGCTGCTGTCAAGACGCTAGGTGTTGTTTGTGGCTGTGGTGAACGGATTGTAGTCGGTTGGAGAAGAGGGGCAGTTCCAGGACCGATGTGCCGTGATACTATCCAGGCTGTGTCGGGTCGTAGTTTGAAGTAGTACCCCTTGACCGGACCGGAACTGTCCCGTTCAAACCCGCGGGCTTGGTACCACTTTAGTCCTTCCTCGTTTTCGGTCCAGACGTGAGCGTAGATTGTTCTCGCGTCGATGGTCGTTCCCGCTGCTGGGAGGAGGGTGGCGGAGGCGATGATGTGGTCTAGGGCTGCGGCGGCCAGGCCGAGGGAGCGGTACGGGGAGAGGAGGGCGAGGGACTGTATGTAGATTGCGTGGTAGGGAGTGTTGAGGGAGAGGGAAGGGGAGGGTTTGAGGTTGCTCCCTAGGGGGGGTGGGGGGTTGGCTAAGGGTTGGCCGTTGGCGTCGAGGAAGAAGTTTGGTTCGAGACGGCAGACTAGACCGCCGATGAGCTTGGGGATGTCGGAGGGGGTGTCTTGCCAGAGGATGGCGCGGGAGAAGAGGCCCGAGACGAGGGGGTCGAGGACTTTGGAGTAGAAGGAGTCTGGGTAGGCTACGGGGAGGAGGAGGGCGTTGATTCGGCGGAGAGCGGGGATGTGGTGCTCTTCGAGGGGGACGATGGTCGCGCCGGAGGGGATGGAGGGCGGCGAAGGGAGGACGGCGATGGTTGGGGGAAGGGTTATTGGGATAGGGCCGGTCGTTTGGGCGGCAACGGGTGAGGGATATCTTGGTGATTCAGTTGTTGGAGGTAGCGGCGGCGCTGGGGGAGGAGGAGCCGCCGCTGGTGTTGACTTGGTCGTGTCATTGTTCGTGGTGTTCTGGGTGCCGTCTTGGAGTTTGTCTTGAGGCGGGGCACCCGATGATGGAGGGGCAGCGTAGGCTGGTTGAGGTTTGGGCTGGAAGAATGAGCGGATGGATGACTGCTGTGGGTGCGACATGATGTGTGGTTGTATGGGTTGCTTCAGTGTCATAAGCTAGACATGTTCTTCTGTGGCTGTGGTGATGGTATTAGTAGAGGTGGAAGTTTACGCTTGTCAACAAACAACCGGAATGTTCTTTGCGAGTGATGAAGACCCCTGACGAGCACCCCCTAGAACTTCAAACGGGTTCATGGAAAACGCTCAAACCCTGTTTGATTGGTCCCCGCGAACTGACGTTCCCCGCCTGCGTGCGCTTTGCTGCATCGAGGCAACGGAAACGAATCGCAATCGATGATGGAATTTGATATTGGAAGATCCCCGTTTTCTGCCACGTCGAGTGTAATATTCCATACATACATGCAGCCTCAGCCTCATCAAGCATTTATTACTAGGAACTAGACGAGATCGAATTGTACTCCACGTCGAATCAGTTCAAGTCCGAGGCACGACAGCAAGCCAGGAGCACAGAGATCCCTAACCCCGGCCTATCGCAAAGCTGCAGCGGTCCCAGCTCACAGGGATCATTCCGCCCGCGCCTGCTGTTAGTTCCCGCTAAACCTTGGTACCTCAACCCCCTACAGCGAAAATAGGTGACGGCTGAGACAGCTTTTTTCCCTCTTCATATCATCAATAACTTTTTTGCCTGCTCGTCAAACCATCCGCGACACCAGCCCTCCGCTTCAAGAGAGCTGTATTCTGCAGACGAATCTTTTGCCCACCTACCGTTTACAAGGCCTGCATCAGATTTGTGGTGCAGAACAGCCGAGCTATGTACTAGCGGAGGAGGAGGCTGACTTTTTTCTGCATCTCCCAAGTCGCGGGAAGGCGACCCAAAAATTGGTAGCCGGTTCAATTAGCAAGGTTGGCCTGAATGGTGTCGGTTGGCGTTGCAAGACAACCCCAAAACCATCCCACACGACGACCTTTCAGCCTTCTTCTGTTCGCCGTTCAATTTACTGGACGGCAACCAATACAGAGTATGTCATCAGGAACGGGAGACACCGGCCTTGCCGGCATCGTCATCGCTCCCGAGGATGCGACTTCAATGGACAAGCTTGTAAGTTTGGCTGCCGGTCGCGTTGCGCCCCCTCGCTTGGGCCTGTCCGCCTCGTGCTGCCCACCTTTGCACGCTTGCTAACAGGATCGGTCTTGTTTCTCTTTGCTACAGGCGCACTCAGTGCTCGACGACATTCTTTACGATCTTGTTCATGATTTGTTGATCAGGGTCCACCGGGACGAGAAGTCGGCTCGCGCCAACACAGCCGCCATCAAGGTCGAGAAGCTCGCACTCGGTGCCATAGATGGCTCAACACCAGACCAAAGACCCGACGTCGAGATTGAGACGGACGCGGCAATCTACAAAGATGGAAGAGTGACACTCAAGGGCAACCCCCTCAAAACAACCAAGGAGATCCTCTGCCCAAGATGCAATCTTCCAAAACTATTACACCCAACAGACGGGAAAGGTGCGAAGAAGCCAGACCCCGGTGTCATCTACTGCAAGAGACACCCATACATAGAGAAGCCGGGTTTTGATATCTACGGCCAGACCTGGGTCGCTCCAGGGCCAGGTCGAGGCAAAAAGAAGAAGGATATGGAAAAGAAAGACCTCAACGATCCAAACTCGCCAGTCCCAGGCACAGAAGGCAGCGCCAAGGACCGGCCACCCAACGTGCTCAGTTTCCCCAGCGCGACTTGTAGCAAGTGCAAGCGCTGTATCCTGGTGACGCGTCTCAACAATCATATGGGGTCGTGTATCGGCAACAGTGGGCGAAATGCGAGTAGGGCAGCAGCCCAAAAGATCAGCAACAGCAATGGCGGCAGCCAAAACAATGACAACACGCCACCAGGCAGCCAGAAGGGCACACCACTTCCCGGCAGTCGTGCTGCTAGTCCCAAGAAGCGGGATATGGACGATCCTGATGACGATGCCGAGGAATCAGATGCTTCCAAACCCAAGAAGAAGATCAAACTGGCCACCACTTCTCTCAACAAGAAGGTCACTCTGAAGGCGGCAAATACCACCAAGAAGGAAAAAGCCAAGGCCAGCTCCATGCTCAACGTTGAGCAGAAAGTGGATGATGAAGATGGAAAGAACTCAACAGTGCAGGTTGCCCCCAAGAAGACCAACCCAAAGGGCCCGTCGCCGGTGAAGAACAAGATCAAAGTGGCAAAGCCTACTCAACCGTCGCCCGCTGGAAAGGCGAAGGTCAAAGTTAGAGAACGCGACCTAGAGAGTGAGTCTTCTGGCACGCTGTCCTCGCCCCCACGCTGACCGATTAGCATCGGTCTCGCCTTGACGGCAACGACGGACGAGCGACAACGGTTGCTTCTCGGTCAAAAGTACTTTTATTCTGCTTCTACACAACTGCATTGGTTAAGGGGTTATGGTGGTTTTTGCATTGCTCACAGGCGTTTTCTGCATTTCAATGGACACCCAGCATCCGCAAGGATAGTATTGCGAAAGAAAAGAGACAGCGGTTGCGCCACGACGCTTCTATAAGATGGCAAATGGCAACAGCCGAGGACAGTGGAAGAAGAGAGGATAGCAAGATATGGCTGGACGGGCACATGTTGTATAAACGAAGTGAATAGAACTGTCTATTCTTGCCTCTCACATGACGTACATTAAGTTTCAATATAAATCAGAGTCCATTCGTCCTTCTGAAGTAAAGGAGTGAGCATGGTTTGTTTACAGTGTGCATACAGTGGGCGTCTGTAGATCCGGCAGCGCTTTCAGGGCATTGCTACAGTGCGATTACTGTGGAGTTCAACCACAAGCTTCAGTCGCATCCAGTTTGGGTTCATCAGTCTCATTCATCTTTCTCACTGTTTACAAAACCACTTGATATTGGCAACAACCTCGGCCGAATTACAGTTTTCGGCTTATTGATTCAACAAGGGCTCTTTTTTTCCACATTACGAAAAGCCATTGGCCCTCATCCACTCACCAAACAACCTCACCGCACCTTTCACAAACAAAACAAACCACCGCCCACAAGCAAAGATGGCGCCTACAAACGTCGTCCTCGAGACCACCATGGTACTCCTCGTCACCTTTTTCCTTACGAAGTAATTAATAGAACTGACGTCAAAGAGCAGGGCAACATAGTTTTTGAGCTGTACAACGACCACGCCCCCAAGACGTGCACCAACTTTTCCACCCTGGCCCAGCGGGGGTATTACAACGGGACAATATTCCACCGCATCATCAAGGATTTCATGATCCAGGGGGGTGACCCGACGGGCACAGGGAGAGGCGGGGCGAGCATTTACGGGGAGAAGTTTGAGGATGAGCTTAGGGGGGATTTGAAGCGTGAGTTACACAAGGTATTCGTCGCTTGAGAGGGCGGCGATGCTAATGCGAGAAAATAGACACCGGGGCTGGCATCCTCAGTATGGCCAACGCGGGCCCAAACACCAACGGGAGTCAGTTTTTCATCACGTTGGCTCCGACGCCATGGCTGGATGGGAAGCATACTATTTTTGGGAGGGTGAAGAAGGGGATCAGGGTTGTGCAGAGGATGGGGTTGGTGCCGGTTGATAAGGGGGATCGGCCGGTGGAGGAGGTCAAGATTGTGAAGGCTTATGTTACGGAGGAGGGGGCTGAGGATGAGTAGGTGGATGTGAGATCTTGAGGCGTGGTATAGCATGAGCTTCCTGGAAAACTATTTCACCGATCCTTAAACTTCGCATTCGGCCTGTCTTAGTTGCTTCACAATTGGCTTGATTCTCGGCTTTACGTGCAGAAAAGGGGGTTAAAAGCCTGCAGCTTGTGCCCAATCCCAGGCAAGACTCACACTGGTCAACTCAGAGCCAGGCAGAACAGAGATCTTCTCGGGGGGTGAAATATCACTCACGATCCGAACAACGGTCCCGGTGCGAGATCTGACGATCATGGGCATATGTGCGCCATCTAACATGAGGAGAACATCACCTTCCAACAACATAGCCTTCTCCCTTGATCGTGACCGAGTCCCTGTTATCCCGAGCATCGATAACTACCGGGTGGGTCAACTTCAGAACGGAACGTGTGAGTTGTTGGGCTAGATGCGACCAGGAAATGTTATAGTCTGGCAGCAGGGCGCTAGGGTCGTCTGAGCACATGCCGAGCAGAGCATATACCTTATCACGGCGGTCCGTTGCTTCGCGGTGGCGATACCTGTCGATAAGATCACTCAGCGGGCGGCCGAGACTGAGAGAAAACCGTGAGCCGTCGTCCTCTGCATGTCGAGGTTTTCGGTCTGCATTCTTCATCAAAACAATAGTGGGTTCGATTGGGGTACGCAAGAACTGCATCTCCGGATCGTGCTTGTCTTGCATGTCCGCATAACGCTGCCGATGCCTGAGCAGAACGCCTGGCCGCTGAGGTCGTCACTGCCGCACTTGATAACAATGCGGCGAGTGGCGAGTGGCCGCTACTTCCTGAACTACCCAGATGCGCTTGAACCAAGGGCGGTTGAGGAGCTTCCTGATGTCCTGCTTGTCCAGAGACCCAATCTCATGGGTGTCAATGAACTCCTCAGTTCGGCTCGGAGCTGCCCGACGGGGTATAATTGGAAGCCGCCCGTGACGGCGCATTTTCGGGAAGTGTTTCGGTTTCAATATACCTTCCTTCCATTCTTTCTCATCATCTGGCAATGTGGCAAGCGATCGGATCGTTCTCATAGCTCTGCCACTCGCCTCTGTTGCGGGTGCTAGCCAGACAACCACAGCTCTCGCTCTGGCGTAGATCCTCGCCATGTACTCAACTTAATGACCCTTTTCGTCGTCATCGCTTTGGTTGATGCAAATGGCGTCGATCCAAAAAAAAAATGCGCTCTATCCAGGGACCACGCAGACTCAAAAGCGCTGCATGGAGGTTTTCACCGACGATGAATTCACAGCCATCGACGAGTATGAAAGGAGGATTCTCCCCGAGTGGTGGCGAGCCCCAGACGTGGGACAAGGCTTCGTATAACCCGGTTTCTCTGTGTCCTCAAAATCGGATATTCGATATGCTGCAACTGATAATGGCGGAGACGTCGGGATTCGGGTGTATTCGAAGGAGACGGATGTTGCCATTCGGAAGTGAACGATATACGTAGGGCTTGTCTTTCAGAAGAATGATAGAAGGGATAGAATCCTCGGACTGGGAACAACAGGGGGTGGCAGGAAGGGGCAAAGAGCACTTGGAGATAGAAGTGCTTTCTTTGGCTTCCATCTTTCTATACAAAAGTGCTGATGTTCAAGAGGGGTAGTCTTCAACCTTGCTGTGAAACAGGTTGAGAGTGAGCAATGACAGTCGAAGAGAGAGCTGGGAAAGTACCAGGTCTCGATGCAGCCTCACTCGTCGAATTTGCTCGTTGGACCACCTCCATATGTACCTAGCTAATCAACATTCACCACGCGCACCATCAAACTTCTCACCACCTTCCACTTATCCTAGCCCCCAGGCTAAAAACTGAAATACAACTGAGCTTCAGATCAACTTCATAAACAGTTAAAATACACTAAAAGGTCAAGATCGATATTCCAAGCGAGCAGAGCTTGATCTACCTACCTTCTCTGGAAATCATCGATGGTCACGATTCGTAGAAATAACTCTCAAACAGCTCGCTTTATCAAGGTGCACGCTTTTTACCGTCAGGGGAACTCTCCTTCGCCTCCATTTACAGGTTAAGATAGGGACGCACCCGCCCCTGAATGACGTGACTGTTGACATTCCAAAGGGCTTCCACCACCTGAGTACTAATTCGGTCGCTGAAGAATTATCTTTGGGAGGGTTACGTTCCCATCAATGAGGGCAGCCAAGCCAACCACAAAAATACATCCCAACACCCTCCTTTTCAGATGTTTGACGTCTATATGATCAAAACAAGTGTTTTAGACGCCAATTAATCAGAATTAAGTTTAAAAAAGGCCAAAAACATACAACACCGAGGATTCCTCGGTGGTCACCCACCTGGGTACTAATTCGGCACTCAACTGCTTATCTAGGGGAGAGCGGACGGGATCCCGAGTTTTCAGTTGGTTATGGTCGTACGTGAAAGTTATTGCTTGAGTTAAGGGATATGATGAGAGTTTCTGGGGGACCGTCGCTCAGGAGAAAGAATCGTGGTGTTGATCTCGCAGGGAAACACACCACTCACAGGACAGGACGGGTGAGATGATGAACAATACCATTAGTGGCAACCATGTCCCAATGACAGACTACCCAAAAAAAACAAACGTTAACCCAATGCCAATACCCTTTTCGCCTGTCTTGCTTGCCTTTGTCCCTTTCACTCGGCCCCCGCCCCCTCCCTCCCAGAAAAAAGAACAGTTTCAATCTTCCCATATCGCCCTTGCTCTTTACATAGCCCCAAGCACGCCCATAACGCCCACACAGGCCGCACCAACCAGCACCGGAGCAGCAGTCATAACAGCCGCCGCACCAGCAGAAGAAGTCGACGTCCCGGTGGAAGTCGCCGTCCCAGTTCCAGTGACAGGACCGGCGTTGTCCTGACGGGTCGGAGCAGCTCCGGCAGTGGCAGAGAAGCTCTTGCACTTGGCTAGGCCCGCGCTCTCGGCCGAGATCAAGTCCGACATTGGGCAGGCGTCGAGAAGGCAAGGACCGGCCGAGGCGGCGATGGAAACCTGAGTAGGCCCGCACTGGCAGGCGACGTCCGATGCGGCGCAGCCTGCAGCGCTAATAGCGCTGATGAGGCATGATGTCTAGTGGGAGGTTAGATGGGGGATGGAACTGAGGGGGAGGGAGAAGGAAGTACAGCGCAGGCGGGCTGCCCTTCGAGGTTCTGAGCCACGGCGAGGGTGGTGAAGAGAGTGGCGGCGATGGCGAGGAACTTCATCTTGATGGTGTGGCTGAGATTGAGTGGTGATATATACACAGCTGTGTTATGGTTGCTAAACCCAAAACTTGATCACAGATGGTGTATCTTCTGAAACAAAATCCCACGAGAGAGAGAACGAGAGGGAGGGATAGGCCAGAAGAAGAGCAGAAGAGAAAGAAACCCCTTCCCACTGAAAACAGCGCGAATCCCTACCTCAGCCCTTTTATTCATCCCCCCTCTTCAATACACCTCGTCACTTGTACCATCCCCATCTTGGAAAAAGGCAACACTCACACAAAGGAGTACATCCCCCTTGCAAACAGTATACGCCAGCAAGAGGCGAAACAAGAACACTAGTTCCCGTCATCCCCCCATCCACCCCATACCCCCAACAACTACCCAATCCAACTCCATGATTCGCCGAAGCTATTCACCGGGAAGGGAACAAGCTAAGCTATGAAAGAACCCTCCCTCCCTCGGTACTTCCAAGCACTTCCCTCTCGTAGCTCCTCAAGCACAACAAAGAAAAAACAGGCAAGCTTGTATCATGCCAAGCTATCCAACTCGAGGGAACTTTACCACAGCACATCGTAAGACCTGATCGTTCTTTGACGCATGACGTGGATGACCCTCCATGGATGTGATATTTCCGTAACTCGGGTAGGACACAGATTGACGAACGGTCCGCGGTCACCATACATCATTCCCACCTCCCACCTCAACAGAACCATCGTCGTGCGCGCGCCTCCTGTGCCGTTGTTCATAGTGGGGGGCCCGTATCTGCGTGCATGACAGCCGCATCCGGATCACGAACCACCGACTACCAAGCTGTCAGTCAATCGCATCGCTGCACCTACCCGCTTGTCCCCCCTGCCCGTGGCACCCCATTGTTTATGACATCCCATCAATAGCGCTGTGTGTGTTGGTGGCCCATGAAATTTCGGTTCGCTTGATACCCCCAGAGTTATTCCCCAAACCAACTCCGTGCCTCAAAGGGGGGCTTGTCCACGCCGCAATATCCCGCCGCAAAGGATTCATGTCAAGTCCGTGATCCGACTAGCTGGGAAAAGGCATAGTCTTTTTGTTGCTAGGAAGCGAGAGTCGCTTGGCAGGTGAGAAGAAAACAAAGCTTCTAAAGCTTCGTCTAGCAACAAAAACAAACACAAAAAAATGCCAAGACCTGTAAAAGCATTTATTTAATGATAAAAAATAAATAACATCTCCTCCGGGAAGGCTCGAACTTCCAACCTCCTGATTAACAGTCAGACGCGCTAGCCAATTGCGCCACAGAGGATTTGTTGTAGATTTTGTGACGATTCAGCCATTATGGTGCCGGTGATTACCGCAATTCTGCTGATATCACCCCTTACTCTGAAAACAAGTTCACTCACAAAACGTCCACTTCATCCCCAATATCTAGCTATGCATAAACACACTTGTACATTATGCTACTCCCATACACACTATGATAAATATGACCAAAGCATGTTCCAACCAACAGCTCCAGCTACAATAACAATAGCAATCCACAAATATTTTCAAACAACCACCCCATTACCCATCCATGTTTTTACCTCTCCCCTTCTCGCTCCCAAAAACCCCAAGAAAAAGTAACTCATCAAAGAACATATCCATAATCCATCATCATATCCCCCCAAGCTCTCTCACCAGCCATCCAACCCCATCCTAACCCTGGAAACCCCCCTCTCACCCTACAAGAACCCCTTCAAGCTAGGCACCCTACTAATGCTGCTCTTCCGCTGCGGGACTCTCCCATCCTCCACCAAAATATTCCCATCGCTCCTCCACCCCTTCCCCCTCACGCTCCCCCCAAAGACGCTCGCCCCCGTAGCTACACTAGCCCCCGAAGGCCGGTCCTTCATCGCCTTCCAGCTATCGAGCTCCCTCTCCAACTGCATAATTCTCTCCCTCTCCTCCCTCAGCTCCCTCTCCGCCCTCCTCGCCTGCAGTTCATTCGAGCTCTCCGACGCCTGCAGCTCCTCAATCGTCTTGAGCAACTTGTCCATCTTGTCCCTCATCCTCGTCATGTCCTCCTGCAGCTGCACATTCTGCCTGTCCTTCCGGTCGATCTGTGTCTGCAAGTCCTTCACGGTCCTGTCCACGTTACGGACTGATCGTTGGGATTTGCTCCGCTCGTTCAGGTGCTGTTCGAGTTCCGATTCGAGCTAATTTGGGGGGGGGGGGGGGGGTAATGTTAGTGTTATGCTGAAAGGTTAAAGCTTGGGGGTAGGGGACCTCGAGGGTGTTGTGTTGCATCCAGGACTTGACAACGTGGAAGAAATAAACAAACTAACCTCCTGGATGCGCTTATGCAAGAACTTGATGTCATGACTGGCAGCCGAATACCCCTTCGTCTCCAAGTCAATCAGCTTCAGCTGCACCTCATTTAGCGACTTCTCCAGCACATTCTTCTGCTTGTGCAACTCGGCGCTAGCCTCGCGCTCAGCCACTATGTCCTTTTGAACCTCAGACACCAAAGCCTCAGCGCGGCGCATCTTCTCCACCGCGGCAGCAGCAATATCCTGCTGTTGAGCCAAACCAGACTTGAGCTCCAGAATCTCCTTGTCGATGTTCGCAGCATTCCTCAGCGAAGGGCTCTCACTGTTGGCCAAGTCCTCCAGACCAGCCTTGGCCTCTTTCAACCGAGCCTCGATGCTTTGCTTCTCGCGGGCAAGGTTATCACGCTCGGCAGTGATATCATCCACCGACGTCCGAAGATTCCGCACCTGCTGAAGAAGCGACACAATCTTGCCCTGGGCATCGTTGTGAGCATTAACAGCCTCATCTCTCGAAGCCATAACATCCGAGAGCGTCGACTCCAACCGAGCCTTTTCCTTGGACCAAGTAGAGCTGTTGAGGACTTCGTCATCCCACTTGGACCTCAGCTCGTCAAGCTCCTCACGCAAGCGCGTAATCTCGGCCTGCTTGAACAGCTTCTCCTCCCTCGCAAGATCAAGCTCCTTGGTAAGAGTCCCAAACTCGGCCTGATACTTCTTGCGAAGCTGCTCCATGCTCGACTCCTTGTCCTCGATATCGTTTGCCCGCTGATTGCGATAATCCTCCAGCTCGTGCTGCAGCCTCTTCTTGGCCTGAGTAGCAGCCTCAAGGTCGGTCGACATGTCTTCGATCTTCTCCTCCAAGCGTTGATTCTGGAGCTGAAGATCCTCAATGGTGCCGTCGAGCCTCTTCCTTTCAGACATCATCTCAGCACAAGCATCCTCCGCATCCTTTGCTTGCGCCTTGGCAAACTGCTCGGCCCTGGTAGCCTTGAGCACAGCAATCTCGGCGTTCTCAAGTTTGGCAAAGTACTCATCCGCACGACCCTTGTACAACTGCAAGTTGGCAGCAACATCAGCCAGTTTGCTGGTCTCAGAGTCCAAGCGGATCTGCAAGTCAGCAAACTCCTGCAGCAGCTGGTTTCGGCTGGCGGCTTCCTGCTCGCGCGCAAGTGACATCTCCTGAAGGTCGGACTTGGCATCGCGGAGATCGAGTTCGATCTTGGCCCTGTCGTGTCTGAGTCTCTCAAAGTGCTCCTTGATATGGGCCAATTCCCCAATGGCATCATTGTGATCAGACAGGAGACGGCGGCGGGAGTCCTCTTGGCTATGCAACAGATCCAGAATCTCCTCGTGAGATCTAGTCTGGATGTCGCGGAGAGAAAGCTCACCGGCATGAAGCGCCTTTTCAAGCGCAGACACCTTCTGCGAAGACTCATCAAGCATATGGTGCAGCTTGCTGTTCATCTGCTCCAGCTTTTGAACACGGCCACTCTCATCAACAGTAGCCTGGGGATCCGGCACAGACCGCTCAAGCTGGCTCTGCAAGTGCCTGTTCTGCATGTGCGCAATCTGCAGCTGGTTTTGCAGCTCCTCAACCTCAGCCTTGAGGTCCTGGCGGTTGTTGAAGCTGAGAATGTCAGCTGTCTTGTCAGACTTGACCGAGTCGAGATGGTCAGTCTCGACCGTGGCGAAGCGGCGAGGAGGAGTAGATGCACCGGAATAGTGACGGCCGTTAGGTCTGGACCGCTTCTGTTCCGGTGAGCCAGGCTCAAAGACGGGTTCGTTAGGGTTGAACTCCCCATGGCGAGTTCTAGTCGGAGACTCAGCCCTAGCTGCTCTCAACTCTACAACATGAGCCTCGGCGTTAGCGCGAGCTGCAGTCTGGACCCGGAGATTCTGCTGGAGCTCCTCAATCTTGCGAGCCAGATCAAGATTCTTGCTGAGGAACTTGTCGGCACCGCCCTCAGACTGAATCGTAGGCACAAACTCAGGGTCAACAATCTTGAGCGCATCCAACAATTGTCCGCGGAGATCAGCAAGCTCAATGTCGCGAGAATCCAGTGTCTGCTGTAAAGTGCGGACTGTGCCCTGAGCGTGTGTGCGGAGCTGCCGTTCAGACTCAATAGTCCGATTCGCCTCAGCAAGTTGCGCGGTGGCACTCGACGAAGCCTTTTCCGCAGCGCGACTGTTCTGCACCTCCCTGGCCACCTCATGGTTGAGATCCTCCAAGCTGAGCTGTAGCTTCTCTAGTCTCTTCTCCAAAGACGCGATGGTAACCTGCGAGTCACCAAGCTGCTTATTGAGCTTCGCGTTCTGCTCCTCCAGCCTGGCCTTTTCCCGCTGAAGACCCATGATCTGGCCTCTGGAAGCCTCGCTCGCCCTCGAGCTAGACCTCGCAATCTCTAGCCCCTTCTGTTGCAGCTTATTGAGCAAAGCCTTGTTGTCATTTTCCGAAGCAGCCAACCGACCCTTGACAGTAACAAGCTCGCGTTCCAACCGCTCCTTGGCCTGGTCATTCTTCAGTCCAAACTCTCCAGACTCAAGAATCACCTTGTTGAGATCCTCAATCTGGTAGGTCAGGTCGGCGACTTGCTCCTCCAAGGAGTTCACCCTGTTGCTGGCAGACTCCAGAGCCTTGCGCAGGCTCTCCTCCTTTTCACGGGCAATCTTGGAAGCAGCCCTTTCACCGATAATCTCTGCTTCCCGGCGAGCTTCCTCAGCCTGCGTCTTGGCCACACGAAGAGCTCGGATTTCTTGCCTGGCTTCATCGCGCTCCTTCTCAGCAGCAGCCCGCGTCTCCATCATACGGCGAAGAGTGTCCTGCTGAGCATAGAGCTCCTTCTCAATCGTGATCTTGGACTCATTAAGGTGGTCGTACTCCTCCTTCAGGGTATTGTATTTGTGCTCGCCAAGAAGGGCAACATCGTCGCGGGACTGACGTTCTCTACTAAGTTCCATTTGAACCTTGTAAAGTTCATCCTTCAAGTCCTTGACCTGTGCCTCGAGAAGTTGACGGTTCTCATCAGCCTGGGCATCCTCCGAGAGCCGAGCCTGGAGAAGCTTGTTGGCATCTGCAGCCTCTCGCTTGAGCTGGTCTTGTTGAGCCCTCACCGCAGTGAGTTCCGCCTGAATGTCACGAAGACGCTCGGCGGTCTTTTCCCTCTCGGCGCTGAGGGTCTTGCGCTGATCTTCAAGACTACGCCGCTCCATTTCGTACTTCTTATTGTCCGAACGAAGCAACGCCAGCTCGCTCTCCTTCTTGCGCACCAAGTCTTCATAGTCGGTAGAAGTCTTGGACAATTGCGCAAGTTGCTGTTGAATCTCCCGGTTCTCAGCACTGAGCTGCGAGTTCTTGGTTCGTGAAGTCTGAAGCTCCTTTTCGACAGTCCGCAGCTTAATATCGAGATCCTGATCAGCCTTGAGAAGCTTGCTCTCCATATCCCGCACCTTCCTATCCTTGAGTGAGAGCTGGCTCTGCAGCATCTTGACCTCATCCTCCAAAGCCGCCTCCTGTGCGCTGCGTTCAGACTGCTTCTTGGCGATCTCGTCAATGGACTTCTCCAGATCAGCCACCTTTGCCGCAAGCTCCGATTTCTCAGCCTCCAGCCTAGAAATGAGACCAGCTGCCTGCTCCAGCTGAGCACGATAGCTGTTCACATCCTCCTCGGCCCGCTTCTTGGCGTCAAGAAGACTATCAAGCTGGTCCTCCAATCTCTCCTGATCATCCAGAGCACCAGCCAATTTGTCCTCCAGCTCCGCCTCCCTCATCTGCAGCCGCTTGAAGATCTCCTCCTTATCCAGCGCAAGCGATCTTTCACTCTCAAGCACCTGCTGAATCTTGTTGAGCTCCGCATGAACATTCCTCCTCTCCTCCTCTAGCTTCTGGCGATTCTCCAGTTCCAACTTCATCTTGTCATGCAGCTGCTTGATCATCTCATCCCTCTTCTTCACCTCCGTCGCCGTCCTTGTCGCGCCCAAAAGCGGCTTCATCCTCACCAGCAACTGCCACCAAGGGTTCTCACAAAGGTCCAAATACACCTGGAAATTCCTCTGGATCACCCTCGTCGCCTCCGCCCGATACAACCGCTTAAACGCAATCCTCCTCTGCATGTACCCCCTCGCCACGCTCTGAAATCGCGCCATGATCTCCGAAATCAGCGCGTCTCTCTTCTCCTCCAGCTCGGCCAGCACCCCCGCCCGGAAGAAAACCTTCGTCAGCCCAACCCGGTAAAGCGACCTGTCCAACCCAAACTTGTCCAGCATCAACCTCGCCACCGCCTGCCCCTCCAAATACCCCTTCGGCAAGTCTCTCACGAGAACCTCATAACGCTGGCGAAATTCCGCAAAGGCCAACCGATTGGGAAACCCCGTCCTCGCGATCCTGATGCCCTCCAACACACCATTACACCTCAGCTGATCCAGCACCAACAACCCATTAAACTGCTTCGCCTTCTTCTTGTGGTTCGGCAGGATACACCTCACAAAGTGCGGGTGCGTCGAATGCAGCTGCGCCATCAGGCTAGACAGCTGCTCTTTGTGCCTCTGAGCAACAGTCCTAAACAAGCCCTTCTTCACCCTGCTCCTCATCCCTCCCACCTCATCATCCTGATCGGCGCAGTCCGCAAACAGATTCGCGACATGCTTATCGGTCGAAGCAGCCAGCAACCTAGTCACATTGTCGTTCATCGGGTCCTTGTTCTTCTCCAGCCACCCCTCGGTCGAATACTCCACCTCGGCAGCATAATGCGTCAAGATGAACCCCTGTCCCAACCTCGAAGGCCGATACTTTTGTGACTTCTTATCCCACAAAGAGTTCAGCTTCTCCGAAAAGGTCTTGTCCGTCGCCTTGGGCATGACACAGTCCTCATCCAAGCAGCTGAAAATACCAATCGGGTTCGGCAGCTCAATCAAATCAATCGTCGGCTGTAGATCCTTCCCAAAGTCGATAAACTGCCACTCAATCTTTTCTCTGGCGTACTCCTCCTGCTCAAGGACAAACATGTGGTGGTTGAAAAACTGCTGCAGCTTCTCGTTCGTGTAGTTGATACACAGTTGCTCGAAACTGTTGTGCTCAAAAATCTCAAAACCAGCAATATCCAGCACGCCAATGAACCTGGTATCATCCAGCCCCATCCCAGGCCGGTCAAGCTGCCGGTTGATTCTCGTGACCAGGTCCCCGAAGCCTCGCTCGTAGATGCCCTTCGCCAGAGCATCGATACTGAACCGAACCTGCTCCGGAGTCTGCACCTTCTCAACCCATTCTCTTCCTGCCTTGACCTTGGGGTGCAGTAACCCCTGCAAGAAAGGCTGCAACGGCACACCTAGCAGTTTGCAAACCTTGGCCGCAACCTCCTTCCCGTCCGGTGCCAGTCTAGCCTGGTCCGCAGACCTGCTCTCCTTGACAACATTCAGATTACCCAGATGGAGCACCGCCGCAATGGTCCTCAGAATGGCCGCCTGCTCGCTTTCATCAAACCCCATAACCCCAAACGCCTCCAGCAGCGAGTTCCACTCGTCGCGGTCCGACACACCGGAGATAGTATCCTGACCCTCCCTGGTATAAGCAAAGTCCTCCACATCAAGCCCATCCAGCAGGAACTCTTGCTTGAGCCTCCTATCAGCGCCCTTGAGCAACTGATAGAAAACGTGATAATTCCGCTCCTGAGAGTTGATCCTCACGACTCGGGACTTCTCAAGTAAATACCAGTCAATGAAGGCACCAGCAATCGACCCATTCCGATTGAACTCGATCCGGATAAACTTGCCGAATCGCGACGAGTTGTTATTCCTCACAGTCTGAGCGTTTCCAAAAGCTTCCAGAATGGGATTGGCCCTCAGAATCTGAGCCGAAAGGGTAGAATGCTGCTGCTCCCTGCTCTTTGCCGTCGAGTCCAACCTTGCAACAGCAGCAAGGTACTGGATGACCTTTTTGGTGTTTTCCGTCTTTCCTGCACCTGATTCACCAGTCACAAGAATACTCTGGTTCTCATTGTCATCCACCAGATTTCGAAAGGCCTCGTCGGCCATGGCGTAGATATGGGGCTTATTATCCTCCCGGTTTCGGCCCTTGTACATGTTGATGTATTCATTCGTGTAGATGGGGAGTGGGGTGTAGGGGTTGACTGTGACCAAGAACAGGCCAGAGTAGGTATAGATGAGATCGGACATGTAGCGCATGTGGAGGTTGTGGACGACGGATGCCTCGTTCAGGTGCGTCAGCTCGGCCATGTCGTTAGCCTTGTCGAACTTGGCGGGGTTGACTTTGTCGACGCTTTCTGCGTCGACCTCTCGTTGCTAGATCGCGGTGGTCAGTTTGTACCAGCCAGAATGATAGGGACAAATACTCACACTCCCATCATCGCACTGAACCAGTATCTTGTTCCCTGGCAGCTCCTCGACTACCCAGCCCTTGACAAAAGCCGTCTGTGGATCCTTAAGCCACACGTATTTCTTGCCAGAAAAGTCATTCTCCCCTTCAATTCCCTTGACAATGTCGGTGGGTTTTCTCAAGTCATCCGTCTTGATAAATGATGGGGCGAATGTGCCCGAGCTCGAGCTCGCGGTGCTGGCGTCCCTAGAAAGTAGACGAGCATGACTATTGGCGGTGCGGAGGGGCATTGGCTGCGCCATGGTTGACGCAACCGAGTTTTGTGACTGAGTGCGGACGTGAGAGGGTGGGGAGGCCATTCCCGAGAATGGAGAGTGCGATGAGGGGATAAGTGTCGATTTTGGTCTGCCTGGCCCACCGCCTGGCCCATTCGAACCTGTCGAAGGTGAGGCATTCCTCGCGAACGGATTGTTGCGAACCGACATGGTGATGTTATGAAGATATCAAAGATACATGGGATTCTTCCGTTTAGCAATTTTGTAGTTCTGCTGCTATTAACCGCCGTTCCGTCATGTAAACAAGGGAGCTTTGAAAAAGACCCTGGATGCAAAAAGAATTGCAGGTGGAAAAAGCAAACAGGTTCTTTTAAGAGAGAAAGAGAAAGAGAAAAGATGCAAGATGCAAGATGCAAGCAAGCACGCAGGTGCTAGAGTAGCGGGTACCTAGCTTGGGATCGTGCCTGCAGCAAGTGGTGGTGAAAGGAGGGGACTTGATTCTGGTGTTTGTTGCGATTTATTGCCCTTGAGGCCTGATGGCAGTCGCGTTGCCCCTAGCAGACCGGTCCAGAGTAAACAAAGCTCGAGCCAAGCTGAAGCTTAGACCGAATGGTAGCCTGTGCCCTCTGATGTCACCAAGTCACTCCAGTATAGATGTGGTCTGTGCTTCGTCGTAATAGCCACTAGCCAATCAAGGCCTAAGCGTGTTCTCGACTCATTCGGTTGCTGTCTCTTGGGAATTTCGTGCGGCCCCCCCGTTCCTTTTCTGCCACTGTCAGGAGGCAACGCGCATCCGGCGAAAAAAAGATCGCCATAATCAATTCTGCATCGGCTTACGCTGAACTTTCCGCGCGTCCTTGAAGCATTGCTTGCTTCATTCGTTCTGAGGATAGATAAATATTTTATCGCTTCAGGTTCGATATTCGTAATAGACGCCGCCACCCGCCGTCGGCCGAAGTTTGCAGCTGTGCAAGTCTCAATTCTCGCCAGCTCTCCCCGAACTCTCGAGTATTGATCAGGGCAATCAATCCGGCGCGCGTCCAACAAACTTGGCCTGCTGGTAAATATTCACAATGTCACAGTATCCAGGCTTTACTCCATGGCCATACAATCAATATCAGGGCCATCCCGCTCCCCCTCCAGCGGCGCAGTCTCCGTACGGTTACCAACCCCCCACTGCCTACCCTGCACCACCCTTTCCTCCGCCGCCGACATACGGTGCTCCGAGTGCCTTCCCGCCGCCGCCCGAAGCCCACCAGAATGCAGCTCAAGGCTCTTTCAACTACAACGCGAGCAACATACCTGGTCTTGGGATGGGAGCAAACAGCGCTATGGGCAATGCTTTCCCAGCCGCACCTCCACCAGCAAATCCATGGGGACAGCCGTTGCCAGTTTTATACACGCCCACCATTCCAAACCTTCATTCTGCCCAGCAAACCGTAATTCCTGGCACAAAGGCCCCACAACCTGTAGCACCCGCTGCCCAAGTGGCCGTCAGCATCGAGATGGAGGAAGGCGAGTTGAGTGAGGGCCAGTTTGAGGATCTTTATGATGATACGCAAAAGTCACCACCGCCGGCCAGCCCCCCGAAACAGACTGCCAAAAAGCTTCCTGTCACACAGCCAAGCGCTGTCCCGAGTACAGTCGCCAGTCAACCCACCAGTGCGTCTGATACACCGGAGGGTGGCTTCTATGGCAATGATGAAGACGAAGGTGAGACTGGGTCCAAGGCCAATGGTACTGCCTGTAAGTTATGCCTTTGTAATGCCACAAGAGGTCGCTAACAAAATCCTTGCAGCTCGCGATAGGTCCGCGTCCTACTCTCCATTCCTATCACCCAGAGAAAGCTCGAACGAAACCCCCGCATCCCAATCCCAAGGAGCCAGGCCTTCCAATGTCGTAAAACCACAGTCCAACAACCCTTCAGAAACCGTCCCGCCTGTGACAAATGTTGGCTTGCCCGGCCTGCAGCCACAGTCGTCCACGGTTCCGAATGCCAACGGCACTCCAGAAAGTCCCGCCAACTATTTGGACACCTTCAAATCGGTGCCAGAAGCCAAGAAGGAGGCCCAAAAAGCAATCCTACGGTTGTGGGCCCTTGGAGTCAAATATCAAACCTATCTCGACGAAGGGTTTGATGAGAAGGTGATCAAATCCTTGTTTGGAGATCTTCATCTTGAACTGCCCAAGCCTGTTGTAGAGAAGGCAAAGGCGGAAGCACAGACTGTCCGGTCGCCAGGCGCAAGTGCGGATAGTCCCACGACGGCCCAAGCACAAGGGACACAACCTGAGTCCAAGGATACGGCGGGGCCAGTAACCAAGAGTAAAGGGGAAGAGCGTAAGGATCGCATTGCTCGTCTCCTCGCCGCCAAGGCTGCAAAAGGGCCGGCTGTCGTTCCCCCAAAGCCCGCAGTTGTACCACCAAACCCAGCGGCAGCGCCATCGCCAGCGCCAGCACCAGCTCCGGCTGAAGCACCGAAGCCTACCCCGCCTACGGGACCGAAAGCCAAGATTCGAGGAGAAAAAGAACGCATCCTCCAGGAGAAGATCGCAGCCTTGCAGAAGGCTCGAGAGGCGCAAGCGTCTGGAGCTGGAAAGGCAGGTTCTCAAACTCCTGTGAATACTGCTACGGTTGCTACACCGCAACACCAACCTGCCGGCACCTCATGCATGACCTTGAATTTTGCCAGTTCCCAGCCAGGCCCCCTCGCTGTTCAGACTAGTGGCCTGCCAACACCACCCATTCCTGGCATCGTTGGATCTGCCAACGTTCAGCTCAACACGGCAAGTCAGCGCAAGCGACCGGTCGCTGCTGATTTCGTTGACTACCCATCCGCTGCTGGATCAACAAAGCGGCCGTTTGGCCAGTTACGCCAGGAAGCCTCTCTCATCATTGACGTTAGCGACGTTTCGGACGATGAAGAGATGGACATGGATATGGGCTCTCCCACTGACGAGCCATCATCGATGCAGTCGAAAGATGGTCCGACTGCATCACGTGGGCCATCCATTCGCGATTTCCCTCCATTGACAAACCTCCCACAGCGACAATTGTTAACTTCTACAACCCCTTTGCACACACCACTAACTGGCCCAGCCTTGGGAGGAAAACGTCACACTGAACTCACCATCAAGGAGAGAGAGATTCAGGAAATGCGAAGGATGATTGCGTTGGCTGAAGCAAAGCGGAAAGCGAAATTGCCCCAGGCAGGTTCGCGGGCACAGACTCAGTCAGGCCAAACACCAGAACCTAAGAATGCTGGCACTCCTGTCTTGAGTAGCCCTGCTCAGTCAGACAGGCCAACTCCTCAGCCCACCCCGGAAGCCACGTCGATTAGGCCTCCCAAGGCTTCAGATACCGCAACTTCTAACCCGGCACAGAAAGCCGCACAGCACGGCCGCCTTGCTGCCCTTGAAGAGAAACGGCGGCGTCTGGAGCAGCTACGTGCAGAGGAGGCGTTGCTACAAGCGGAGATTGAGAAGGAGATGCTGGCTGCCCAGTCGGACCAGGTCAGCACGCCATCTGACAGAGAGGCGCCCCAAGATAGCGGGCTCAACTCTGGAGATGATAGGACAGGTACTTAATTTCATGATTTATATGACTTCGTAGTCTAGACGAACAACTAATATGTAATAGAAGTGCCTCCGCCGCAAGGGGTAGCATCGGCTGATGTCGAGGGGCTCTCATCTTCTGGTGCGTCTCTGGCTCCTGACGATGCGCAGGTGACAGAGGCAGTCTCAGTTGATGAAGTCAAAACTTCAGGTGAGCCGTCACAGACAGATATTCCGCCCCAACAAGCCGATGAACCCAAGCAAGCTCTCAGCAGCGACACACCAAGCTCCAGCGGTTCCCAGTATCCCAGCAGCAGTGACTTGGCACAAGCCCAAAGCGTCATGTCTGTGGACGGTGGCGAGCCAGAGAGCCGCCAATCTGTGGAAGGCTCTCTACCCAACAGTAATCCAGATGTCCGAGCAGATGATGAGAGTGCTCCAGCTGCAGTCCTTGAGACACCTCAGCCCTCTACTAACCAAGAAGTCGATGAAACGACGCCCATGGAGATTGATTCTGAAGCGCCCAGTCCAACCACAGCGGAATCTATTATTAGCGGCATTGTTGACAGCGACGTGAATGACGTGGAGCATCCACCAGTCCCATTACCTGATCAAATATCGAGTGCTGCCCAGCCTCGGGAGGAGGTCGAAGAAGTCGAAGTCGAGGCAACAGGAGAAGTACATGTCTTTTCTCTGGGTTCTTCAGATGCATGGCTGACAGTATGACAGGAAACTCGCAACCCCATCAAGAAGCAGGACCGTGCCTTTATGCCGTATAAGAGCCCTCTGCATATTTTCCGTGCCTATCGCTTCCATCCCGAGTTTGAACAGACCGTGCCTAACGGCGTCAAATCCTTGACGTACAGCAGCAGGGTCGATGTGCAAAAGCCGCTCTGTCCGTATGAACTGAACAATCAACAGTGCCCTGAAAACTGCGAGTTCCAGCACTTTAGCAACATCAAGATTCTTGGTAAGTTCTCCCCAAGTTCTGACGGGCTGCTAACATCAGAGCTCTCATTTCTTTCCATCCTCCCCCCTCCCGGCGCTGACTTACTGGTCTTCTTTTTACCCCAGATGACCAAATCCTTCTGGAACTTGGCAAATCAGACTTCACCGGCGAACAAAGAGCTCGGTTCAATCAAGGGCTCCGTGAGCTTCTTCAGGTATACAAGGCCCAAAAGGTTAGAGACTTCGACGTTATCGCTCGAGGCATCATCAAGTTCCGCTCCGAGTTCCTTGGAGATAAGAGCAAGGTGCTCAACTTGGAAGGAGTAACGCTTTGATTCATACTCTTCCACTTCGACACAGCGTACAGCACATGAGCTGCACATGTGGCTCGCCGCCAGTAGACATCATGATCTCGGCGCGCTGTTTGGATTCTCACGGAATCGTTTCTGATTCTTTTTCGGCGTTTTCTTTTTGCATTCTACTCGGCGCAATCACAGCATCACTCATTTGGGCTTAAAGGCCCAGGGCACTTCCATGACCGGTTGTATCAACAGCTGCCCTCGTGGGCCAAAAAAAGGTTTTGGGGAAGAAGGGAAGGGCGTTGTAGGAGTACAATACCCAACAGGTTTTTGAATTTATGAAAGAGGGGGAAGGATATCAAGGGGACAGCAAAGAAAAAAATGATTGTTGCCATGACGGGTGACACGACAGTATATCGGGTGTGGATGGGGAAGAAGACGACAAGTGAATAAAATAAGGTTTGATCTGAGATGGAGGAGACAGGTCAAGTACATCGGGAGTTTTTAAGATAGTGTGCGATTATTTGGGAGGGGGGTGGGGGGGTGAGACTTTGGGGTCTTGGCTGTCCTGATTATTTTTTGCTCGTGGGTCTGAAAGAGATCTCATGAGCGGACTGTTTAATTACGTTTGCTGTATACCCAGTTTCCAGTCGCGGTGGTGTCCGTGTTGTTACAGCTAAAAATTTTAAGTGATATTTCCTGCCAACAAGGTTCAAGTTTATATATGATCTTCTTGTCTCACTCAGTCTCGTCAAAAGCCTTCCCTCACACCACAGATACCAAGTAGGTAAACCCGAGTAAAAGTCTCGCACATCACATATAGATATATACAGCCCAAGTCCAAGCCTGCAGGCATGCTCACATTTGTCACTCCCTCTCGTCGCCCACCCAACCGAAGTAAACAATAACCCCCTGAGTCGGTCCCCCAGCTTCCACTTCACTCCACCACATCCACGCGACAAAAAGCCTTATTCCTTGCCCCCTTTTCAACAAGAAAACAATCAATATCCTCTGTGGCGCAATTGGCTAGCGCGTCTTTCTGTTAATCAGGAGGTTGGAAGTTCGAGCCTTCCCGGAGGAGTTAGAATCACTAGAAACATCTCCCTTCTGGGGGTTTCACAGACATTTAGACTCTTTTTGCCCACATTTGATTCAAATGCAGCGGTCGTTGTTCATAATCTGCACATTGTTGATTTTGCTTCTTGCACTTGACACATAATACACTCAGGTACTGGGCGCAATTGTTGAAATAATTCGTATTACTCCCCTGCAGAACAACCAGGTTTATATAGGTTCCTTCAATGTCTTCTCCCTCAATTCGCTTTTCCCCCGAAACTCCCCCATCATCATGCTATACCCAAACTCATCCCTTCACCTCCTGTCCTTCACTGCCAGTTACCTCCTCAACCGGCTTCACAAACCTAGCCTCATTACCCTTCCCCTTCTTACCTCTCCTGCTCCTCCCCCTTTTGGTCTCCCCACCACCAAGCCTCTCATGACTCTACTCAAAGATGGGCTCCAAACCCTTCCAAACCTCCTCATAACTCCCTTCCGGTCCCGCCTTCTGCCTCCTCTTCCAATACTCCCCATTAAACTGCCAATACTCCTCTCCCGTAATCTCACACTTCGCCTTGCTGAACCACGCCGGGGTAAACTCCTCCCCCCTGGCCTCCCTCTCCCTTCTCCTCGCTCTCTGCGCCTCCTCCAGTCTGTTCTTCTCCGTAGCGGCAAAATCGTACTCCCCATCCTCCATCGCGCGCTGATCCGGTCTCAGGCGGGAATCAGTCGGCGCGATCCATGGGCGAAGCTTATCATCGATGTGATTGAACGTCAGAACAAAAGGAGTGAGGTTGAATGGGATGCCTTCAGGGCGGGGATTCGCCTGCCAGATGAGGAAAGCCTTGTTGGGGTCGGCCGAGGTGAGACTGCCCCGGTAGATAGACCCGGAGTCACCACCCGCCGGCTCTTCGACAGTCGCCTCATACCCTGGTGTGAAGCGGGCGTAGATCTTGGAGTTCCACCTGCCACCCAAGCTGAACCGAACATGGCCGCTGGCATCCAGCACCTTGCCTGTCAGGAGATAGGCGCTGGAAGCCTTCCAGCCTCGGGCCTTGAACTCGATGTGGCAGACTTCACCCGTGGTGTGGTTCTTGATCTCCATTGGTCCGTAGTTGTCAACAACTGGGTTACCGGTCATGATACCCACGACCGACGAGGTGACCTTGCGCCAAGTGTAGAAGTCCTCCTTGCCGCCGTGGGTGGGACGGAGCTTGAGGAACCAGGTACCGAGGGGATTGATGTCGAAGGAACGACCATAAAACTTTGACTTGACAGAAGATTCACCGTAGTAGGTCCACTTGGGCGATTCGGCCCAAGCAGCACCGATGGGAGGATGATGGCTGACTTGCTCAATGAAGAAGCGGTAGTTCTTGTCGGGTCTAACGTACTCAAACGTCTCACCGAGCAAAGGGTTGAAAGGCTTGGCTACACGACCAATAGTCGAGGCGTATTCGCTGGCAGCAAAGGCAGAAACGTAGAGCAGACGCTCAATCGAATCAGAGCGGTCGGCCGCAAGATCCAAAAGGTCGGCATACTCCATGTCCTCGCCGCAGCGGTACAGAAGAGAGGTAGGTTCGTTGAAAGATACGGGGAGGGTCATTTTGGTCATATCCTTTCCGATCATAGATTTCAGAATACCCTACAGACAGTTAGCTGGAAAGTTTCGAATGCTGCCTGCCGCATGAAACTTACCCAGAGTGAAATCTTGGGCCTATTATCTGCTTCCATCTTCAGACGGGTTCGAATGCCATTTTCGTACCCCTTGAAGGCATCGCTGATGTCGTTCTCACCCGACACAACGATCTGGTTTTCACTCTTGGCTTCCGCGATCTCGGACGGTGGCAACTGCGATACTTCGACCTGGCCGGCATCAACTGCATCGAAGAACTCCTCCTCGTCTGACTCTGAATCCGAGATGTCGGCGATCTGGGTAATCACCGTCTCACGTCTCGAAAGGCCTCCCAGGGCGGGGGACTTTGCGCTCACAGAGTCTGCTGCCGCCGTCTCCACCTGAGTGCTATCCTGAGGAGCGGTGGTGGCAGCGATAGCTGGAGTAGCAGCAGCAGAAGTGGAAGCAGCAGGTGGTGGTAGTGTCTGGCTCTCGTCAAGAATGCCGGTCTCAACAGCCTGTTTGAGGATGCGCTTGGTAGCTTTTCTCTTGGCCTCAGCCTCACTGACGCGAGCCTCAAGGGACTCTTGCTCCTTGGCTACCTGGGCCATGCTGTCTTCCCACATCCGGCGCATCTCACTTTCGCGGTCAAGGCGATACTGCCAGTAGGCATCACGGTCCTTTGAGATGCGCAAAAGGTCACCAATAAGCCCAGTAAGCGAGCGGATGGCGGCGTCATAAGTCGACAGAGCTTGCGAGGCCTTAGTATCGCCCAGAGTCAGGCTGGGATTCTTGCTCGCCTCCTGAAGTAGTGCGGCTGTGACGTGTGCCATGGTATCGAGCTGCAGCTTAGCCGACTGGGCAGTGATGTTGAAAGCATCCTTATTCACTGGCGGAGCATCCTGCCCACTCGAACCCTCACCATAGTCATCATCTTCATAATCACCTTCGCCGTGATGATCAGTCTTGCCAGCCTCCGTCGCCGCGTCAGCAAATTCGTCATCATCATGGCTGTCCACAGTGCCAGCCCCATGAAGTCCGCTCTTGTGAGACTTGCCGGAAGAGTGCATCCGTGAAAGCTGGATGCTGCCGCGGGGCTCAATGTAGCTCGCGTTCTCGCTAGGTGGCTCAGAGATACTAGTACCCGAAATCTCGGCTTTGGCCTGCTTCAGCAACTCCGCGTTATGGGCCTTTTGTCTCTCTTCCTCCTTAGCCTGGTCTTTCGTCCACTGAATCGAGTTGTTGAGGGCCCAGAACCAGCGCTTAGCTTCGACTTCGTGGTTCGCCTTGAGTGTGTACTTGACCGATGACTTCCCGATGATCTCAAACTTGGTCTTCTCATCAGCGCTCATGTGAAGCTTGGCGATGCGCATGTTGATAGCACCACGGCAGGCTGAGCCTGCATCATCTTGGTGCTTGTAGTAGCTCAACACGCCGTCCTCCAGAACAAACCACCGCAGCTGATACCCCTTTCTATAGTTGGTCCACTTCTTGAGGTAGCCTTTCATTTCACGGGCCTCTCGGCCAGCAAGCGGATCACCAGGAGTCGCGTTGATAACGCCTTGGGCAGCAGACCCCAGGACGGCCTTCTCTTGGATCCCCCTTTGCGCCGCTACGGCAGCTGGTGACTTCTTCAGCATGGCACGTGTGATCTCGTCCTTGGTAACATCTTGCGGGAGCTTGCCCTTGCGGTCCCGGCGGAAGGGGTCGGCGCCATGCAGAAGCAAAACTTGAATTAGACGAGTGTTTTTGGCGCGTGCGGCTTCGTGCAAGAGGGTGCCCCCAGCCTGGACTGTAACTGGGTCCGAAGCAAATTCGGTACTGTTGATATCCAAAACTGTCTTGAAACGAGGTTCCTCCAACACCTGCTCCAAGACTTTGAACTCGCCGTGGAGAATGAGATCCTGAACTTGCCTGATCTTGTTTTCAGCAAACAGAGATCTCGAGAGCTGCAGCTGCTGGAAGATTTCGGGATTGCGGGCAAGATCGATTGGAAGGCGGCCCTGGTTATTGGCGATGGCATCGTTGATCTCCTTGTTTGCTAGAAGGAGTCCAACCACGTGGCTACGGCCCTGAGCTGCCGCGATATGAAGGGGTGTATTTCCATCCTTGTCCCGAGCATTGATATCAAGAGAACCAGCGCCGTCAGACAGAACGTACTCAACAACGGGCTGCTCGGCACACTGGATGGCGAGGTGAAGTATTGTGGTATCTTCGAGGGGGCCGGTTGTTGTGTTGAAGGATGAGGTGCTCGTGCGGGGACCCCCTTCGGCGCTTTCACGGATGGCTTTGGAGATGGAGGCAGTGTCACCGTTGCGGAGAGCTTCAACGATGCGGAACTTTCTGACGGATGACTCAAGGGAGGCGCCCTTGTCCAGCGGATTGGGAGACTTAGCCCCGCTAACCGAAGGGGCATTGTGTGATGGTGTACGGCCCATGGTGCTCCCAGAGACTGAGAGCTTGGAGCTGTGGCCCCTGGAATGTTGGTGGGCGTTGGTAAGAGATGCGTGGGATGTTGCGGTAGTCGAATCGCCGGCAAGACTGGTGCTCGCTGCGCCAGTGTCCTCGACCGAAGCTGTAGACATGTTGTCGTCACCGGCACCGCCAGTAGCTTTGCGTCTCAGGAGTGAAAGGGCAGAGGATTTCGTTCGTCGATGCGAACTAGAGATAACAAACACCCGTCGTCAGCAGGTTGTCCAGCAAAGCTATGGAGCTCGGAGCTCGGAGCAACGAGGATGGATTTCGATTAGGGTTTCTTAGCAAAGGAGCTATCTGTCTTTCTTACCTCTCCCCCGCGTCCGACATGACTGTAGGTTGGGTTCTAGCTCTGAGCTTCCCAAGTCTAGCAACCGTTGTGTTCGTGCGGTCGGGCGGCTAATGAGGCACTTCCGAGTTGATGGGCTGTTGCTCGTCCGTCTGCCCGTGGTGCACCGAGCTCGGAGTCGCACCGTCGGTAGGGAGGCGGTGACTATTATTGGTTTCAAACAATACACAGCTACGAATACTCTCTCGCAGAGATAAAGTCGTAGATAGGGGGTGGAGGTGGACTGGAGTGGAGAGCGGAGTTGTTGCTTTTGACCAGCATGGCCGCATTTCACTGCATCCCTGACCCACGATGCCAAATGACGTTGTCCGTCTGGAATTCTGTTGCCCCGCCCCCCTTCACGTGTTCTCGAGCTGTCACCCTGTCAGACAGGTTGGCCCGGCGGCCGAGTGTGCTGTTGGCAGTGGAGTTTAGCGGGGTGAGACGCTGAAACCTGCGCCTGGGGTTTCAAAACGACATGGCCCAAAATAGCATCTTTATTGAATATGCTTGTAGGCAGCATTTTGAGCCACAGCCATCAAGAACATGAACTCATATGAGAATAAATAGCACTTTGGACGTGAGGTGGAACTGCTTCAATTTAATAGAGATTTGAAATTGCGTTCTAGAAAAGTAAAAAAGCTCTCAGACTCGATTTAAGATGAGATTCACACACTGACACTGACCATCCATGTTCAGTACCCTTCTATCAAAGTACCCCTATCGGTATTCAACTAAACAACCCCAGGGTCCAGGACCAGGTTCGGGGGTTCCTCCACTGGCAGGGTTGGCAATGACACAGGCCTGGGCGTGCCACCTCAGGGCTGCGACGGCTGTTACCGACCGAACTTCTCTCTAACGGCAGCCAGCACCGAGGAGCCTCGGTAAAAGCAACGTTGGGATTATCTCCAACCCATCAGCTCCAAGCCGCGCTTGTTCTTTTAAAAGGAAAACACTGTTTCCTGTCCTGTAATATCACCATTCGCCTTATCTCATTGCCTGCTGTTTTCTCTTGCCTGTGTCTTTTTGACTGTTTTGCACGCCGCACCGTCCTCCGAATCACCACCAGTCTTGTGCAATCACTCATTGGTGGTATTTCGTTATATATATAGGAGCGCGACAAGATATCCGGGCCACCCGCACCATGGAGAACCGCGCAACATTGCTCAGGCCGCCACCTCCCGACCCCAACAAGGCGCCCATTGAAAATGTCTTGGAAGTGACAGAGTTGGCTGTGTTAGGTCCTGTAAGTGAGAGTGGCTGACTTGCCGACGGCAAGTCATGGATATCTCAATCTCACCGCCTCCATTGGGTCTCATGAGAATCATTCCAACCGGGATATCTTTCCCGGATGGCCTCATGTGCCATAAGCCGTGATTCTCACACCCAATCCTTCTCCACCTCACAGAACCACCAATACGAGCCATCCAAAATGCTAACCTCCGCCCCCAGAACATCTTCACCAATGCCCGCAAACCCTGGCACCCGCCGGGAGCTCGTGGCATTTACGGCGGTGCCGTAATCGCCATGTGCCTCGCCGCCGCTCAGCGCACCGTAGCCGACGACTTCCTCCCCCACTCCTGCCACTGTTACTTCCTCCTCGCCGGCGCCTCCAACCTCCCCATCCTCTTCCACGTTGAGCAGGTCCGCGACGGCCGCAGCTTCGCAACTCGCACCGTCCAGGCCCGCCAACGGGGCCGCTGCATCTTCACCACCACCATCTCCTTTGTCAAGGATGGCTCCTCCGGTGCCCCGGGAACACAAGTCTCCCACTCCAGCGCTATGCCCATCGATCCAGTCACCAAACTCCCCGTCCAGCCCCCGCCCGACGACTACGACGGTGAACCCCCCTCCATGACCCAAGGCCCCTTCCAAGGAACACAGATCCAAATCATTTCCCCCAGCGGCACGTCCACCAATCCCCGCGATAAAAAGACACGCCAATGGCTGCGGTCAAGAGGGAAAATCACCGGTGGCACTGCCGCCCATCTCGAGGCGTTGGCCTACATCAGCGACAGCTACTTCATCGGCACCGTAACTAGACTTCATAACCTGTGGAGGTTCCCCCAGTTCAAACCAGAAGACTTTGACAAGCTGAAGCCCGACATGCAGGAGAAGGTCAGGACGCTGCATCAGTGGGAGGGGATGGGTGATGATCCGAGGGATATGGCTGGACGACCGACGTTGGGCATGATGGTGAGCTTGGACCATACGATTTATTTCCATGAGCCGAAGAGGGTCAAGGCGGATGAGTGGATGATGAATGAGATGGAGAGTCCGTGGGCGGGGGATGGGAGGGGGGTGGTGATGCAGAAGATTTTTGCAAAGGACGGGACGTTGTTGGCTACTTGTGTGCAGGAGGTGAGTCTTTTTCTGCTTCGAGAGTGACGTGACGAATGCTAACGCTGTGTGGCAGGGTCTTGTGAGGTTGCAGCCGCCTGAAAAGGAAGCGAAGGAGTCGAAGTTGTAGATTTATGATATGTTTGTGGGCTAGACCCTTGTTGACATATTGAAGATAGAAGAGGGGAGTTGCCTTCTTGTAATGTTGAATACCGTTTGTTCAAGCAGGGGCCACACAGAAGACAGCTAGCTGCGAGGAGAGAAGATGAGGTCGTGGGAAAGTGGCGAACAAAAGCAGAGCAACCCCACGAATGCACGGTTTACATATTAGGTCAACCACTGCTCTTTTCACCGAACGAAACTCCTGGCTCTGCTCTTGCCAAATGGCTTAGCAGTGTGTGGGAGTCGCGGCACCGACTTGGGTAAGGACCAAAGAGTCACCAAGAGGGGTGTCCGTTTGAGTCTTTCTTGGGGTAAAACCTTTGGGGGTTTTCGTAATCGAGTCCACCCTAGGTGGCTTGGTGAGCTTTTTGATTTTTTGCCATTTTGTGCTGGATAGTTGGTACCTTTGGAAGTCACTGACGGGTGGGTGGGTGTCTTAATTTTCTTTTGGCCGTTGATGTACGATGCTGTGGTTGTGGTGATGAGAAAGCAAACAAACAATCGAGAGGACCGTTGCCCTCGACCACATTGCAACATTCTCCGCAAGTGTCGAACAAGTCTTGATCCTCCGAAGCAAGTACAAACAAGCTTTCTATAAGCAGAAATAAGTACACAAAACCCCGACCCAAAACCATAACTCCCCGAAAAAGAAAATCCCACGCCCATGGTTCCCCCCATATTATCATTACCCTTTACCAATCCCCCACAAACCCCCCGTTCCCCCAAGCAGCCGGTCCAGCAAGGAAAACAACCACCACCCCCAATAACCCAATCACACTCCACAAAAACAAATTCCAATCATCCGTCCACAACGGCCTCTTCGCCAAATCCAACCTCCCCCCCCCCCTCTTTTCATTCCCCTGCTTCGCCTGCACATCCCCCTTCCACTCCCTCAGCGGCACCCAAGGAACCTCCATCTTCTTATCCCCCAAGATCTGCTCCGCCGTAATCTTCGCCCCGGCAAGGACAATCGGAACCCCCGTGCCAGGGTGCGTGCTCGCCCCGACAAAGTACGCATTCCTCACCCCCTTCGCCCTCGTCCTCGGGCGGAAGGAGAGGACGTTGAAGAAGGAGTGGGACAGGCCCAGGATGGCGCCGCGGTCGAGGTTGAATTTGGCCTGCCATTCGGGGGGAGAGTTGATCGTTTCCTCCATGATCAACGATTCGAGGTTCTTGAGGCCGGTGCGCTTCTCTACCGTGGCCAGGACGGCCTTTTTGGCCGAGGCGACGAGGGAGGGCCAGGAGGAGGCCGGGTGCGTGGCGGAGAGGTGGCCTACGGGGATGAGGCAGATTACGGCGTCCTTGTCTGGGGGTGCGGCTGTTGGGTCGACGCGGGAGGGGACGTTGATGTACTTGGAGACATGTTAGTGAATGGTTTGTGGAAGAAGGGGGGGGGGGGGGGGGGGCATACGAAAGATGGATCAGATGGGAGAGTGTGCCTTTTGAAAATGGCATCAAACGACTCTTTGTACTCATCCGCGAGAAAAATGTTGTGGGTGCCCAGCTCGGGGATCTTTTTGGAGAAACTCCAGTAGAAGGAGATGGAGCTGCAGGAGGCTTCACGCTTGGAGAGGTCCTTGGCGTAAGGGGTGATTGTTGGGCCGACGGATTTGTTCTCGGATTCTTGAGGGAAGAGGTTGTTGTAGGCGTAAACAAGATCAGCGTTCACAATGACGAGGTCGGCCTCCAGCTTCTCACCAGACTCCAGAAGGACTCCCGTGGCGGTCTTGCCGTCTGGTCCGCCAGTTAGGACTTTAGCTACGGGGGTGTTGAGGCGGTATTGCACGCCTAGACGACGGCCAATACGTTCGATGGCCGCGAGGATGGTTTGAAAGCCGCCTTTGGGGTACCAGATGCCTTCGGCAAGCTCGGTGTACTGCAGAAGACTGTAGGTGCTGGGGGCGTCGTAAGGTGACATGCCCATGTACATGGTGGCGAAGGTGAATACTCTCCGGAGACGGTCTGACCAGAAGTAACGAGTGGTTCGGCTCCAGATGCTTTCGAGCGGGTGAAGGGCGATGGTGGGTGCGACGAAAGTTGGGTCGGCAAGCTGGGCGTGGTTGGTGAAGTTGCGATGTAGGACGTGCTGCAGGCTGATCTCGTAGTGACCGTGAGCTTCTGCCAGCCAGTTGAGATACCGTTGAAAACCATCTGGCCCCTCCCACTTCTCGATCTCTCTTTTCATGGCAGCTGTGTCAGTGCTGCTCCTGAAGACAGCGCCATCAGAGAACCAAATCTGGGCAACGTTAGTACGCTACTAGCAATAACGTGGTAGGGGGGTATACAAACATCATAATTGGGAAAGCACTGTAGCAGCTCTACACCCTCAGCCTCGAGTGTGGTGCCGAAATCCGCAAAAGTCTCACGAAACAAGTTTGGCAGCAGCAGCAACGAAGGGCCTTGGTCAAAACGAAACCCGGCCTTGGACCTGAAGATACTGCATCTCCCACCCGTGAAGTCGTTCTTTTCCAGAACCGTGACCTTCAACCCCGCCTTTGCCAAACGAGCAGAAATGGCAATTCCACCAGCTCCAGCGCCTGTAGTAAGTAGTGTCAGTAATCCTGTCGTGTCTCACGTTCAGAGAAAACTGTCTTACCGATGACAATCGCGGTCCTTGGCTTCTCATTCGCCATCTTTTCGGCAGTGAGCAACGACAACAGAAGTCTAAGTAAGTATGAGAGAAGAAGGGGAACCGCAGAAGCAAGCCGATCTCAAACGCCGCTTCCGAAACTCGGGCACTAATAATCTTCGAGACGGCGCAGAATCAAACCAACATCTAGCAATGTGTTCCTGAACGGTCGCCGGATCGAGTAAATAAAAAAGGTGGTTGTTGTGATACAAGAAGCAGTCCGGAACCTGAACAACAACAACCTCCTTCCACATCAGCTATTTAAACCAAACCCTTCCCTCTCTTCTCCCTCCCTTATCCATCACCATATCCATAACAGGTTTACGATCCAACCCTCACCCCCTGGCAATGCCCCCTAGATCCAGATCGAGCCTTCAATTCGTTTGTCGTTTGCAGGCGATTGTAGCGATGCCGAGCCGGCCAAGCCAAGCGCAGATCGGATTCACCACCAAAAAGAAGGATCCCGCAACGATGACGTGCACGATCCCGCCGAGAGGAACCCCACCTTACGCAGATGGAAATGGCATGTTGCAAACTCGATCCACCAATCCCATTTGCTGGCGAGGTCCGAAAGTGGGAAATTAATCAGTTTGATGGAAAACGGTCCAAAAAAGAACGGAACAGACCAAAAAGCATCTCCTCCGGGAAGGCTCGAACTTCCAACCTCCTGATTAACAGTCAGACGCGCTAGCCAATTGCGCCACAGAGGATCTGATTGGTGTATGCTTCATGATGTAGAACAATGGCCCATGGTTCTGTTCTACCACAGTGCATTCTAGGGGAATTCTATATGTCCTGCAACCTACACAATGTCCCTACCCCAACTTCCACCTTACCATGGTGACCAAATAGCCCCCAACATACCTACACATCTGTTTCAATCACATTCCGCCACTACAAACTCCCATCGCCCCATCCCTATCTCCACCAAGTAGCTACATCGAAACTGTACAAAATCTTCCTCGGCGACAAGCTGTGCCCTTCAAAATATCGACACACAACACCGCCATGCCAATGCAAATCCCTCGTCCCCAACATGATCAAACAAGCAAAGTCCTTCCCGCTCCGGGCTGCCCAAATACAGGTGATGATCAAGAGTAGATACACACACACATCCCATATTACAGACCCGCCAAACCAACTCAGTCATCTTCATCAAAAATCTGAAACGTGTTCTGCAAGATCGTGTCAATAACACGCACCTGCCAGCCAGCATCCGCTATGGCCGACCCCGGTGCCGTGCCCATGAGCGTGGGACCGAACACAATGGCCAGGTTCTGCGAGCTCATGCGGTTTGCCCCCGAATTCTCAATGACCCTGTGAAGATGCAGAGTAAGAGCCCGAAGTGTGGCGTAGTTTGGGTCCGGAAGGTTGTTTATGATTGCGTGGAGCGAGTCGCGACGCACAATGTCATCTTCGTTTTCTGGTGTACTGGTTAGTGATAAGCAATGGAAGAGAGACCATGCGATACTTACTAGCTGCATCAATGCAGGCACTGTAATGCTCCCTCGTCATCAGCGGATCAGGCAGATCCCGGAAGAACTGCTTCAACAAGCCAGCAACACTGTTGACATCATGGAAGAAGTTCTCCGGGTTTCTAAAGTCGAGATTGCTGGAGCTCGAGTCCGTATCAAACAGAGTCTTGAGCTTGTTGACGGCGGGTACAGAACCCGAAAGTCGATAGATGCCTTCAACGTTCAGACCAAACAAATCCACCGCCTGGATGCACTGATATACCACCATCGGCACGGCCAAGCCATCCCGCTCGTACAATCTGGTGAGACTGACACCAAACACGGGACGAGATGGTGCCATCTGAGGTGCAATGGGAGGCGAGTTCCGATGAGCTTGCGGAGGGACGACCGGATGTTGTTGAAGTGAGTTGGATACCGGGCCGCTGGCGGTTTGCTGCGAAGGAAGCTGGCTGAAATTGGTTTGTTGAGGCTGCTGGGGCTGAGAAGATTGGAAAGGAAGAGCACCAAGTTGTGGAGGCCCGTCGCGGGACGAGGGAGAGTTGTATGCTCCATTAAATCTCGACCCAGGTGGTGGTTGTGTTTGTTGGGGCGTCGAACCACGCTGTCCATACTGTTGTTGGCTGGCCGCTCCAGGTCCTGGTCCCATTGCGCTCCCGTGACTGAAACTCCTCTCGTGCAGTGCTTGAGAGGAGGGATTACCTAATATGGGAATCGAGCTGGTACTCTGGCCATAGTTATGACCATACGGGCCTTGGTTTTGGACATTGGCAACAGTCTCAGAGAAAGTGCTCGTCCTCGCGTTTTGTTGAAACATTCCGGGTTGTGGAAGCGGGGGCTGGGCAGAGCTAGGGGTTTGTGACTGTTTTTGTGTGTAAGTTGTTGCTAGAGCACGAGTCGAGGCATCAATGAGCTGGACGGTATGTTAGCAGGTGTGAGCAGATGACTGTCAGAAACGTGACATACCTGATTGTGTTCATACTGCGGCAGAGAAGCCTTTGGCGGCACCTTGGCATGTTGGCTGGCCAGGTAATCATTCAAATCCTTGTCGTTATCAATGGACAGAATCGACTCGCGGAGACTGCGTCCCTCAGATCCATTCTTCAAGGGGCTGATACTAAGGCCATTGCTGAGGACCAGTTTTTCATTGAACGAGGCTACATGTTTTGTCAATATTTGTCAACGAGAAAGAGATGAAAAAGCGCACTTACCAAATTTCTGCATCTGCAGCACTAACCCCGAATCACACTCCTTGACGATATCTTGCAGCGCCTTGACCGTCTCAGGCCTCGTCCTTTCAAGCAGCTCCTTTCGTTCGGTATGGGCAACTTGCACCTTTGTCTGATAGTCTTGATCCGCAACTTGGGCCTTTCGTAGCAGATCCTCCTCGTGCTGTGCGCCTGACTTGTGGCTCCTCAACCCAAACACCTTGCCTCCCTGGCGCCCAGTAGTATCTCCGGTGCGGGCCCGATCATATTCTTCAGCAAGAGAGTCGTACTTGGCTTTGGACTTCCTCATAGCCGTCTCAAGTTCAACCACGCGATGTTCGGCAGATAGGCCATTTTGTTTCCATCCCTTTCTGGACTTCTCGGCGATAGCAGCCAGTTCCTGAAGGTCCTCGGACATCTGATGCAGGGACATAGCAAACTGCAGCCCGTTGTCCGCCATTCGGTCGTGAATGACCATCATCTCTTCGTATGCTGTCGCAAAAGATCCGCCACGATGCTCGGATCGGGCCATACTCTCTTGTGACTGCCGGCATATCTTCTTTAACGAATTCGCATGTTCATCCTCGAGCGCCGATCGTTTCTTCAGGAAATTGGAAAACTCCTACACCATCCAGACAAGCAAAAGTCAGTAGTTGTTCAAGCTACCGGCTAATATTGGAGAGGAATCGCACCTTGGCCGAAGCAATGCTCTGCTTCAGTCGGTTTAACATCACCGAGATACCGATCTGATTAACATGCGGGGTCAGCTTCCAGACTCCTGGCTCCCAACTCTAGAACAAGTCTGCGCACCTCTGATGAAAGAACATCTTGGACCTGTGGCGACGGTTCATCGCTCTGAGTCTGCGGCGCTGATATTGGTGAAGTGGCGCCCTGCTCTGGGGCGGTCCCGGTGGTGGTGTCTCCTCCAAGGGACATGGTTACGAGGAATTGAGGAGATTATTGCGACAAGCTGTTGGCGACAGTGGTGGTCTGCTAGGGATAGTATTTGATCGGTGCGGTGAGAGACAAGAGATCGGAGAAGTTCAAGTCGGCGGTCCTGGCATTACGCAACACACATACGACACAAGCAGTCCCAGTGAACAGTGGTTAGTATCCGTATTGTAGTGTAGAGGAGACACTGCCCCTGATCGGGAGCATCGGGTCGGGATATGGGACCAATCCAAAGACGTTGCCAGAGTGGAAACAACGCGGACTCTGGCTGCGGCTTCGCGCCCACGCGTGCTCATTAAAGAAGCTAGATCCTTATTGTGGCCCGAGCGCCACATCTACAACCCCGCCATAATTAGGATTCCCATCTTGTTGAAGATGTTCTAGATCAAAGATGTGCCTCCTTGACATCAACCGCGTTTGGGTGTGCTCTCATCTTGAAGCTTCATTCTGACTTTTCAGGTCAAATCTTCCCTCTTGTTTACTTAATCAAACCCCGAATATCAAATTTGCAACTCGACGGTCTTCTCGTGCCCCCCCAAGATGGCACATGTGCAAGAACAGGCCTCGGTGTACGGAGTATCAAGACCTTGTTGAAGGCCAAGTCAGTGCATGAACCACAGCAGTTTCAACCCTGCCTCGAACACCCTGAAAGAAAACAAACACGGTCCTGCATTTTACTCCAAAAACCCGGATCATCTGCTAACGGGCAGCATAAGAGTTGGACCCTTGACGACGATCACTCAAAACACATCGTAGCGAAGTCCCCTGAACCGGGGACTGAGGCCCGAGCTTTGAAGATGTGGTTCCTCAACTTCGACAACCCTGGACCTGGGGTAAACAAAGGGTCACTTTTGGCACTTTTCATGGTCCACCTGGTCTCATCGCCCACCTCTCGAAGCAACACTCATCGCCAGATACTACCTGTGACTAACCATGGCTCTACCGCTGCAAGACACATGCGCAACGGCTACGCAGGTCAGACGACCCTGACCGTGGTACAACCTGTCTGTCCACCAAAGTCAAGACTCGAGGAATATTCGAAAACAGTGCGCAAAGAACTTCTGGCCCCGACTATCTCCCTGTCTGTTCGCAAAGCTTGACATCTGGCATGCACCAGACGACGGACGTCACCCCATGCTAGTGGCCGCAGTTCAGTTCAACTCAAAAGACCAGGCTGAGAAGTTTTAAGGGTTCAAAACATGCCCACAGTTGACGTCGTTGGTTTCTCACCGCTTCGTGGGGTTGTTCTGTACTGGGACAGTTCCGAGTTCCACCACCGGCCCGCTGAGATCTCGTCCCCATTCGGCCGGGCCCGACTCACTCAAACCCCGGACCCGGTGGCCCGAGGCCAGCCGGCCACCGTTACACGGACCTTGCATCACGAGGAAGATTTCTCAAGAGAGCTTATTCGAGACATGCCCAGTTACCACAAGAAAGCGGTTACGCGCAGTGTCCAAAAAACACGTTTTGAGCATCACACACGACCAACCAGATCACCGGAAACATGTTGCCTCGCAGGAATCAAGCATAACTAACCTGGCGGTTTGTTACCTCGTCCTCAATGGACCGCTGATGAAGTTGTGATTGCCACTTTTAAACCATGCCTAGAAACTCCGTATCAATGCCTCTTCCCATCCGTACATTCATCATGATATATTCTTTACATAGCTTAGACGAAACCCTTGAGCACCGCAGCCTCAGCGTTGACGATGGAAGAACCGGCGGCACCAATGACAGCTATAACAATGTCAGCAACCGCTTCATCGCATCACTTCTCAGAGGGGAAAAGACCTACTGTTGTGGCTCAGGGCAACAAACTTGATATCAAAGATACCACTGTCGTCCTCCCTGACACGACCCACGCTGACGGTGTAACCCTTCGAGAGCTCGCGGTCCAGTCTGGGCTGCGGCCTATCGGGCTCGTCGAACACCTTGATGGGTGGCTCAGGAGCAGAGGGGCATCCCAGCCGCTGTGCCTCGGAGACATATTCCCGCATGGCCTCCTTCACCTGCTCGGCCGTTGGGGGAGGGCGCTGGGCGAATCGCAGGGACACACATGCGGTGTGACCATCCAACACGGGGACCCGGTTGCAGGCTGCCGAGACTCTCAACGTCTTCTGATCTTCGAAGGCGGTCGCCTCGGCGTTGATGCTGCCCAAAATCTTCTGTGCTTCCGTCTCGAGCTTGTCCTCCTCGCCAGAAATGAAGGGCACCACGTTGTCAATGATGTCCATGCTGCTAACACCGGGGTATCCCGCACCCGACACGGCCTGCATGGTCACGACGGAGACGGTATCGATCTTGCCAAAACGCGCCTGCAGGGCGGCGAAGGGGATGACGAGCCCAATGACGGCGCAGTTGCTGTTGCACACGAGGAAGCCCTTGTTCAGGCCAAGCGTCCTTTGCTGGTGGGGGATGAGATTGAGATGGTCGAGGTTGACGGTAGGGACGACCAGGGGGACGAGGGGATCGCGGCGGTAGTTCTTCGCATTGGAGAAGACGGCAAGGCCGGCATTCTGGAACTCCTTCTCAATGTCACCGGCGACGTCGCTGTCGAGGCCGCTGAAGACAATGTCGCAGTCGGCGAACTCGCCGGCCTTGCAGTCGCGAACGATCAGGTCGCCGACATCGGGAGCGATAGGCTGTGCCTGCTTCCACCTGACAGCGTCGCGGTACTTCTTCCCGGCGGATCGAGATGAGGCACCCAAGCCTACGAGCTTGAGCGACGGGTGCTGCTGGAGGAGCAGGATGAAGCGCTGGCCGACCGAACCAGTGCAGCCGAGCACACCTGTTCAGGGGTAACCGTCAGTTCTCAAGGTTCCTCGGACGATGGCGGGGTAAACCAAAGCTCAGGGACGCGCGCAGAGGGACGTACCGACGTTCTTAACGGGCAATTGAGACATGTTGGGTAGATTTAGGAGGTATATATCAGCTCGAGTCTAAAAAGAAGTGGAAAAACTCCCCGACCGGCGACACTAGGTACTGGATATATGAAGGGGGGGAAAACACTAGGTGAGTCAGTCGCCCCCCAGGTTTTGAACTTTTTGTCGCTCGCCGTTCCATCTGGCCCGGGGCCCCGCCAATGCCCCGCAATCGGACTGGGCACACACTGGGAAACGTGGGTGGGATGCCCGGGTGACGTCTCGCTAACCGCAGCGGGACTTAGCGCAGGGGTCCCGCCAGACAAGCGGGCCGTGGGGCACTGGGGACACCGTAGGGCTGGGATTCCATCTCTTCGAGGCTGGTGGTTTTCAACTTTTGACATCATCTTCAACGTCGGGCAGGGGCAGTCAAATGGATGAACAACATCCGGGCAAAAGATTGCACCGAGTGCCCAATTGAATCCCCCTACTTACAATTCCACACCTTCACCGCGGCCAAAGCCGATCCAACAAGCCGCCCCCGGGCCGAGAAAGACAAGCGATTGTTGTTGAAAGCCGAAAATTGAAGCACCTGCCCGACTGGATCTTTCTCTCTGCCTTTTTAAAGAAACAAAAAACTCCACACCCGTCAATATCACGGAGATAAGCCCGGGGAGTTTTATATCAGCCCGCGAATGTCTCGTCTTGGTAAAATGTCAGTTTTTTTTTGTGGTCTCTGATGAGTCTCTGATGTATGTCAGCTGAGTCGCGGCTAGATCCTGCCGCTGTCGGGTTGTATTCTCAACAGAAAATTCGTGGCGGCCAGCCTTTTTTCAGCTACTCGTAAATCACCACATCTTTTGTTCCTAGCGTACAACAGCCACACCGATAGAAAGGATTGAAGATAGGTACCCAGTTTACATGGCTTATAGGCGGGTTACATTACACCCCCCCCCTCCCTCTTTCCAAGGGAAAAGCTAATTTTTTGTGCGACGTGTTTACCAGTGGATTGGTGCTGTGGATGGGTAACACGGCCCCAATTGTGAGATGCTAGACACAGTGATGGTAGTATCTCGAGCAGGTTGGTTTTTTTTTATCTTTTCGGATGGGCTATTCCCCAAAATGCAAGTCCCGCTTGTCATGTCCCCTGCACATCTTGCATTTGCGCACACCCTTGCAGGTTGGATCCTCTTTGGCTGCTGACAAGTGGTGACAAGCAAGGATGGCTTGGATGTCTATCATTGGGAGCGGCGCATGGGTTGACCCACCAGAGGGCTTTCACATATAACTACTTCAGGCTTCGTTTAATCTAGCTGGTTCTGGTTTTTCTTTTCTGGTGATGTTTTGAGCTTGTTCTGTCACGTTATATTTTGGTCCATCGTGAGAATTTGTCACTTGGTCTGGACTAGTATATACGTGTATGTTACCCCCTTTCCCCACCCCCCTTTCCCCCTCTCAAGTCCATGGTCTAGCCCCTCGGCCGGAATGGTGAGGCTGAGATTGGCGGTGGACCATTGATGCCCATATGTCACCTCCCTCCTGCTACATGAACCTCATTGCTAACTCCCCTCTCAGATACAACACCCTCCCCCGAATCTCAAACCATGGTCTTCACCACCGACCAAGACGACGGCTCCTGGTCCATCGTCTCCCAAGTCCGCCAATCCTCCCCAGTCGACACCACCGCCCCCTACTCCACCACCTCCCTCTCGGGCAAAACAATCCTCATCACCGGCGGGCCTCCGGCTTCGGCGCAGCCTTCGCCCGGCACTGGGCAAGTTTTGGGTCTCACATCTTCATAGGCGACGTCAACGACAGCCTAGGCCACGCCCTCGTCGCCGAGTACGCACCGCCTACCCAACCCAAACCTTCCACCACCACCACTGCGACGTCACCTCCTGGACCGACCAGCTCTCCCTCTTCAAGTTCGCCGTCGCCAACTCCCCCACGGGGGGCATAGAAGGCGTAGTCGCCGCCGCGGGAGTGGTGGACATGGACAACAGCTTCGACTCCCCCCGCCGCAACGGCAGCAAAACAGAAAACAACGAGCCGGAGGAGCCGAGGTTGAAGGTGCTGGAGGTGAACCTCACGGGTGTGGCGTACACGGTCCACCTGGCCATGTTCTACCTCCCTCGGAACGGGACAGGTAGGGACAGACATATCCTGCTCGTCAGCAGCATCGCCGGCATTGCCCCCTTGCCGGGACAGACCGAGTACACCGCCTCCAAGCACGGGGTTATGGGACTGTTCAGGGCGCTGAGGGGGACGAGCTGGACGAGGGGGGTGAGGGTGAATTGTGTGAACCCTTACTTTGTGGACACACCTCTTCTACCGGCGAGCGGGATCGCCTTGCTGGCTGGGGCGCCAAAGGCCGAGTTGGGGGACGTGGTTGATGCCGGGACGAGGCTTATGGCTGATGAGGGCATCAGGGGAAGGGCGTTGGTTGTTGGGCCGAAGATGAGGGTTGTGGAGGGGGAGGATGGGGTCACGAGGCTGGTTGCTGAGGCGCCGACGAACCCCGAGGGGGAGGGGGAGAGGGTGCAGGCGGTTTGGGAAGTCTACGCGGAGGATTTTGAGAGGGTGGAGAGTTTTGTTTGGAGGTATGTTGGGATGATGAATGTGATGAAGAGCCTGGCGGGTTGGGTGGGGGTGGTGAGGGATTTGTGGGGGATTTATGTACTCGGGAAGAAGGCGAGGTGAGGTGAACTGAGCGGGGGTTTATAAGGTGGCGGGAGGGGGTTTGAGTTGTGACTTGAGCAGAGCGGAGCGTTTGTTTGATGATGTGTTTTGTTCATGTTGGCTGTCAAGCCTTGTTGGGAAGGTTTGTTTCCGAGTATATATATACCCTCTTCTTTTTTTTTTCTTTTTTTTTTTTGCAAATCTAGGCCGATGATATTGGGCTGTTGATGTCATACTTTTTCTGAGATTTCAGCGTCCGAGAATCGTGGTTGTGTAATGGCTGATGAAGACCTCCTGAGCCTGAGTTTTCTGGGCATATCTTCTCCCACCTCCTCCTAATAATTCCATATTCCCCACCGTGTCGCTTTATCACTTAAATTAGGCGGCCTCTCTTTGATCATGGGTCCCAAATAGATAATCAAGAGGCTGGTATGAAGGGTTGAAAAGGATTTAAAGACGGTCTGGTAATCTGTAGAAATCGTGGACGAGCTTCTCAAGACACCCTCCAAGCAGGTAACCATGATTCCGAGGTCCTCTGATCAAGATGGCATTCAACATATTGAAAATTATACATCTATCTACCTAACCTTCGAGGCATCT